ATCTTCTTGAGTGAGGAGGCGCGGGTCACTGCTAGCCTTAGTGCCGCCACGTAGGACCGTTGATGCGATGGAATCGTCATCGGGAGCGGCGTAGTCTGTATCCTCCCGTACTAAAACAACAACCGCGCACTTAATGTCTGGACGCGCCAAAACAACTTTTTCAACTTTTCCAAATACATGCTCATCTTTCTCCGAGAGAGCGCATTCAGCAAGGAAGGGAACCAGAACGACTTTTGCTGGTAGATCCATTGCAGTGATTGAGACGATCACATCAGCTGTGATCGATGCGCCCTTGACTTTTAGCGGCCAATTCATGTTGGTTGTCGTAAAAAATGTCGCGATCATACGGAAGGGCGTCGATACTTTTGATGATGGCATCCTTCACCACGTCGAACGATGCTTCGTGGAGAACGGTGGGCATGTCGACGATGAGTATATGGGTGTTGCGTTCGTAAGTCAGCCTGGACAGATTTAGTATTGCCCGAAAGCGTTAGCTACAAATAGCTTGCCTGGGCTTGGTCGAAAATCGGGAAGTTGCGCTCAAAATCTCTTCGATTGATCCGAATTCCCGCGCTCCCACACCGCGGAATTCCTGTGATATTGAGTAAGCACACGAACACAGGATCGAACATGAGGAAACATACCATGCGATTCTTGTGTAAAGCTGGATTGGATACATAACTCAATACTTTCCGTATCATATCTTCAACTCAGTCAGAATATTGTTAATTAACCACTTAATTCTCGTTGACATACTGGTAGATGGATCATAATGAATGGGCCGCTGGCAGACATCATGCAATGGACTGGAATCTGTGGAGGCATGAGCTGTAACTGGTGTGCTTTCTGGTGTCTCCTCTTTCCCAACGGATGATTTGGTAACACCTCTTTTTTCAGTGCTATCTTTTGAGGATGCTGGCTTGTCAACTTTGATGAGGTTTGTCTTGTGGTTGGCAGAAGTTGTCTGTGGAGCAGAGTTGGTTCTGGTTTCATAGAGTTTGTAGGGGTGGTTTGGGAATGAAAGAGCTGTGTAAGTTTTTTTTTCATGCTGAGCCACTAGGGTAGGCATGGTTGTTAGGTGCTGGGTGGTGACTATTGACTTCGTGTGGCGAGCTCTGACAAGCTTGGAGTATAGAGAAGTCGTGGAAAGAGATGATCAAGATTACAAATGATAACGATCATCGCCAGGAACGGCAGCACGTGCACACTCACCAATATTTTCACTGATCTGAATATGTATGATCACTGACTAGTACTGACTGTTTAAAAAAGCTCAAAGCATACAGTAAAGCCTTATGAAGCATGCATGCCTTTTGACCAGCTTTAAGAGGCCTTGCAATGGCATGAGCAAACAGGCTCATTCACATATCACCATACGGTCACGTGATGAAGAGTGACTTGCTGTGTTATTATATGGTGGGGTACTCATGGGTTAACTACTATTAACTGAAACTTCATCATACGTGTTAAACGTCCATTCGAAGTTTCAGTTGTTCTTGCCCGAGTCTTCCTCGTGAATTACGTCGCTCTGACCCATGTACTAAGTATTCTCGTCCACTCTCGTTCTTCCCGAGCCGCCCATCGCGGCATTCTGACGTTGCATGTAGATTTCTTGTTCACTCTCGTTCTTCACGAGTCTCTGACACTATCTCGGCGTCACCACTGAGGAATTTTCGACAGAACATAAATGTGAGTTAGCATACTTTTCATTTGACTTTGCCTGATAGAAAATTTACCACAATTCTACCTGACCCCCTTTTACACTTGCATTTGAAGAAAAACGCACATCGCGTCCTAGCAGAGGCCCTCGAACGACCATCTCTCAGTGACCCCCACAAAGCAGGATGTTTGACAGACGAGCGCCATGACCTTCAACGCCAGGCGTTCTTTCAATGGAACGAAGTAGATACACAATTGTCTGTTGTGCCCTCATACCCCGCAGATCTTCGCGGGGTCATTGCCCAGCGAGGAACAACCCGAGGTCTTTAAAACCCTCCATATCAAGAACCCCAGGGTTGGAGCTGGAGGTCTCCGAGTCGCACCCTGGTTCTTGTATTTCCGCACTCGAGGCTCTAGCCGAGAGTCTATTCGGTAGGTAAGTGTCATTGAATTCTCGATTTAGCACCATCCATCAGGCCAGGGAGCATCGTGTCGCAAGCCCTGCTCACCGCTCATTAAATTTCAATAGAATGTTCTGTGACACAAACGACCTCAAGGTTCGAACATGTGTTGTAATATGTAAGTTAACTGTCGCGGTAAGTTTTAAATACCCCTCATGTCCTTGGACTAACAATTGCACTCGAACCTACTCGCTGCCGCCCTCGTTCGTACGGCTTTATGGGTAATAGGACTCAGACATGCCCCCACGTACGTTTCCCCCTTCTGAATGACCCGAGTCATCATCAACGTGAACTTACTATGACTATAGAACGCAATAACAACAACAATGACAAAGGTCGCGAATTCAAATCCTACGATCCCGGTTGTGCGTCTAGGGCGCAGCGGTCTGTGAGGCAGGCGTATGTAGCAGCGGCGGAGGAAAACGTGCCGTTTTTTTATTACCAGCACCAACATTTGTCCTCCGCAGCCAACCCGTCGGCTCTTCGTCACACCAAGTGCCATCAAATACCCCCATCCGTGTCGCTACCCTCCACCGCTACCTTCTCATACCGCTCCCGCTCCCGCCCCTCCTCCACCACCGCATCCACCACCACCACCACCACCACCACCACCTCCTCCTCCTCCTCCTCCTCCGCCGCCGCCGCCACCACCACCGCCTCCAACTCTACTCGTCATACCCTCTGCATCACCTACATTGGTGGCCGGCGGGACAGACCGGTCATCAGCTGCTACAGTCACGGTAATGCCAGGTGTTAGCCTCCAACCTGAAGGTGGAGGCAAAAAGGTTTCGGACAAGAAGGAGTCGGACAAGATCTTTACCGAAATGTGGATCTCTTACATTCATTTTGTCGAGGATTAGTAGTACTACCATGCCTACTCGTACAGTAGTGACTCGGACTGTCTGTACAACATTCAATGATGATTCAGATCAGTCGGAGTCTTCTCGGAGCTTGAAATGAAGCGGTTCGAATCTCGATTTGACGCCCTTATTTGGCATTGCCAAATATATCCACATGTAATAGCAGGATAGCATCAACCCCTGTGGCACTTACTAGTAAGTGAGATATCGATGCCAAGTACTCGTATTGACGAGCCCTCTCAGCCAAGTGATGGAAGCGGCAACGCCACGCGCTGGCATCTCCCCCAACCTCGCTGAACACTAGTAATCGCAACCGTGACGGTATGAATTTTTGAATAGGAAGAGGCAATTTAAAACACCGAATACTCCGATCAAAAATCTCATCAAAAATACATAGGGTATGCGTCTGCTTTCAAACCTCGAGTACTGAGTTGCTTTCAGGTTCCCGCAATGTTAACATCTCCAATTTCAACCCTATCGCCAATTCCCTACAATTTTGAGCGCTCTCTTCATGAAGGCAGCTCAAGCAATTCTGCCAAGTCCGAACATCTTTCAAACATAATATATGCTGGTCACAAGCTTGAGGAGCGGATATACATAGTACGAGGATTTCCTTGTTTTAATTTACGGCGAACACTGAGTGTGTGTAAGTTGTCGCTCGACACAATCAACACAGATAACGATGAGCAAGATAAGCTGTTCGCCATGTACAGTATCGACACCGTTCATTCAAGCTACCTGGCAGCAAAGAGTCGGGTCCGCCAATACACGCAATTTGTGACACTCCTTCAGCGCGATGAAGATGCGTGGGCGCAGAGACTTCAGGAGGCAGGCTACGTAGTGACGGAACAGAGTTTGTGTAGGATGACACTCGACGGAATCGAGGTGGAAGACGACGAGCAGGATATGTTACTCAAGTGCACCGCTCACACGGTGTTAGCCAACTATCTTGCCGCCCAGCACAGAGTCCGCCAGTACACCCATTTCCTGACCATTCTGAAGGGCGAAGAAGATGCATGGTCACAGAGCTTTCAGAAGGCATCTTGTGTGATGCCGGATTACCAGCCCAGAGCGATGTGCCGGTGCTATTGATCACCCTACTACGAGTGATCCAAGGACCGTAGTCTCTGACATTCTGCTACTTATTTCTGATCGTTACTTTATCTTGATATCCTACGTACTATCTGTTGTTGACTACATGTACTCGTCGATGTGACTACGAAAATGAACATCTTGGTCTGGCAAATATGGAAATGCCTAATGAGGACGTACGAATCTTGAACGCGCGGCATAGATGATGGTATCTTTCAAACTATCGTCGCAGCCTCGGTGGAATGCGACGATCACATTGGATTCTTTTCGTTATCTTGGTATTGTCAATGGTGTCCTGCGGCGCATCACGCTGCTCTTGGACGAGGGACACAGATTTTCGGGGACTTAGTAGGCATCGCTCTACGTGCAAGCATTACCAGAAGGCAAGTACGTTAGCCACGCAGAGAAGGCGGGACCGGGCGAGAGGGTTGATTGAAGCATTGCAAAAGCCAATTCCGCAGCTCACATCTAGGACCCCTAATGTAAGACACCACTAGTACTAGTTATTGCCCACAAAACTCATAATCGGATCCCAACCTTCCAATCTATCATCCAATAGCTCGAACCGATTCGACTCACAAATGACCGTGGCCGCTGCGTGAAGCCTATAGCTTCTTGCGAACCTAGGGCGTTACGGACGCAACATGAGCCTACCAATGATTCAGTCGGTACCGTTGGTTATCATGATAGTACCCCAGACGCCTTGGATGTTATTGCAATGGAGGACTCGGATATGACTGAGCGAGATCATGCTATACCAGGTGCGCATCTCCGTGACATTTCTTATCTGTGCTATAGTACTCATAAATCATTAGCAGACCCAGGTCAACATTCTTCGCGACGGACGGTTAGGCGGCTACCCCCAAGAAGTTTCGAGGATCGGCTACCTGCAGATGAAGATATCAACCCTTCTGATTCTTCTGGGAATGATCCTCCTCCCGTAACTGAAGCGCAGAATCCACCACAGCGCAGAATCCAGAGAGTCCTTCTTACGCTACGCGATTCTCTCCAAACAGCATTTAACGTGGTCGGCCTTTGTCGACAATACCCAAGGCGGCCCTCGTTCGAGCCCGATAAATTTATTCCGTCTTCACAACTAGCTCACTCCTGTCCAGTGGCCGATGTGCATAATACTGAGACGTCTGATCCATTTTCCGGTGTCTCTGAGCCGCCTTATCCTTTCCCTAACATGACAATCTACCGCCTTATGTCATGGATGAACTCTGGGAGTCATCAAAAATCGGAGGCTGAAGTAACGCGCCTCGTTAAGGACGTGATTCAAGCACAGGACTTCAACCTCAGGGACCTGGATGGATTTTCAGCGAGGAAGAGTTTGCGCGTGTTGGACGACAACAGAGGGAAGGGTGCTGTCACTTTTCCTGATGACTGGTTGGAGACAGATATAACCCTCGACATACCGACGAGGTCGAAAGACGACTCATCCACGTCATTTAGCATTCCGGGCTTTCATTACCGGCCGCTTGTGGGCGTGATTCGTTCCGCGTTCGCAGACATCCAAGCCAGCGCATTCCACCTTCTTCCTTTCAAGCGCCTGTGGAAGGACCCTTTAGATGACCATCAAGAACGCGTATTCGACGAGCTTTACACCTCCGACTCGTGGCTTGAAGCTCAGGACGACCTGCAGAGGCAGCCGAAAGAACCCGGTTGCTCACTCGAGCGTGTCATTGCTGGACTAATGTTCTTTTCAGATGCCACTCATCTCGCAGCCTTCGGAACGGCTAAAGCGTGGCCGCTTTATTTGTACTTCGGAAATTTAACGAAGTATGCGCGCTCGGCACCTCAATCTGGTGCATGTCATCTCGTTGGATTCTTACCTTCCGTAAGTCAATTGCCTCCCGTATAGTTGTGTCTCTCTGATGTTGGACTTTAAGCTCCCGGATAGTATCAAGGATGTCTTCGGCACCTTACCTAGGATATCGAAAAGCGGGATGGCAACCCTTCATGCGCATTGTCGGCGGGACTTATTTCAGGCATGTTGGAAACATTTATTGGACGCGGACTTCCTCGAGGCATACCGCCATGGAATTATACTCCGATGTCCGGATGGCATATTGAGAAGAGTCTTTCCGCGCATCTTCACTTACTCGGCTGATTATCCAGAGAAGTGAGCACTTTTTCGTTTCCTTACTCAAACACTAATCAATGTCTCAGGGTTTTAATAGCGACAATCAAAGACATGGGCGCTTGCCCATGTCCACGCTGTCTCATGCCGAAATCCTCGTTCGATCTCCTGGGCCTGTTTAAAGATATGCAAGATCGCCTCACTAATCTTCGAATTTACTGTCTGGTGAAGGTAACCAATGCCCGCGCATTTATCTATCGCGAGGGAAATACTGTCGACGGCTCAAAGGTACAGGCCACACTTGGAGAAGGGTCATGGGTGCCAACTGTGGTGAGTGCCTTCGGAATAAATTTCCTTCAATTGATACCTAAATTTCGACTAGAACGCATTTGTAGAAAAACTCGGGCCACTAGGATTCGACACATTTCGCATGCTTGTGGTCGATTTTATGCACGAATGCGAGCTGGGTACATGGAAAGCATTATTTACCCATCTTATCCGGCTACTGTACGCGCTTCCCCGGGGGTAACGACCTGGTTACACTTCTCGATACCAGGTTTGTCACACCATTCTCCTCACTGATTTGAAAGTGATTGTATTAAATATAGATTTCGTCAAATTCCGTCGTATGGCAATGGAGTCATTCGCAAATTTGCGAACAACACCTCCGAAATGAAAAAACTCGCAGCGCGCGACTTCGAGGACATTTTGCAGGTTTGTCTTGCTGGTTAACTTGCCGCTATGCATCATTGATATTCTATCCAGTGCGCTATGCCGGCCTTCGAAGGGCTGTTCCCAGGAGACCACGACGCAATCATACAGTCCCTGTTGTACAGGTTTGCCCAATGGCACGCCCTCGCCAAACTAAGGATCCATTCCGAAACTACCTTGTCAGTTCTGGATGCCACATTCAAGAGGCTCTCTTTCCAGTTGCGCAACTTCCGGGATTTTACCTGTGCTGTTTTCACCACAGTTGAATTACCAAAGGAAAAGGCTGCTCGCGAACGTAAGGCTGCGCGAACAGATTCCAACAATCGAGATCCGGCGAGTGGCGGCCAAAGGGTCAAAAAATTCAATCTGCATACTTACAAATTTCACGCCATGGGAGATTATCTACAATCGATCCGTCTCTTTGGAACGATAGACTCGTTTACTTCGCAAATTGTATGTGACTCTTTGCTAAGTGTCTTCCGATTTCAATCTGATTTTGGGCCAGGGAGAGTTGGCGCATAGGGCACTGAAAGCTTTCTATCCATTGACTAATAAACTAGATACACCGGCTCAGCTGGCTAAGCACGAGCGTCGTCGTCGTGTCCTTCGACGAGTGACACAGAAAGGTCACAGCTGCGAGCAGGTACAGGTCGAGTCGCCGGCAGGGTTCAATGGCCACCACTATATACCGAAGCTTAGCTTCAATACTCCATTGCATATCTTCAGTTTCCTTCGAGATAACGAAAACGACCCAGCTTTAGCAGTAAGTGCCGCTCTCCCCGTTGTTCATCTCGGCTCACCATAACGTGCAGATGTTCATACCGAAACTTAAGGACCATATCTTATACCGGCTTCAGAAGTTAGATGTTGGTTATTGCGACCATACCTTCTCAGATGACGAGCGCAACTCGGTCATCATCTCAGACAATAGACTGTACTCTGTTCAAACAATGCAGGTACGCCATATATGTTGTAAAATTTTGCTAGTGTATGATCCTTCAACTTCATAGGTCCACTACACGACTTACGATCTTAGGCGAGAGTATGATACCATAAATCCTCGGACGCACTCCGACATCATGGTACTCTCTGGGGAAACGAAGCCGAATCATCCATATTGGTATGCCCGCGTCCTGGGCATCTACCACATGGATGCATTGATCAACGTTGAAGGCATGATCAAAAAGCACAAAATTGATGTTCTTTATGTTAGATGGCTAGCACGCTTGGTCGACCACCGGTCAGGGACGCACCGCGCTCGACTCCCAAAGCTTGCTTTTGTCGATGAATCTGATCGCGATGCCTTCGGGTTTTTAGATCCCGGCCAAGTTATCCGAGGCGCTCATCTAATTCCAGCTTTCGTTTCTGGGCGTGGAACAACCTCCCTTCGCCATGGAAAGTCGTTCGCACGTCAAGATGCCCAATTAGATGATTGGGAGGCATACTACGTTGGCATGTAAGTGCAATCTCCCATCCTGCTGTCCTTACTCGAGCTAGCGAACCCTTAGATTTGTCGACCGCGATATGTTCATGCGGTACACACCCTATGGGATTGGACATCCCACTGTGCTGCGTGAGATGACAAGGGATTCTATCAACGCGGACCTCATGGATTGCCCGGACAATGCCGACGAGGTTCGGCTCTGTGAGGGCGACAGCGAAATGGGTGGAGGTGATGACAACGATGAAGGAGGACCCGGAGGGGAGGAAGATGATGATGACAGTGAAGAAGACCAAGCGGAGTGCAACGATGACGAGATCATTGGTGATCCGGATGACCAAGAGATGGAAGATATTGAGGACGGTATCGACGAGGACGATGACCTCGTGTCTTTCTAACACCAGAGGAAGTTGTGATTAGTGATACAGGCGAGCGAGAGGGATAATGAAGCTTTGAATAATATGCAACAACTACTACGTCTCTTTCTACTCATATCTTACTACGCACCCATGAACATGTGAAAATTTATTTTCAGCGGACTCCTAGTCCTCATCGTCGTTCTACTAATCAAGCCTGAGAAGATGCGAAAAATACCTTCTCCAAGGCCAGGGTTTGAAATCATTCCAACCGTTTTGCATACTGTTCTTCTGTGCGGTGATGGCTGAACGTCACAATTTTGATGCAAAGTTGAATGCTACTGTACTCGCGTTGTTGATTGCCAAAGGCGCTTCCCACTATAAGGTCCTGGATAATGTTTTAATTCAAGACATAGACTAAGCAAAACAAGAATATTCAAAGGGGTGAAGAGGAGTGCGCTGTCGTGCATCGTTGGTCTTCATGGCCGCAAATCAAGACTTTGTTATGAAATCTCACGTCATTATACATTCGTTGACGAGTGCCAAAGGTACCTCCCACGAGATTGCCTTGGATGAGCTTGTGGTGCAAAGTGTAATTAAGGTAAAATGACAATGCGCAAAATATTTGGCATATGTAAGCTACTATCCCTCGTCGGCTGCAAATGAGGAACATCATAACCTTGTCGTGAACCGCTCATGTTACTGTAGCTTTGCAGGCGATGTATCTACAAATCAAATTTCTTATAGTATAAATGGCGATATTTAGCAGGAGCAGAATTCTGCCCTTCTATAATTCGCACGGGTACAATATCAAGGTCTCATCGGTTTACTGATGAAAGACAGGTGTTGAATGATAAGCGGAGGCATCGAGGTGCCAAACCTGACAGGCGCGAGCCTGTGTGAGGGGTCGTTGAGTCTTCTCACCAAGTTTCGCGCAGCTGCTCATAACGGTGCTGCAAGTGGACTTGATAAGAAGGGTGGTTTGGTGTCGGTGCAGTGGTGCGGTAGTGCACAGCCACTGCCGCACCACTGCCGCACCACTACCGCATCACTGCCGCACCCATCAAGTACATATATCACTGTAGTACCACTGTTAGCCCTACACAAACACCTGGAATATTGTATTACTTATTCTTAAATCATATTTCAGACAGTTGCGTACGACATAGACGCATTTAAGAGGCATATAAGACATTGTTGAGTAGGGTGCAGCAGGGTGCGGCACAGATGCGGCAATTTCCTAAGGCCCTTCCGAAGCTAACACAGACAAATAAGGACGGGCTGTTCTACACCTGCGTTTAAATATGGCTGAGCACAAACATCTCAATTTCCCAGACAAACTCGCGATCAGTCCTTTGCTTCCACATCATGCATACTCCACGTCCGCTTTTCTTGATGAACAACAAGTTGTCTTTGGTGCTGAGGCACAGCGAGAAGGGATCGAGACCTACGGGATCGCAGGCCGCGTTTGGTGACTAGATATCACTTTGATGTTTCCACTCCCTCGCTCTGAGCGTGACACTATGTAGGGAAGCAGCATATTTAATGACCAGCTACATTGACCATCCTTCTACTTGGGAGTTCGATCCGCCCTTGATCGATAAGCATTCATCCGGGCGCAAACGTGTTTTTCTCGAACTCGGTTCTGGCACAGGCATCGTTGCAGCGAAAATAGCACAAACGGCTGCGTTGTGCGGGCGAGATCTAGTTATTGCAACTGATCTGCCCGAAGTCTGCCCGCTTCTGGAGAAGAATCTTTTCGTCGCGGATTCAGCAAATACGCAGGTTGCTTTAGTACGACCTCTTTCGTGGGGGAGCTATGATCATGCCATCAACATCGCACGAGAACTTAAGCTCGTAGATGAATCAAATGGACACGAGCACGGCTGTATCACGCACATCATATGCAGCGACCTTGTAAATACTACGGTGGTCTCCATGCTTTAAGAGACTAATCACTAACATGAGTGCAGGTATATTTTCCGGAGCTTATGGCGCCCCTCCTACGTACCCTCCTCCATCTGACTTCTCTTCCCTCTGTCTCCATCTTCGAGTCACAACCGCGAATCATCATTTCATACAAAATTCGGAGTCTCTCTAAAGAGACCCCATTTTGGTCGGCATTCGGCCTATGGTTCTCGTTTGAACCTGTTGTTGTACGAAAGATTGACGCGAACAACTCGCTCTCTGAGTGGCAGCGATTCGGGTCTGACACAGGAGATGATGGCGATCTGGCATTCATCTTCGTGGCACGTAGACGTTCAGAATCATTGAATTGGATGATTCCTTCGGAGGATATTGATCTACTTGGAGGAGTCGGCGCAAAGGGAACGTGTGGCAAGAAGTACGATGAGACATTCGAAACCTTACTCCTCATGGGACTCGGAGAGTGATACTCATTGATTTTAAATATTACATGCAATACTCGTTCGGAAACATACATACCCACATGGAATTCAATAACAGCTCCCCCATCCCCTTTCCGTCTCAGGAAATTCCGGACCCTCCGTGATGGTAGAAGCGCTGGTTTCCATTCTCCAGCAAACCAACAGAGTTGTTGAAATTCTCAATCTCCTCTGCATACTCGGATGGTGCAAAAGAGCGCATTACGATGCCAGTTGCATGGAAAGACGTCAGATTGACCGGTTGTGTCAGCAATGGGCCTGAGACAGCCGGCGCATGTACGAAGCCAATTGCTTCGAAAGGATGGACTTCTAGATGGTACTGTGACCCATTAGCAAGTTGAAACCAACACGCTGATGAGCACAAGTTACTCACCCTCACAGCAAATCGGGGAAATACAACGCTTTGTTTGAATGTCTTCTTTAAGTTCACTTCGCCTTGGAGAAGCCGCTTCCCTGTGGTACTGGTACCCCTTGCTGGCCAGAAAACAGCACGTGCCGTGATTTCAACGAAGAAGTTATCTGAATGCTTCCCGGCGTGTTCACTTGTTGCATCCGAGCCTGTAGCCAACGATCGCTTCAAGAAAACACGGATGGCTTGATGATTGGCGAGTAGATCGAGAGCTTGCTCGTCTGTGCCTGTGAAAGTTAGCCATAGTGGCATCGCAGAACCACGAGCATAAGTGAGCTACAGGCACAATGAGAGGCCTGCTGCTCGAAGTTAGGCATAGACTTACTGGTTTGGCTAGCGCTAGCTATAGATATTTTATTGTTTAGAGCCTTGAGAATCGCAAAATGGGATATTGACGTACGCTGAAATCGACATTCGCTCTCTTGGCACCAAAAAGAGTGCCTGTGATAGCGACTGGTGGAAGGATGTGCCAGCCCTCCGGATCACCTTACATTATTTGACATAAGCATCGAAGATAAGATCGCTCGATAACTCACCTTCCGGACCAACGAATGGGATGTTTTCTTTACATGCTTTCTGTAACATAGAAGATGGGAGTTCTGGTTTCGTAATTGGGACATATGTAAAATCTGTAGTTAAACTACAAACTATTGAGTGGTTCCGAAAAGCGTCTGAGAGAAGGGGACACACGTATGATTTACTTTCAGGACGCCCCGCTTAACGATGACAGCAATCTTGTAGTTGATGTAAGCGGGACTGGCTCGCTCTGTAAACGAAGGAGGAAGGGGAAATTTCTTCTTCTCTTTACAGTCCAGAACTTCCGTCTCGTTTGGAAGTGTTATTTCGAAGGGCCATGTGTAATGGCCTTTCCCGAGTTTGGGTACCGTGGATCCATCGGGAAGGGTCGTTGCTGGAGTCCACAGCTCCTTCTCGATGACAAGAAATTCATGCCCTTCTTGTCCAATTAGGGTAGTCGCGGCTGTCACCTGTGTCACTCATAAGCATCATGAAGTCGCGTAAACGGATGGTGACTTGCCGTTACTACAATAGCCTTGGATGACTCTGGCTTCAAAATGTCCATAGTTACGCTCCCCGAGATGAGATCGCCAGAACAGAATGCTGGCCAAAACTCCGGTGTAGGGGAACGACTTTTCACCGAAAGGAGAAGCCATTTGTGCCCCTTGCTGTCCTCAAGTGATATGGTGTGTTCGGAACCACGGGTTAAGGCATTCTGTGGGGCCAGGCTGCTACCTGCTCGAGGTGTGTACCCGGGAAGTTCATGGTCACCTTCTATATCATCCATTCGTCAATGCTCACAACGAACTTGAAGTTATCTGCAGTAACTTGAAGATAGGAAAAACCAATGTTCCACGACCAGCTGAGTGTAATGTGCCTGACCAAGAATACTTACCCAAATCAGTACTCAAACGGTCTTCCTGAAGTTCGTCCTACTGGCAAGGCTGGTTTTGGTCAGACGGCCTATCTTGAATGCTGAATCCATCCTCTAAGTGTGCCAAGTTCGTTAAATTATGTTGAGTTGGGTGACTTGGGTCACGAATGTCGAATTTCGAACTGAGTTCAACTGACGGTGTCAAGAGATCACGTGGCTTCTCCAAGTGCGTCACGGTCAAGAATTGCGATGAGTTTTGTATTAGACCTACAACTGTGACACGTACGATCTCCTACAGCCATATGTCCCGCCTTGCTCTGTAGCGGCTCAGGAATAATTCTATCAAGCCCCTCTGCCCAAGTACGGGAGACTATTACTCAGGTATCGTTGTGCACTTTTTGAAGTGCACTGCCAGCCTGACACTATTCTTAGAACCGATGGCACAACCTTATACTACACTAGTACTGTCGCCCCGGTATGGACACGAAGGACAAGGTCTTCTGTCATGTCTACGACCATGTACTCCTCGGAGCAGAATCCCTTGCTCGAGGGAGACAGAGTGCATATCCCTGACGACTTGGACAGTGTGTACAACCGATTCAACAAGGCTCAGAAAAACGTCATTGTCTTCATAGTGTCCTTTGCAGGACTGCTTCCTAGTGTGTTTAATTCAAAAATACACTCTCTGACTGACTTAATCTTTGTCTCAACAGTGTTCGTGACTGGGACGTTCGTCCCTTCCATTCCTCAGATAGCTCATGACCTTGATTCAACGGGTGCTGCTGTTAGGTATGTTTCCAAATTCAGCGACATGCGCTACCTGGTGACACCGAGTCGGGCTCTCCTCAGCTTGGCTGTGAGTTTGTCAGTCTTTGCGAATGCGATCGGGGGTTTGGTGTGGGCAGCGTACTCCTCATTTTGTAGGGTTTCGATGCTTGCTTGAGTCAGTCAGTCTCATTTCCCCCCAAAGACGGGCGTCGCCCAATGTACTTGTGGGGTATGCCTATTCTATGTATCGGAAGCTTCGGCGTTGCTGCATCAACGTCTCTCGAGAGGTTGCTGTTCTGGAGGTTTGTTCAGGCGTTTGGATGCGCTGGCGGGGTGCCTGTAGGTGCGGCTGCTATTGGCGACATCTACAGGGTCGAGCAACGAGGTACAGCCATGGGTATTTTCTTTGGGGTATGTGTGGACTTTCATGCGATAAGCTTTCAGCAACTCATCACTTCTTGGCAAGGCTTGTCTTCTGGGCGTCGCACTGTCTCCCATTACGGGAGGCACTGCAGCACATTACTGGTCATGGCGCAGCCTGCAGTGGTCGCTAGGACTGTGGGGCTTCATTGAGATGGGTTTCGTCTTTCTGTTTTTACCGGAGACAAGTCATTCGCATTCAGGGGGCATTCGTGGGCTGACAACACCGTTCAACTTTGTGTGGATCAATCCTTTCAGCAGTCTCTGGCTACTGCGTAGTCCGAACATCATGGCTGTCGTTTGTCTTCTCATTTCTTCTGACTGTGGACTGCCTAAGGTCTTGTTCTCAGACATTAGCAAATGCATCTGCGATGGTTACGGAATACGGTATGTTCAGGACGTGGCCGTCATCCCCCAGACTAACCAAAGCCCCAGTTTTATTGATCCCAATCGCCTACACGATCGTGAGTTTGTCATCCTACTCAAACCATCTGATCCGTCGACAAGTGATCCTAGGGTGCTCGGTACCACATATCTAACGAGGCGCTGATCGGTGCATGCTTTCTCCCCAGTGGACTCGGAAACTTCAGTATGCATACATCTTGCTTTTCGAGTTGTCTTCTTATTCGACGTGTTTCACGCACAAGTTGCCTCCCCAATTGCTGGGCGGTTGTCCGACACTATGATTGAAAAATGGAAGGCGCGGCGAAAAGGCATATGGGTCCCTGAAGATCGTCTACGTGCAGTCTTGGTCGGCGGGTTGTTCGTACCTTTATCTGTTTGTCTTTCGGGATTGGTCACCACGTACATCGCCGGACCGTCGGGCTTGATATTGAATTTACTTTGTTTCTTTATGAATGGCATTGGAGTGAGTCTTAAAGTTGTGCATGATTTTGTGTCTCGGTCAAACCTCGCATATTATACAGGTGGATTTCGTTCTCACACCGATTGGCTCGTACAACGTTGACGTGCTCCAATCACGCAGCGCAGAGGTAATTGCCGCAGTTACGTGAGTAGCAATCAACCCTGGTAGTAAGCTTCATAGTACCAACCAAAATTGCAGCGCTTTCCGCGCGATCATTCTCGCACCAGTGACTGCAGTTGTACTTCCGTCGATAGAAACACTAGGGTTGGTAGCGACAAATGGCATAGCTACCATGATTGCGATTATTGGATATGGGTGAGCATTGCTGTAGAACACTTGCACCTACTGAGTCTTATGCTGGTATGTAGGCTTATCGCTCTCACGATTCGGTATGGAGACCAAATGAGAGCCTGGGTGGATGTTGGATATACTGTCGTGAATATGTAATCACGGATCAGACTTGAAACTTGAATGGCCAGGAATGCACATATTTATTTATCTTGTCTAATATGCTTTGGAACACCAAATAAGTACCCCGACTGAGCTTCGAACAACGGTTTCTTGTCCTCAGGAGACTACGTGACAAATGTCAATTGTTTGTAGTACATCCAGTTCTACACATCGTCCCCACTTGACACATCACTGCCCTCCTGGAAAACCATTGGAGGCATGTCGATTCCCGTATCGGAGTCGGCTACGAGCTTAGCATCATACTCTCGAATGCTGAGGATGAGGCGTGGTCCCAGCACAAACATTTGTGCGATCGACGCAAATTCAAGTAGTCCAGCATAGACATCAGCTCCTACTGAAGATGAGTCCTATAGATATGATAAAAAAGATGATCAGCAGATGCCACTGAGTGAAAGATCGGCGTACCAGGATCCCTGGTGAGAGAAAACCGAGTTGGAAGCAGGAAACAGCAACAAAGCTTCCGCGTGGAGCTTGAGCGTGAAAAGATAACCACATTTGAAATTATGAGCTTACCTGGCGAAGTAAACCACGTGAGCTTTTATCAACACCGTGAAACAGTCCCCTATGGACCATCCAGCCAATGGGCGACGCAGGGCACGAAAATGTTTAATAACAATCCAGACCGCAAGACACAGCGCGAGGACCTCCCATACGGTGTAGAGCAGCCAAGCCATAGAATCCAGAAGTCCGGTGTCTCCCTCATAGTCATAAGTGCACTGGTAAGTGCCAGAAAGGATGAGCTGTTCTGTATGTCTGATGAGCCTAATACAATCAAGTCTTTCGACCATGACTCGAGCTTACCGCCTAAAGTATTTTTGCTTCCTATTACGGCAATCACTCCGCAGGCAATCGTGACAGCCAGGAAGATTGAAACGAGAAAGACAAGCATCTTTCTGGATTGCTGATACATTACATGCAACCGAGTTATGATGACGACTTGCATGATTCTGTCAAGTCAACACCATTCGAAGTATTGCAGCTCAGTAGCTCACCTCCCAGCATTGCGTTCACAACCACAGTCATCCAGGTTAGTGCAGAGTACATGATGTTGCCTAAAAATCCCAGGTAGCGATAAGCATCGGAGGACCAAACACTCAAAAAAGAACTCACAGCTATCGATATCATTATATTGAACCAACAAGTCGGAAATCTTACTCACCCCTACATAGGAGTGTAATCATTTGAGATGGAATAGCGGGCATTTGTGTAGAGTACTCACTAAATCTGTCACCGAGACTGTTGGAAGACTTTCTGTATCCAGCTGGTCAGAAGCAATAAACAAAGAGTATCTGGGACATACGCAGCATGAAAATGCTGGTTGCGAGAGATATCTTATTAGCACAACGTCAACTTGTTAACCTCGCAAAAACATACACGGTGTACGATATTCCAAGGTAGCGCACCTAGAATATTTTGAAGTAAGCACAACTGGCCAACTGCGCTCATAACATAATGTACATACACCGAGATATAGAAGAGTTGCGAGGGTCCAGCGTTTCCGCTGCCCCGGGCTTGGGTTGGATGTTGTTATTCAAATATGGAACTCTGCTCACCCAGACTAGTTCAAACTGGTATGAAACCATTATTAGTGAGATGGTCACTCCCGCAATGGCATCAACCTACCTCTTGTCCGAATGCGAGTGCTGGAAATGTCATATGAATAACAACGGTTCTTTGATACTAGCTTGCTCACCCCAATCGTATATCACTGCAGCACAGGAGACAACTGTGAAATCAGGTTAGAATGTCACCGACATCATTCCACTGATCCACGAACCTACAAAATAGCTGTAAAAATGGAATGAAATGATTAGCGGCCACCAACTGGGATCGTTTGAGATCACGGTCATGCTCGGAGGAAAAATGCGAGTGAGGGGTGGACCCGCCGTAACGAGGTATGCATGCTAGATATACGACCATACAGCGCTTTTGTTGCTAAAATGATGTAATTTGCCCCTGCATTGATTGACAGAAGTGAGATTGACAGAAGTAAGATTGACACATGAAAACAAGTAGAAAATGGACGCGCTCTACCAATGCTCCACTGACAAAGTGTATTTGGTTGTGATGTCACATGGGCGGAATGTTTGAACACCTCGAAAAGATGTGTGTGATTTCGAGCAGTTGATGCCAATGACACACTCACGAGATGTTCTTGCCACATCTATATCAGTTAAGGCCTTCCATCAGTAAGATCTTGTTGTTTCATCAGCCTAACATTAGGTGCGACGTGATGATGAAAAAGCCTGCCATCTCCATATCGGACTGTTCGTTTGGCGGGCCGGGGTCTGGGGACAGCTCATGTGAGGTCTCGTAACAGGGCCACACGCTGTCTGTTTGACCCAGGGTGATACTTGGAAACTGAAATAAGTCCAAACATAACAAACAGATTACTCATCTCTCCCACCCGCCCCTGCGGCGCCTCAAAGCAGACGCCTCGACATACAAATCGCTCAAATGTGCACCTTTCTCTCAAGTCCTCATTATTTGTTGCCTTACGCCTGCCTCCGCGATTTGTGGGCAGGGGTGCAAAGAAATAGGGCAATGGCATGCGATTCTTATCGAAACCTGATGCAAAAGGCACTACACTAAATCTGTCAGTTGATGTATCAATGTGCACAGGCCAGTAAAACATCCTGCCGTGTCTGGGTATATGAGACCACCTCTAGCCGAAAACAGAATCGGAAGGCCAAGAGATTAAAAAGGCAGAGATGCCTGTACGACCGCACGACAACGCAGGAAGCCAGGCTTCCTTAGTGATCTTCTGTCCCGGCCTCAAGATATTTGCGTTCATTCAATTACCTCCGGAAAAATTTTGTGATTAAATCGCTGAAGTTGGTCGAGAAGGCAAGACATCGGGCATCCTGCAAACCTTTGCAAAGGTTGAAAGCGGCTAGTATTCTGGGAATCGTCAACAGGATCCTGCCCGCAAGTAAAAATTATTGATGGAATGGGCAGACGTGGCGTGGAGGTTCTTCCATTCGGGATGCAACCGTTTGAACATACTCGGAGACTCGGAAGTGATAATTTGAGACGCACCCTCAGTGAGGTGCACTCCCAAATCAGCTGAAGCTTCCAAAGCTAACACGGACAAATAAACATATGTATTTAATGCATTCCAATTTGCGAGTCAACATTACTAATTCAGATCTCGCAACTGGCTGTTTGATGCAAGTTCAGATGGCCAACCAGTTCAGGTGGCAATACGACATGATATTGGTCTGTTTCGCATCTACTATGGACCACTACCACGACAAAACAAGATTCTCCTGCTCCATGCAGAGCGCCCGACAAGTGTTTGAATGACTCAGAGCGTTTTCCGTGTTACACCGTGATAACACTACTAGTTGATCCATATACATGCGAACAGAAGACAATGGAAGACATGCGGGTTCCTGCATCGGAGTCGGCTGTAAGCTTGGCATCATATTCTCGAACGCTAAGGATGAGGCGTGGTCCCAGTACAAACATCTGCACGACCGACAAAACATCAAGAACACTATGATAAAATTGAGTCCCTGCGGAACTTGAGTCCTATATAAAAGCCTAAACAACGGTCACACGAAGATACCAGTGATAGATCGGCATACCGTGAGCGTTGGGGACAAAAAACCAAGGGCGAAGCAAGAACCAACAGCAAAGCTAGCTGGGGTTCAGCGAAATACGACAACTTCGTTCAAACAGCTCACCTTGCAAAGTAAACCACGTGGGTTTTTATTACCACCATCAAACAGTCGCCGAAAGTCCATTCCCCGCGTGGTCGTCGTCGCAGTTCACGAAAGCGTTTTACAGCAATCCAGACTGCAAGACACAGTGAGAGGACCTCCCATAGAGTGCAAAGTATCCAAGTCATGGAATTGAGGAGTTGGGCGTCTCCCTCATAGTTATAATTGCATTGACAGGTGCCGGAGAGAATGAACTCCTCTGGTATTAGTTCAATAAGCCTGATACACTGAAATCTTTAATCTATCATTCAAGCTTACCCCCTATGATATGGCTCGTTGCTGTTGCAGTAATCCCAACGCAGGCGATCGTGATACCCAGGAACATCACAACAAGAAAGACAAGTATATTTCTGGATTGCTGATACATAGCATGTAACCGAGCGATCATGATGACTTGCGTGATCAGTCAGCCAAGGTAAGATACTGAGTTTTGCAGCGGGGTGACTCACCTCCCAACAAGGCGGTGACGACCACATTGAGCCAATTTAGTGCAAGGAAAAGAATATTGCCTGAAAGCCCTTTCAATGATGAGGCTCAGAGAATAAAACACTTCAAACGTACTCACATCTGTTGCAGTCATTATAGTAAGCAAACTGGTTGAGAATATCACTTACCCCTACGTAGAAGTGTAGTTGATTAGACGTGAATGACAGCCATCAGTGCAGAATACTCACTGCATCTGCCACTGAAATTGTTGGAAGAGTTACTACATGCCGCTGGTCAGAAAAAAACAACTGTAGCATATGTCAAGAGACATACTCAGCATGAAGATCCTGATTGTCAGAGATGGGCTATTAGCACAGCGCCAAGTTGATAGTCGTGCAAAACCTACACAATATATGGCATTGCAGCATAGCGCACCTATCATATTTTGAAGTCAGCACAGCACGCCAATTTATAACATTAAGTACTTACACTAAGATATAAGAAAGTCATGAGAGACCAGGGTCGCCTCTGCCCCGAATCAAATTTATTTGACGTTGTTCTACTGATATGGTACCCGCTCACCCAGATCAGTTCGACCTATAACATCCTTCGTAAGATGACCAAGTACTCCGGTAATTACATCAGCCTACCTCTTGTCCGAATGCGAGTGCTGGGGATAACACTGAGAAATCAATGATGCTCTGATGATATCTTGCTCACCCCAATCATATACTAACGCAGCGGAGGCCGCAACTACGAAACCGCAGCCAAGGTTAGCTCAAGACATCACCGACGTCAACCGACTGACTCTCCACGAACCTATAAAATAGCTGTGAAAACGATACGAATTGATTAGTGGCCACTGACTGGGATCGTCTAAAATCACGGTCATATTGGAGGGATGGTGCGAGTGAGTGGCGTTTTGGTGGACTTTATGATGGGCCACCAAAAGATGGTATTTGTGCAGAATATACCACCATCCAGCGCTTTTATACAAGCTTTGTGAGAAGAACATCCGGCCCAGCCTTGATTTACCGCAGCAAACAAATAACTGCCACTTGCCACGCGATCCTCCACCACCCCTTTGCCACACCTCCAAACACACCCCGAAATGACTGATCTACTTCATTTCTCCTGCGAAGTCCTCTGCCAGATCTGTACCTTGATGTCCACACCTCCCTCGCTGCCTCGGTCATCGGGAAAAGCGTGAAACGCACTACACCAAATCCAGTGGATTTCGTACAGGTGACGCACGGCCAGTGATACATCAATCCATGATTGACGGGTGAATATATGAAGCAATCCTTGGCTCGAAACAGAAATTAGGCCACGGGGAGGGAGTCCATGTCGCATGACCTCGCAAGCCTGTCTTGAATTGCACATGCCCAGCGCTCATGCTGTAAAAACGTTGTCTAAGCTTGTTCCGGAAGAAACATGGTAGAAAGCCATGCGTCCGAGATAAGACAAAGAACTCACTACAATATCTTCATTACGCATTTCAATGATAACTAGAGCCACGCAGCGGCTTGATGGTTCCGTCCTCGACGTAGAATAAAGTTCAAGAGACTGCATCAGTGCATGTCATCACAGCCGCTGGAATTTTACATCTAGAATGGGGGTCAGCGAATCAGAAACAAGCTCGCATGTGCAACAGAATCATCCACTGAGTAACCTACCGAGAGTTTGTCTTCAACATTCTGACAATCTCGCTGAAGTCAGGGATCGAGGACATGAAGTCCTTGTAGACGAGCCCCAGCATCATCGTATACACTTGCTTGTTTGCACTTACTTACGCCTTCCTGACTAAGTGCTTCTTCAGAGGAGCTCTAAAACATTGATTCGGCTGATTGTATTTCTCTGGGTGGTCCGAGAGTAGACTAATAGTGTCCTGTTCGCCAGGGCTCAGCACAGCGTCGAGGCCATTGACCGACGAGCCACTGCAACCCTTGGGGGGCTAAGATTGACGTATCGCGGCGGGTTTACGGGTGTAGCACTTGCTGAATGACCGTCGGCATCAGTGATTTTGAGATTACTTGGGCAATGGGCGCTACCGGTGGCCATGAGGCTAAGATGGGAAGTACAACAGTAGCACGGGAATTTCCGGACCAATTTCTGTCTTGCCATTCGCCAGCCTGCTCTTTGGTTTGAGCTCATCGAGCACCACAACGGCGGCCATGTATCGTGCCATAGCCGTCTCTAGACATGTACCAGCGACGGTTGGACGGGGCCTTGTACGGACTTCTCGCAGGGTGAGCAAACAAATTTACATTATTTCTGTCTGGGTCGTGGCTTATGACGGAGTTAATTGTACCAGCAACTAGCCTCCACTACCTCCACTGCCAATTCCTCATCTGGTTCCGAGCCCGCAAAAATCATTCGCAGGATTTTGTTTTATTCCGTAGCAGCGACCGGCACGTTCTACATCGGTAGCGCATTCGTTTCCTTCGAAAACCAGCAGTACCGTGAACTGTTCACGGAAAATGTTCCTTTGGGGAAGGAACTCGTCGAGTATGGCGAGGCGCACAAGTGGGATGAGATCACCATTGAACAGGTTGTGGTAGCTACCGTGGACGCCTACAAGACTGTCTACAACTTTGTACAACGGCAGCTGGGTAACGCGCCAACCGAAGAAACAATTGAAAAGACGGCCAAGTCGGCACTCAAGGAATCTAAAGAGCGCGTAAAGGCTGCCGCGGCAACCCTCAAGACTGCCGTGAAGAAAGTAGAGGAAGAGAAGGTCCCGGAAGCAACTGCAAAAGCGGTATCCATTGCGCGACACCATGGCGCACAGTTCGCTGATGAATTGGACGACCTGATTCGCAAAGCAGAAGCAGCCCTTTCTGGGAAGCCCATTGGCTCTCTTCATGAGGTGACAACCACACCGGCTCAACCCGGGTCCTCTCCTCCAGATACTATCCCGCCACGCGACGACACCGACCTTATAATCGTGTCAGACAAGAATTCTGATAATGTCATTGTTTATTCTGCACTGCTCCCTATTGGCTTCGAGCCACCACCCGGTTATGAGCGGCCCGCACCCCCAAAGCCTACCCCGAAGGCCGCTGCGGAGCCTACTCCCGTGCCCCTGCCTCTTGTTGCGCCTGCCGTGTCTGAGGTTGCCGTATCTGAGCCTGTAATCACCCAGCTTGCATCCACAATTGACAATCTCGCCTCTTTCCTTGCTTCCAACCCTGCTGCCTCCGAAAAAGCCAAGGATGTCCTTGAGGTCGCCAAAGGTGACCTCACTGGCCTTGCGGCACGTATCGAGAAGATAAAGGAGGATGAGAAGTTGCAGCTAGAGATGAAACTCGACGAACAAGCACGGGAGTATACCACAAAGCTTCTCGAGCTTGAGCTCGAGGCACAGGATAAACTGGATTCGCAACAAGAGGGCTTCAGGACATTCTACGATGAGGAGCGTGCCAGGTTCTCGCAGGTTTACCGCGAGAAGCTGGATCAGGAATTACGCACCCAAACAGAACTTATCAATGAGCGGTAGGTGATCGCTACTGGCTCAGTTTACGTCACCTTACCCGCACTTTACAGATTGAAGGAGGAAGTTATTGCACAGGGTATAGAGATGCAGAGGCGATGGATCCGTGAGGTCAAGGTCCGCGTTGAGCAAGAACGCGGGGGTCGTCTCGCCAAGCTTGACGAGCTCGCGACAAATCTCAAGCGCCTTGAACGTCTCGCGCTCGACAATTCTTCCTACCTTGATGAGAATATTCGTGTGCACAGTATGTGGACTGCCCTCCGTGCCATGCAAAGCGCCGTCGACGCGTCTACACGCAAGCCATTCCGTGAAGAGCTCCGTGTGCTCCGACACATCGCAGTTGCCAAGGAAGACGCAATCATCGCTGCAGCATTGGACTCCCTGGAACAGAGCGACATGCCTGACATCGGTGTTGAGCCGTTTGCAGACCTCGCATCCTGGTTTACTACCTCTGTGCGGCCGCGCGTCTCGAGCGTTGCTTTGGTCCCAGATCAGAATGCGGGTGTACTCACGCATATGGCATCGCACTTCCTTTCTTCGTTTAGGTTCCAGCGGCATGGGCTCGTGCCTGGGTCGGATGTGCTGAGTGTATTGTCGAGAGCGGAGTATTACATGAACGAGAAGGATCTCGACAATGCTGCAAGAGAGCTGAATCAACTGAAAGGAACTGCAAGGGAGCTCCTCCACGATTGGCTGGAAGCTTCACGGAGAAGGCTGGAGGTTCTGCAGGCTCTTGAGGTATTGATATCTAACTCGTTACATGTGCCACGCTAACACCGTCATAGGTAATACAATCACAAGCAACACTCGCATCACTGCTTGTCGTATAGATTTGGATGCTAGCAATATATAGACCACTGCATGATATATCCCACCCACGTGGTGCCATCCCTTCTTTTCCACCTTATCCAAGTCAAAGCTGGTATAAAATCCACGCAGCAGGGGATTCATACTATCCTTGCATTGGTACATTCCCGGATGACGCGAGTGCGCATTCGCAAATCACCTGCGCGCGTCGCACAACCATCTCCTGGTTCTCAGTAGATTGCACGATTCCCCCCCTGACTTTCACAAGCCCAGGAAAGATCGTTGCACCTACGCGGTCCTGCTCGCCACGCTCGCTCTTGAGACAGCGCCGTACGAGCTCTATCTGACGCGGATAGAGGATGCTTCCAAGCTCAGGGACAAAGCTGCGGTAAAATGTGTCGGTGGATGTTGATGGGGCGCCATGCAGCATGCGCGAGAACGTGTATGCGCTTGCTAGAATTGGGGCTGTGTTGCTTGCTGATCCCCCAAGCACTTTGGTGAGCACTGGGAGAGTCTCTGCAAGAATAGTAGCTGTCATTTCAGGGTCGCATGTCTCCACTGCTGCTGAGAATGTTTGTCGGCGCCAAACGCATGCTACGACAGGGTTGCCTGGTACATGACACGGTCGTTAACGTTTATGAAGTGAGGGAATGAAAGAATTAATGCGCACGGGCGAACAAGTGCTCGTGAATTCTTGTGAGTTGGACGTTTGCCTCCGGGGAGTTGGTCACGACAAGATTGTTGACAATCTCGGTGCCAATGACTTCTGACATCGCATGGCGGAGGATATTCTGTACCTGCATTGGTGAGGCATCAAAGGGCACATGATCATAAGTGCCTGTGATGTCGCCTAAGGCGGCTCCATAGATGTCAGACAGTTCGGAGGGCGGTGAGCGCACAACGTCTGCTGCCCAACGGTTGATCAATCGCTCCAACTGGGACGCAGTATTCTACATACGTAGCAAACTGGAGGGTAGTTCCGGTTACTCGATGAAATCCTGAGACATACTTTGATAGAGAAGTCATCAACTGAGCTACCCCCATGACTCGGATGTCTACCATCCTGTTGCTCATCATTCGCAGTCCCTTCTAGCAAAGCAATCCGTGCACGGAGCAATGCAACCTGTTTCTCTTGTTCTTCGAGCTGTCGGCGTTGTTCCTCGACTTTCTCGTGCGCGATTCGCTGGAAACGAGATAGATGAGATCATGGATCAATTTGAGATCACTGATGATAATTATTGATTACGCACGAAGTTAGTCAACGCGTAACGATACTGCTCGCCACTGACCACGTCGATCTGCTGGGGTATGTAGGCCATCGACATGATTGGTATTTGAATAGACGCAGGCGGCAGGATATCCAAGTTGGTGGTCAGGACATTATTGGATCAGGGCGGTCACGAGGCAGTGCGAGAGTGCTCGATTCCAAAGAAATAGAAATATCACAGCATACAAACACAGCATATTCAAAGCTCATCACAGAAGTTATCGAATATGCAAGGCTCATTCAAAATCAATAGATTGTTCTGAGCTGGTATCACGCCGACAAAGGAATTTGTAGAGCTACCTCACTTGACCTGTAACGACTCCATCCCAAACTCTCCTCCACTTCCGCGATCAAGTTCATTAAAAGGATCACGCATGCTCCCCGTCTTTGCGCGCCACAATTGTGTGTACAATATCTTCACCTTCTGAACCTCAGCATCAACAGCAGCAGTCCTAGCCGCAAGTGAAACGAATATGGCGTGTTGTGTCTGGAGGGTGGAGGAAATTGCTAGGGGAAGGTGAGGTGAGGATGAGAGAGGCAATGAAGGAAAGTCTGACCTTGGGGTGTATTTTGGGATTGGGATGCTGATGTGGATAGTTTCCGCTCAATTTGCTATTCGGAGCATTAGAATACTTCAAGGTATAACCGAAAATGCGACATCATACTTCGATAGTGTTTTTGAACCACTGTAGACGCTCCTGCATTTCTTGCGTGACTCGGGTGAAGAATCTGGTCAGCAGTGTGTCAACACTCCAAGATACTTGAGATTGAAATTCTATACGTACTCCAGAGGGAACGAAGCGTGGTTCTTGAGATATGCTGCGCTCTGATGGGGATTCTTAAAGCCCTCAATAATGTTTCTGGCCACAATCGTGTCTTGAACTGCTTGTTCAGTCTTCGCTTTCAGGTCCTTGGCGAAAAGAGAGTCCGATTGAATAACAGAGGATGCACCAAGCAGCTCCTGAATTGAGGAAGTCGGTAATCGAACATACTACATATATGCAATGGAATGATGCGCACTTTGTGCAGTTCGCGAATTAACTCCTGGCCTTTGATCGCCTCTTCTCCCATTTTTCGCTGCTTGAGCTCGTTGCTTATTTGTATACGTCCCTGAATGTGCGAGCTATGCGAAGTAAGTCATAGGATATGTCAGCACTTATGATGAGCTTACTCGATAGCTTCAAAAGTTTTTTTGATATCATCCGGAAGATCATTGAACTTCGTCGATTTTGAAAAGGGTGCAGGTCCGCTTATGGGCGTGGTACTGTCCAAACGTCACTACAACCACGCCTAAATGTGCGTACATTAAGCTAACCTCATCATCCTGCAAATAAGTCAACCCCAATTCGAATCAGTACAATACAAAAAGAACTCACGATGATTGTCTTTGTTGTCCGAAGATCGATGCCCCCGCCGTACTCACCCCCAGACCGCCAGCAGGAGGTGCCTGCTGAGTAGTCGTGCTCCCATACAGTCCACCCGGCTGCTGTGGTTGAGTGTTTCCGAACATACTTGTCTGCTGCTGTGGTTGCATGGTTCCAAATGGACTAGTCGACTGTTGCGGCTGCATAGTTCCAAATAGACTGGTCGATTGTTGTGGCTGCGTGCTTCCAAAGAGACTAGTCGACTGTTGCGGCTGAGTGCTTCCAAATGCGCCACCAGTCTGCTGCCCAGTCGTATTCGTCGTGGAAGGGTTTCCAAACAAAGATGTTCCCGATGGCTGTTGAGGCTGTTGTTGAGCAGGCTGCCCAAAGAGCGACGTAGGTTGCTGTTGCTGTTGCTGCTGCTGCTGCTGCTGTGGTTGTTGCGCGGGTTGTCCAAATATCGAAGTCGATCCGGATGGCTGCTGCTGCTGTGTCTGTCCGAAAGCGCCTCCTCCAAACACAGAACTTCCTTGAGCAGGCTGCTGCGTCTGGGTTTGAGGCTGCATCCCGAAGCCACCAAAGCCCGTCGTTGTGGTCCCGGTTCCGGAGGAGGGCTGCGTATTCCCAAAGAGCGAAGTTGTGGGCTTTGGCGCGTTGGATTGCCCGAAGATGGACGTGCCAGTGTTACTAGTGCCAAAGACATTGGTACTAATAGAGGACGTGAGTCGCAAGTTTGAAAACATAAAACTAGAGCGTACCCTGCCCCGAATGCCATGTTTGACGATTACGCTGACCAGTCCGTCGAGACTGAATACCTAGTGCGTTGACACTAGATGATTCTCGCTGTTCTGAACAGTGAGCAAGACCAGTGGCGTAGACTACCCTGTTCCGGGGTCCTGGCTTGTGGGACCTTGTTCGGCAGGTTCCGACGAACAGATCTGCCAAGTTCACCAACAAAAGTACCGGCACCTCGAGCTCACGCGCTTGACTCACGCAACGAGTCACATTTGTTGTCTGACACCATAAAAGCTCACCGTTTTCTCGACCGTCGTCTGTGTTGACGTGAGCTGTGTCTCGAACGAACCGAAGGAGGGCCCGCCAGTTTACAACACTTCCATAATCCCCTGAATCGCCGGATGGGGAACACAGTTCAACCAATGCGTAGTTCCTTCACGAATGCTGACCTTGTAGAATGTGTTCTGGTTTCTCTGCCTGACTTTCGTTGCCTTGCATCAACAATCTTGACCTCAAAGACTATCTACAACGTCTTTCAACAACATCCGCGCTCGGTCGTTCGTTCTGTGGCATACAACTTGGTTGGGCCAGCCTTACCACAAGCGTTACGTCTTGTCCGGTGCCAAAATGCGCAACTATATTCCAAGCCCATTGATGAACTTTTGGGCGAGGACGATATCCAAAAAAATCCAGCGCTTTCCAGCGAAGACATCATTAGCCTTGTGGCCATTTCCGCCTGCGTTCAAATTCAAGAGCTCGAAAGCCTGTTTAGTTGGAGGTATTTTGTATCAACCTTTACACTCCGATTCGCTTAATTTGTTCCGTTAGAATGAAAGACCGAAGATTTAAGACAAGCCAGCTTTCCTTGGCGGAGTCGACACGATTCCAGAAAGCGATGTACAGATTGTGCTTGTTCTCAGCCGCCTATGGCTGCAAGGCTTACCAGTCAGTTCTTGAACCTGACTCAGATTTAGAAGAAGTCGAATCGGCACTCGAAGCAGCCCGGACACTACGAAAAGGTTTCTTCGATAGTTTTTCCACTCCTGAGCTGAGGGACATTCAAAGGGTTGAAATGTTCTTGCGGGGAATCATTGCCCGGGCTGAGGGTGATTGCTTTACTACGATCCCACCTGCGACCTGTGAGCGCCAGCATCACCATTCAAGCTTCACCCACTCATGAAGGTCATATAGACAGCCCTGAGTCATCATATGCGTTATACTGCGCCCCCCATAAAGTAATTGATGTATATAAGGAGGGGTTGGACTGCATCGATATATGCGAAGAAGAGGATGAAGAACTTTTCTTTCACAACTTCATGGATGGGCCTTTAACCTCTGTCCTGGCCGATAGGAAAGAACCGAATATCATTCCTGTTAAACAAAAACAAGCTATAATCGACGAAGTGATTGGAGAGCATGATCGGTGTTTGTGTCCTCTATTCTCTTCGGTTGACGATAGCTCATTTGATGATAGGCTCACAATGTCAATCCGATATTGTGCAGGGGTTGGATCTATGGGGACCAAGTAGTAAGTCAAAAATTACAGCCTATAGCAAGCTCAACCCGTAATTACTGAAGACTGGAGCTACCTCTGGGACACCCCACCTCTCTACTCAATCACGCAATTACTGAAAGGCTATGTCAGCGCAAATCTTGCAGACAAAGCCCATTTCACGACTGTGTTGCGGGAGACATCAGCTGCGGAGCTGGTCGAGGGGTTATTCGACTACAAAACACCGGCTTATTACACCTGGAACAAAGAAGACTGGCTATGTCGACAATGCTTGGAGAAGCTTATGCGCGACCATCTCCATATCTGGTACTTGGGGCAGAAGGTTAAGCGTAAGCTTCCGCGCCTGGTTACGTTCACGGATGTCCACTTACTTGATCCCCCCAGGAGGAGACGTGATTCCAGGTAACTGCTGGTACGGATATAACTGTCGTACCCAGACACACAAACTAGAACATGCGCAGAAACTGAATGTGAGTACTTGTAAAATGCCCTAGTGTCGTGACTAAATTTGTTTTGGCTGTAGCACTGGTGTGAACCTATCAAGGGAGATGCCCCTCCGACAAACATATAAGGGTCACGGATTCTTTTATGGATCTTGAATCGTAACATGTATTTTTAAGTTCGGCGATTTCTTTTGTATAGGCCGCGCATCGAGATTTGTCACGATACCCGGACTGGGGTTGGACGTGTCGTGTCGGGCTGGTATTAGCGTTGTTTGTATTCAAAGGGTCTGATTCAGGGTTTAGCGAGGCCCGTTTCTCTAGAGCATGCAGAAATCATTTAACAATTCGTTTGTGTCTCTACAACCCGTCTCTTTAGGTGCTCTTGATTGCGTACATGCAGCTACAGTGATGAAAGTTGAGTACTTGTCAAGTATCAAAGGGTGTAATCCAAAAGCTTCAACGCCAATTGATTGTTACAACGCCTCCTCATCTCCATTTCGCTTCTGTCTTGCATTTTATTGTTATTCGAATTAGGCTGAGTTCGAATAAGAAGGCGTACGTTGAGATAAATTACTTGCAGGAAGGGGATCACATGTAGTATTTAGCAGTTCTAAGTGAGAAGATCCGACGGAGCCGGTGCAAAAACAAGGGGAAGAGACACATTCCCCGCGGAAGTCGCTTCAGTATGATGAGCTGTGTTGTAAAGCTCGCGATGCATGCGTGTCGCCAATATTGTGTGCATCACGAACTGTAAACTACGAGACACTCAGTCAACACGGTCAGTCCAAGAAACAACCTCTTACTCTGATACCGCGTCTCCGTATTGTGCCTGCAACCATATTTTGAGTTGAATATTGGACTCATAATATTATGAACACGCACAGGAAGAGTAAGCATGACGACCACAACCACAGTCGAAAATACTGGTCCGCCACAGATATTAATGTCAATTTGTGAAGAATGATGTCTCGCTCACAAAGCCCACAGGCGAAGTAGAAGATGTTATGTCGCACCAAGACTCGCACAAGAGGCATGCTGTTTCCATATTCTCTATAAAGCTTCCATGAGTGGTATAACATGAAACTGAGTATCTCTATGAAATATTCAATGAGACCCTACAAAAGAATTGTGAAACCCACCTATTTCTACGATAACAAGCAGAATATAGGCCACAATGATAATGCGAGCGCGCTCGCTGTTGTAGCAACTTGCGACTTTGGGAATAGGTGACTGCAGGACTATGCCACATCGCTGTGAACTACCAAATCAGCGAGCAGGAGATGACCTACTTATGGAGGAAGAGTTGTATAATGTTAGTGTCACCACCACTGGGACCACGATGAGCTATGCATTTGGTTATCGACTCAGACAAAGCATTTCACTCCAAATGACTGACTTACCACGACGTTGCAACACACTACTATCCATCTGCGACCCATTACCGCCCAAACCCTCTGCATAAAGAGCGCTGCGGGATGTTGCGACCAGGGTTGGCCACATGAATGATGAATAGAAAATGATACTAACCTTCTGCACAATACAGTACGAATCCTCCGACACCTGATAGGGCCGTCAGTTCCGGAAGTACTCGTGTCACAAGAGTATCAACTCACATGAGCCAAATATAAAGAATGTTGTGCAGGCCTGAGATTTTGGAAATTGAGCTTTTCGAATAACATACAAGGTAAATAATATACCTCGACGGAAAGTCCAGGTTGTACAATTCCTGAAGACATGTGAGATTCGACTCGCTTCAAGCGGCGCATTTTGGACATACGAAGTATATCTGTAACGACCGATGCAAATGGTAGGTACCGGCAGGTAAGATAGATCAATTTGGGCCTTCGCCATGGAGCGTCCAGTATGAATGCGACCTTTGTATGCCACTTGTCAGGCTATAGGCACTGTCATGCCCTTGACTGGATGAAAACCTACTTCTTTATCAAGTGTGAGCGCCAAGTCGTAAACCTAATCAACCTCTTAAGTCAACTTGAGAGGTCGGCGCCTGAGCTGGTACCTACCCAAAGACATGCTATGGCGACTAAGACAGAAGTTCAGCACAAAAGCTCCCGTATACAATCGTTGGTACGCACAATAAGCATACTATATATAGTGCACGTGAACAGTGAGTTTGTTGAACCATTATACTATTGATTCGGATGATCACTTGCATTGGTGCGCTGGAGTGTGATGCCGATACCGATATCAGCTTGGTCAAACAACGAGACCATGATGGCGGAGGAACTGACTGCCAGGTCTTTTGCAGATAGATGTTGTAAGTCCCAGTTTAAGAAGCTGCGTCGGTGGTATTTGTTGTCCGTGATGGATGTCTACTAGTACTACTGCGCGCAGCGCAGTGCAAAGTTCTAAATTTATATGATGACTTCAGTGAGATTCAAGATGCGGGCTAGTCTCCCTCAAGCAAACCATAGACGAAGGAATCAGAAGGGTTCTTTCCTTCAATACTATGAGCTATGAGCCCGTAGCAGAAACGAAATTGAGATGTTGAAGAATAGTGGAGAACAGCCTGAATTTGAAATGCAAGCACCAAAGTGGTTAGACACTGGCAGTTCAGACAACGCTCTATCAGGGTCGGAGACTCGAGCCTGTGGACGTCTGAGCACAGTGTTTGCAATCCATCGAAAACCTACTAGTACACCCCAAGAAGTTAGTTGAACTTGAGGGTAACCTGATTGTTTTGTACTCAACATGATTTAATTGTGTGCGCACGTACCTTACAGTTTCGAATAAAACAAAGTGCGCCAATTACTGAGCTCCGAGTCAGACGATGAGCGGTGTTCTGTTTATGGCAGGCCGCCGCACTAACCAGAGTCGGACGGACCGTACGGATGGTGTCATAGTCGGACGGACCGTACGGATGGTGTCATAGCCGGACCGGACTGACGTCTGGTGGATAATTATCTGCTAATGAGAGAAAGTACTGTTGGCTTGGAGGGCGTTATGGCATACCCTCGAGAAATGAGAGACATCCATACATAACAACCTGTGTATAATCAACCATGGTTATATGCATTATCCGGACATGTACTGAAAAAAAAACGACTCAACCAGTAGTATGTGCCGTGGGACATGCTCGTAGATCTGCGACATGGTGAATCCGGCAAAAATGTGGTTGTAGCACCATAAAAAATAACCTAAGGGGTGGGTTGTTATAACCAATTGCAATACCCGGCGATGTTCAACATGTAAGGCGGTGAATTCAACCAGACTGACGGGTGATGATACCAGTGAAATTCACTGGTTCTCGGTTACATAAGTACCCATACAATATCTATTAGTACCAACTGAGAAGATACGAGTTCTCTCTCTAAAAATCATTGGCCTAGTATTCTCAAGGGGACATAGAAGATGGACCTCTACAATCAGGTTGCGTCTCCGATGGAGCCGGTGCAAAAACAAGAGGAAGAGACACATTCCCCGCGGAAGTCATTTCAGTGTGGTGAGCTGTGTTATAAAGCTCGCGGTGCATGCGTGTCGCCAATACTTCATGCATCACGAACTGTAAACTGCGAGACATTGAATCAATGCATTCAGTCCAAGAAACAGCCTCTTACCTGGATGCCGCCTCTCCGTATGGTGCCTGCAGCCACATTGTGAATTGGACGTTGGACTCATGATATTATGAACACGCACGGGAAGAGTGAGCATGATGACCATGACCGTGGTCGAAAGTACTGGTCCACCACATATATTAATTTCAATTTGTGAAGAATGATATTTCGCTCACAAAGTCCACAGGCAAAGTAGACGATGTTATGTCTGACCAGGACTCGCACAAGAGGCATTGTGTTTCCATATTCTCTATAAAGCTTCCACGAGTGGTATAACATGAAACCGATGATTTCTATGAAATATTTGAGTAATAAGATCACATAAAAGAACTGTGAAACCCACCTATCTCTACGACAATGAGCAAACCGTAGGCTAAACTTATGATGTGACCCTGCTCACTGCTGTAACAGCTTGCAACCTTGGGAATAGGCGACTGCAGGACTATACCACATTGTTGTGAACTACCAAATCAGCGAGCAGGAAAAGACCTACCTGTGGAGGAAGAGTTATATAATGTAAGTGTCACTACCACTGGGACCAGGAGGAACTATACATTCGGTTATCGACAAAGCATCTCACTTTCAAATGACCAACTTACCACAACGTTACAACACGATACTATCCATCTGTGACCCATTGTCGCACAGACCCTCCGCAAAAAGAGTGCTGCAGGATGTTACGATCAGGGTCGGCCATAGAAATGACGAATAAAAATGATACTAACATTCTGCACAACACAGTACGATTCCTCCGGCATCTGGTAGGGGCGTCAGGTCTGCAAGTACTTGTTTCACCAGGGGTACCAACTCACATGTGCTGAAGTCAGAGAAGGTTGTGCAGGACTGAAAAAATTGAACTGAGCTTTACGAGTAACAGGCGAGGCGAATTATATTAATATACCTTGATGGAAAGTCCAGGCTGTATAATTCCTGAAGACAGGTAAGATTCTACTCGCTTCAAGTGGCACATTTTAGACATACGAAGTATATCAATAACGATAATTGCAAATGGAAAGTACCGGCAGGTAAGATAGATTAGTTTGGGTATTCGCCATGGAGCGTCCAGTATGAATGCGACCTTTGTCATTTGTTAGGCTATAATTGTTGTCATGCCAGGATGAAAACCTACTTCTTTATCGAGTGTGAGCGCCAATTCGTAGACCTAATCAACTTCTTCGGTCAACTTGACAGGCCAGTACCTGAGTCGGTGCCTACCCAAAGACATGCGATGGCAACTAAGACAGAAGTTCAGCACGAAAGCTCCCGTATACAACTGTTGGTACGCACAGATAGCATACTATACAGTGCATGTGAACAGTCAGTTTATTGTACTATTGATTCAAATCATCACTTGCATTAGTGTGCTGGAGTGTGATACCGATACTGATATCGGCTTGATCAAACAACGGAATCATGAAAGCGGAGGAACTGGATGGGTCTTTGCGTCTAGGCGTTTATAATGGCCAGTTTAAGAAGCCACGTCGAAGGTATTTGTGGAGAACATGCAAGCACTGGAGTATTAATGCTGTGTCCAAAAAAGGACCAGACAGTGTTTCATCGGGGTCGGGAGCTTGCAGAGGGCCGAATACCTTGAGCACCGAGAGTTAGGGCGAGTCAAGTTACCAAAGAAGTTCTTGATTGGTCGCCTGGGAAATAGTTGAGCCTACTGCCAGTAGACTCGTCCCAAAATATCACGATTCACTAGTACTTGTGCGACACTTGGTTGTTCGACCCTGGAGAATTGCAAGGGAACGGAGGATAACTATTGCCTCGGGAAAAGCCGCGCTCCGTTAGTCAGTCTGTCAGAAGTATGGGTTCGCGTATTTTGGAAACAGCTATCTTTGTCACAGAATGGGACTAGTATTATTGAACCACAGAGAAGTGTCACCGACCGGCAACCATCGGCACATTGTGATCAGCAAACTTTGTGTTGCTACGATTCTCGTGCTAATCGAAAAGGACATTTGATGAGCAGGATTTGACAAAACCTGGGGATATGATTGGTCTCTGACAGTCGTGGGGCTCTCTGGCATCTTTCTGGGCCTTGCCGCTGCAGACATCTAGGTACCTTCATTGCTGAGTGTTCATATTCTTTTGATCCGCATGTAGTTTAAAGCTTACAGGGTATCTTCCGATTGTCTCCTTTTCGTTCCGATCAGGTTGACAGCTTCTGTCAATTCTCCGAGTAAATGGAGGTCTGAACAGTTGCCCCGGGGATTTGCGCCGTACACTGTCACCCTTTGGGTTCGGTGTTTCGTCAGATTCGTAAACCAGTGCTCTCTGAACTATGAACTCACGTTGACCGTCGAGCGCTGAGCGCTGAGCTTTGATGCCATTGTAGCCTATCGTGGAAAATGTGTCTGTAATTAGGTCGTGGTTAACACGTGTCTAGAGCCTAGGTAATTCGAAGTCGAGTGTCATTTCATCATATCATTGAATCATTCACTGCGGCGCTCGTGACTTCTCGAGCGCCTGCCGATGGCCTCCCACAGTACAACAGAATCAGTATTCGATATCCGCAGTCTTCAACTGTGCTACACTGTGGTGGTCTGGAAACTGCTTCAAGCTCTGCAGAGTTCAGGTGATTGTGGCTTCCCTGGATAGTGAGTGCATTAATACTATGATATGATCATTGATGAACTATAGCCATAGCATAGCAATGTGAGCACACCGCGGGTCAAACGCTGTGTGGTGTGTGGTCTAAATTTTCTATTATCTACCCGGTGGTACGCAAGTGCCAGTATAGGTTCAATGTTACTGATTCTTTCGAATCCCTGGTCTACTCTGTGCTCTCCGGCTACGACGGTTCCGGGAACTCCGAGAGCTTTTTCTCATGAAGGCATACCTGACTTGGCAGAGTTCTATATGGAAGGCAAACACGATGCTGGTATGATGCATTGCCTCATCGTTCTTAGCAGAAGATAGGCCGATGACCTTGAACTACTAAACTTTGACATCACAGCCTTGGGGGGCTCTGGGATTATCGATTCACGACCGATTTCGTGTCACGTTCTTCCGTGACTTCTGGAACCGCTCTTCGAGTTCCTTCGTACTCCCGACATGACTTTGCCATCCCGGTTAGCGATTCACGTTTCTTGTACGCACGCATTCAAAGTATAAAAGCCTCGACCCAACGTTCAACTTGAGCATTCAAAAATACTCACTATGTTATCTCCCAAGCTCTACTCATTCGCACTGATCGCATTGCCTGTCGTCTCGAGACGGCCTTCCTCTTTACAAAAAGTGATATCAGAACTGCCCTGGTACTTGTTGTATGTGATAACCATTGCGCGTTATCCGCGACCCCCAAGCATGACCCCACCCGCGCTTGGCACATCGCTTTTTTTTTTTTTTTTTTTTGATTCCAATTTATGTCCTATGGAGAGTAGTTACTCTAAGGAGGACAATACTATCTAATCGAAGGGCCCTAGTGCCCCCATTTACATCTCTGGACGCGTGAATGCCCTGGTGTGAGGCGTGCCCCCACCAGTCCGCCGTTCCCGCCGGCCGTTTTAGACACGCCGTCCTTCGAAGATGAGATGATTTGTTGAAACGAGTGCGATGTATAATATGTGTCTATCGGGGAAAGAAACGATACGCGTACTCGACCGCTTTCGCGGATAGGTACAGGAGTCAAGTTGGGTGTGATATGGAGAGCGCCCTTGATTTGGCGGAAGGGGATTCCTATTGTCCTCCTGGGTAGACCCGTTTGATGAACATATGCGATGGCACACCGCTTTGTAGATATAGTTCCACTTATTGCAGTTCAACACTGCAAACCAGACCCAGGATCCCGAGGAGGACCGCGAGAACAAACCCTCCCGTCCGATTCCTGCTGGTCGCATTATTGTGGACAGTGCAGCTGATATGCGCTGAGTGATGGTCCCAGCCTGCTTGCTGCTATCGCTGTGGTACGGTACTCAGGCTCTGCTGATTGGCATCATTTTCGCAGCGTTGACAATCTGGTACAACGAACTTCACGATGATAAAATGGGATTGTCAAAGAATGTACTCACAGCCATCCACTATGGGTGTTTGGAGGTTATTGGTCTAGCATTCTCTAGGGTACATAGAAGATGGTCCTCAACAATCAGGTTGCGTCTCCGACGGAGCCGGTGCAAAAACAAGAGAAAGAGTCACATCCCCCGCGAAAGTCTCTCCAGTGTGATTAGCTGTGTTGTAAAGCTCGCGGTGCATGCGTGTCGCCAATATTCCATGCATCATGAACTGTAAACTACGAGACATTCAATCACTGCGTCCAGTCTAAGAAACAGCCTCTTACCTGGATGCCGCATCTCCGTACGGTGCCTGCGACCACATTGTAAATTGGGTGTTCGACTCATGATATTATGAAGACGCACAGGAAGAGTGAGCATGATGACCATGACCGTGGTCGAAAGCACTGCTCCGCCCAAGATATTAATGTCAATTTGTGAAGAATTATGTTTCGCTCACAGAGTCCACACGCAAAGTAGACGATGTTATGTCTGACCAGGACTCGCACAAGAGGCATTGTGTTTCCATATTCTCTATAAAGCTTCCATGAGTGGTATAACGTAAAACCGAGGATTTCTATGAAACATTTAACGAGATCACATAAAAGAACTGTGAAACTCACCTGTTTCTATGATGATGAGCAAACTGTATGCTAAAATTATAATGTGACCCTGCTCGCTGCTGTAACAGCTTGCAACATTGGGAATAGGCGACTGCATGACTATACCACATTGTCGTGAACTACCAAATCAGCGAGCAGGAGAAGACCTACTTATGGAGGAAGAGTTGTATAATGTAAGTGTCACTACCACTGGGACCAGGAGGAACTATACATTCGGTTATCGACAAAGCATCTCACTTTCAAATGATTGACATACCACAGTGTTGCAACACATTACTATCCATCTGTGATTCATTGTCGCATAAACCCTCCGCAAAAAGAGTGCTGCAGGATGTTACGATCAGCGTCGGCCATAGAAATGACGAATAAAAATGATACTAACATTCTGCACAACACAGTACGATTCCTCCGACATCTGATAGGCGTCAGCTCCGGAAGTACTCGTTTCACAAGGGGTGTCAACTCACATGTGTCGAATTTAGAGAAGGTTGTGCAGGACTGAATTTTTGAATTGAGCTTTACGAGTAACAGGCAAGGCGAATTATATCAATATACCTTGACGGAAAGTCCAGGCTGTATAATTCCTGAAGACAGGTAAGATTTTACTCGCTTCGAGTGGCGCATTTTGGACATACGAAGCATATCAGCAACGATAATTGCAAATGGCAAGTACCGGCAGGTAAGATAAGTCAGTTTGGGCATTCGCCATGGAGCGTCCAGTATGTATGCGACCTTGATATGTCACTTGTCAGGCTCTAGGCGCCGGCATGCCGTTGGCTGTATGAAAACCTACTCCTCTATCGATTGTGAGCGCCAAGTCGTAGACCTAACAGGGAAATAATCAACTTGGTCAATTTGACAGGCCGGCGCGTGAGTTGGTGCCTACCCAAAGACATGCTATGGCGACTAAAACAGAACTTCAGCACAAAAGCTCCCGTATAAAATTGTTGGTACGCACAGAAAGCACACTATATAGCGCGTGTGAACAGTCAGTTTGTTGAACCATCATACTATTGATTCAGATCATCACTTGCATTGGCGTGCTGGAGTGTTATACCGATACTGATATCGGCTTGATCAAACAACGGAACCATGAAAGTGGGGGAACGGTATGAGTTTATTGTATGGTAGGCGTTAAGATGACCAGTATAAGAAGCTACGCTGGAGGTATTTTTGGAGAACAGCCTGAATTTGAAATGCAAGCGCTGGTATTGCTGTGTTCACAAAAGGATCAGAGTGGTTTTATCGGGGCCGGAGTCTGCAGAGGGCCGAAACCTCGGGCATGTTTGCAATTTGTCAAACATCAGTCCATTATTAACACGCCACGTCCTTCACACAGTGAGGTGGGGCGGGTCAAGTTACCGAAGGAGTTTTTGATTGGCCGCCTGCGAATATTCCGGTGTCAGCCTATCAGCTGGAACCTAGCAACGACATAGTTGAGCCCACTGGTAAACACTCGTCCCGCAATCTTACACAGCTTCATTTGTGGAGCACACTAAGTCCTATTGCTTCCGCGAAGCAGGGAACCTATGTAGACCACTTTCTGTTCAACACTGCCATTTGCCGTCGGCATGACGTTTTTGCGCCTTGTGCGATACTTATGACAAGCTAGTTATTCGACCCTAGAGAATTGCAAGGGTCGAGAATAACTATTGCCCCAGGCGTACCAGTAAGGCACAAGTCTTCGCAGTGAAAAGGTCAGGAACTCTGACGACGTCCATGTTAGGATACATAGTATGATGTCTTACCTCATAAGCTACGAAATAACAGGGGCGCTGCAGGTTCAGGGCACCTTCCAAATGCGAATAGTTTCTTCCATTTCTGGTGAGAATATAGTCGAGTTGCATGGGATGAATTGCTCTCAAGACTTGTGAATACAGAGGTATCATGCAGGCGGCGGTTTGATATCGAAATACGCGCTTCCGTCGCTTGGGTCTTGAGGCCAGTGTACCAAACCCCCCAGCCACAAGTTCAAGTATCCTAAGGCGTTTCTTGTAATCAGAAGGAGATGGAAATGGGAGATGGAGTGCTCACAAGTGTTTGATATCGTGAATGCTCTGGGAACCAGCCGACTGGGAACACGGAACTTGGCATGTTGAAAATCTGGGAAAGACGGTCTTCAGCCTAACAGTTCCCTCATTCGTGGGTGTTAGAATGATGGCAACTATACGAATCTCGGGAAGCAGGAGGTGATAAATACAGGAAGGTCACCCCAAATGATGTACGATGTCGGTTCATGGGCTAAGGCGAGTGAGCGGACTACGTCACATTGTGGAAAATTAAGAAACAAAACTGATAGAAGCCTAAAGGGAGACGAAAAGGAAGCCAGATCTGTAAGGCTTATCTAGGATCCGGCTCGCCCGCTCAGCCGGGATGAAGGTGAGAGAGAAGGTAAGACAAGTCCCTGACTCGCATGCTGAGTATAAAGAGGGCAGTAGTAAGCCGCACTGCACCTTGATAATCCTCTGTTGTCGAGATCATCACGGTCAGGTTCGAGGTGACAGAAACTGACAGACCATTAAGATAACCCTTATAGGTGGGTTGAACAAAGCCTGATAGTGAATTGCCAATGCTCAGTCGTAGACTGTTTTCAGCCCCAATCGCCGACCTTTCACAAGGATTGCCCCTGCGGTCGTCGTTCTCACATCGCCGCCACTAGTCCTGTCGTCGCGGAAATTTGGAGGGTGATAATTTCCACGATTATTTTTGGCAACGTGGTGTAATACAATCCAGGCATAAATTCGGCTAAACCCCCTCAGACCACAACTTTGTCTTTCGCTTCAAAGAGGCTTAAGTACCCCACAACTAGTCTAGTACAGCAAGTTCGCCGTTGTTCACCTCTTCTCTGTTTGGTTCCCTCCTTTCCCTCTTACCATCACCATGGCTCCCACCCTTAATCACCCAGCCGGCGTCACCTTCGTCGATGATGCCCATAGATCATCGTCAGTCCACGTAGATGCCGCTACATACTATGGCGGCGGCGAGGCATTTACTCGTTCGAGAACCTACAGTCATGTAAGGCGTCCTGTTCGACAACTATCTTACCAATTTCTCATGCCACGTCTATAGTCACATATTCATGGGTATAACCCGAAGCGTACTCCGCTCTTCGAGGAGGATACGCACATGAGGGCTCGGCGCATGTCACACGACGAGAAGAGCGTCACTAGTCCTCGTCGCTTCCTCATCGATGTCGAAGAGACCATTCGTGTTGTCCTTGAGCAGGAGGACACAGACGGTGATTTCCAAATTAGTATCACGGATGCGGGCCCGAAGATGATGGCCCTCGGTACGGCCACGAGCAATGGCTTCAAGACTTTTGATATTCGAGTCAGTGTCTACGTTCGCGATATCGTGCCACTCTAAATACAACCTCGATCTAGGGAACATACATGCTGTCTAACCTGTTGCAGGAACTTGCCCTAGCCCGGGATCATGGACGTAAACGTATCGTCCTCGACGAGGGACGTCTCTCAGAGAACCCAGTCGATCGTCTCTCTCGTATGATCAAGAACTCATTCTGGCACTCACTGACTCGCCGCATTGACGGCGATGGCCTGGAGATTATCACTGCGGACCCCAAGAACCGTACGGGCAGAGTCCAACCTCGGATCTACGTCCCTCATGGCGAACCCGCAATGGCTGAATACTACAGAAAGGTGGCGCGCGAGAAACCGCACATGAACCTTGATGTACAGGTTCTACCTCCAAAGCCTGATGATGCCGTATTTGTCAAAAGCTTGAACTCCAAGCCAGGTCTTTTAGCGCTCGCTATGAATGAAGTTGATGACGGCAAGGGCGGCCGGACCCTTAAAGGTATTCCGTTCATTGTTCCTGGCGCTCGCTTCAATGAGGTGCCTTGTTCAATTCACTCGATTATTCTCACTGACTAATATCATCCGATGATAGCTCTACAACTGGGATTCCTACTTCATCTCCCTGGGCCTTCTTGTCGACGGACAAGTGACCATGGCGAAAGGCATGGTTGATCACTTCATATTTGAAATCAAGCATTATGGGAAGATTCTGAACGGAAGCCGGAGCTACTACCTGTGCAGGACACAGCCTCCATTCTTGACAGACATGGCGCTGCAAATCTACAATCAGCTAGATCGCTCTGATGTAGAGTCTAACCGGCAGTGGCTGAAACGCGCAATCCAAGCCGCCATCAAAGAGTACCATACCATTTGGGTCGCGGAGCCCCGCATTGACCCCAAGACGGGGCTGTCCAGGTACCGCCCCGACGGTCTTGGAATTCCTCCAGAAACTGAGGCGACGCACTTCACGCATATCCTCGAGCCTTACGCTGAGAAGCATGGGATCTCGGTTCTCGAGTTCAGCGAGAAGTACAACAAAGGACTTCTCAAGGAACCTGCCCTGGACGAGTACTTCTTGCATGACAGAGCTGTGCGCGAGTCGGGTCATGATACGACGTACAGGTTTGAGAAGCGATGTGCGAACCTTGGGACGATCGATCTACAGGCGCTGCTATACAAGTATGAAGTCGATATCGGAACAGCCATCCGGGAGGTGTTTGATGACGAACTTGCACTCGAGGAGGAATTCGACTTGGCACCCTTCCCGCCTTCTGTTGAGGCATACCGCAACCCCTACCGCGAATGCTCAACTAGCCGGTTGCAAAACAGCGAGGAGTGGTTTGAGAGAGCTGATCACAGGAGGGAGATGATTGACAAGTACCTCTGGAACGAGAACAAGAAGCTCTACTTCGACTACGACACAGTTCTAGAGAAGCAGAGCCTGTATGAGAGTGTCACTGCGTTCTGGGCGCTCTGGGCTGGTTGCGCGAGCGAGGAGCAGTGCTGGCAACTTGTGTAAGTCAGCCGTCTTTGTTCAGAAATGTATCTAACTTTACTTAGTTCTCAGTCGTTGAAGAAGTTCGAGGTACTAGGCGGTCTTGTTTCTGGGACCGAAGAGTCGAGGGGTAAGATTTCCTTGGACAGGCCTAACCGGCAGTGGGATTACCCGTGCGTATGTCTCCTCTATTGCGATTTCAGTGGATCTAACACTTTCCAGCTATGCATGGCCTCCTCACCAAATCATGACTTGGGTCGGACTGGAGCGCTACGGTTACTTGGAAGATGCACAGCGACTGGCGTACAGGTTTCTTTACATGTGCGTGACTATACTTCGTATTGTGCATGCTGGAACTGACTTGATTACTGTAGGATGACCACAGCGTTTGTTGATTTCAATGGAGTTGTACCTGAGAAGGTATGTGATGCTAGCGGTGGATGCTTTACGTTACTAACATGAATGTTCGCCAGTTCGACGCAGTGAAGCTTTCACACTTGGTGGATGCTGAGTACGGCAACCAAGGTTTAGACTTTAAGATGGTTCCTCGTGAGGGCTTTGGGTGGATGAACTGTGCGTTTCGGTCCATACCCGTGTTTGCCTGCTAACCGATGATCACAGCCGCCTACCAGGTGGGCTTATCCTTCTTAACGATGCACATGCGTCGCGCAGTCGCGACGTGCACTAGCCCAGAAGTCCTCTTCGGATCAGTAGCAAACCTTGATAATGCTGTCGCTAAAGCGGCACTTGCTGCCACCGATCCTCTTGGCCTTGCGATGGAGTCGTTGAACATCGCCGGTGTACCTGCTTAAGGACGATGTCTGCTTTCATGCCTTGGTCTTATTATAATGCGGCGTGTAATGTGCCCTGCGGGTAGCGACAATACTCATGTCTAATACGTCTCGTGGTTCAGATCTAGAGTTTCCATTTTATTGTCAATGTCCTCTTTGCATTTTCACTTGTGTATTCTAATTCATAGTCACAGTCTTTTAAGATATAATATTGGCTCATGGATTGACGCAAAAAAGTAGTTAAGTTAGTGTCATGCTGAGTCAGCAACACTAAGGCTTGTCTGCAACGTTTATTGCTCGCTGTGATGTCCGATGCTCCCAACAGCCGTGACGACCCTCCTCGTTCTCCTCCTGGATTTTTTCCTTGACCGTGGTCAACGGCCGCAGAGTTCTCAATTTCAGCAACTCCTGCGATTTGAGTTACGGCACGAACATGCCGTCTCACCCGATGCGCGTGTGGTGTTCTCCGACGTGCCATCGCCCGTGAGCCTTGTCTACGGCAATGAATCATCTTATTCGATTGATTCTCGACATATGATCTCATATCGTCCGTCGAGTTTCAGTGCCTACAACGATGCGAGGGTACAGTCCATGCGGCACGCACAAAGCGCGAATTTGCCCTGGTACGAACAGGAAATTTTAGGACCGAATGTCGAGAATCGCGAAACACTGTTACAACTCGCCAAAATGACAAACAATGCCTACGTGACTCCTGATGATAGCCAGTGGTACGAGCTTGGCGAGAACTGGACCACCGTTCGTAGGTTTCCTTAAACCACGCATGCACATCATCGCTGAGGATCCGCTTTCAAAGCATTATCCATTTGGATGGGAACCAGAAGCTGATGGGTTCCGAGGTTATGTGTTTGCAACACCCGACAACTCCGTTGTCATTCTATCTATCAAGGGCACCTCCGCAGCCGTGTGGGGAGGCGCAGGCCCGACTGCCAAGAAGGATAAATTGAACGACAACCTACTCTTTAGTTGTTGTTGTGCCAGAATTGACTGGACTTGGACGACTGTGTGTGGGTGCTATCGTAAAGGGTGGCAATGCGACCAGGATTGCCTAGAGCAGGCTCTGGTGGAAGATAGTCTATTTTACCCCATTGGAACGGTAGGTCTATTATTGTCGTGTGATTCGCTCGCTCATTTAAATCAGAACCTGTATAATAATCTAACATATATGTATCCGACGTCGGACATCTGGATTATAGGACATTCGCTAGGTAAGTATCTTGTGTTGAAGCTGAGGATGTGGTCGCTCACATGCAAGAGAAGGTGGTGCGGTGGCCTCCCTTCTTGGAGTCACGTTTGGGACCCCTGTTGTTGCCTTTGAGTCCCCAGGAGAGCGGCTGGCTGCAAAGCGGCTGCACCTGCCGTCGCCGGTATGTAGTTCTAATGTGCTTACCATCCCAGTAATAATGGACCAGTTTTAGCCATCAACTCATCATGTCACGCATGTGTACCACACTGCAGATCCCATTGCGATGGGAACCTGCAATGGAATCTTGTCTTCTTGCGCCTTGGGCGGGTTCGCGATGGAAACTAGGTATGTTTTCTGGCATTCACGCTGCCCACATCACTGAGGCAACCTAGATGTCATCTAGGCAAATCAATTGTGTATGACACCGTGTCCAACCTTTCTTGGGCTGTAGACATACGCAAACATGGGATAATTAATGTTATAGAAGAAATTCTGGGAAAACCCTGGCAACCCAGCGAAGATGTCGGTCGTCAGGTTCCACCCGCTGCAGCTGAAGAAGATTGTGTAGTGAGTGGTCAAAACTACGTTCCTTACGGTGCTCTGACATTCATGGAACTTGCAGGAATGTTATAGCTGGGAGTTTGGCGATTTCCCCCCGTAGATGCTACCACAGTCGGAGACTGTAGGTATTCATTTGGACATGCAGTTCGCTAGAACATACCCATACCCTGCTTTATCATACATGTCAGTGCATTGAAACGAAGAATTTTCGGATGAATATGACGAAAGGTAAGCAATATCTTACTCAAGCCGGACAAGAATGGCGGCATTGTTTCATATTGGTTTCAGAGCCTTGAAACGAGGTTCCGGTTCGAATGCCTTCATTAGTACTGTCATGATTCTCGTGCCTCTATCTAATCTTCAGGCTGGTCCATGACTCGAATATGAATGGCTGATTGGTCTCCGATCACTGACTTACCAAGGTCATCACTGACTTCGGCGCCTAGTGATGACCTAATTCAAACACCGTATCAGCTCTGCATCCAGCGAATCAGTTTGCTTGGCTAGGTTGATACTACACCGCAACCAGCTCCGGACTAACCTTGGCATTACCCACCCACAGGTTCTCCGGGCTCCCGCTAATTCTACTCGGTCATCTTTGGTCTCAGCGCTTAGTCTAATCATACCAGCGTCTATCCTGCCGAACGCCCCTCAACAACATGGAAATACACGTGCAGTCATCACCTAAACCAACCTCTTCTCGCGCTGTCACAGCCAAACTCCATCTATACATATCCCTACCCTCGTCTTCTCCTACCGCTCATTCCACCCACCACTAAGCCCAGCCTCCATCCTCATCGTTTTGCTTCATCGTTCCAACATGCCCGGTAACGCAGAAAGCCAATTTATTAGACTTGAAAGTAGGTCACTCCGTATCACCTTGTGATCTCTGCTGTGATATTCTCGCTCTATCTACAGTCATTGGTGCAAAAAATCTTCAAGTCCCTTCCAAGCGCATGCCCGCTGGTATTTACATATCCATCAATGTCGATTCGAGGAGACGCTGGAAATCAGCCATTAGAGTCTTGTCATCCCACAAATCCGTAGCGTGGGGAGATACCGCGACCCTGTAAAGTCCATTGAAACTTTCGGACGCGATTCAAGACTGATCTTCGTTTTATAGATCATCACACGAGTCACCTGCATTATCAATGGAGATTAGAGCGCCCTTTGAGCTCGATCGAACGCTGGGCAGTGGTGAAATCATCGGAAGACTTCAAACATCGTGGGATGAGTTGCTCGATCATGGAGATGAACCATTCGGTGAGCAACCTACTTCTCATTCCTGCACACCTACTCACATCCCGTAGAATTGTCCTTCCCACCCGTTCGTGGTGTCAATCCTTCGCTCACGCTGAAGGCCACTGTTGTACATGCTAGCGATGATCAGGACGGCGCACTACTTGACGTGAGTAACCCCAGACTTTGTCCTGTTAATTGTGCTCACAGAACACCAACTGTAGTCCCTCGTAGACCGCGAGATTGCTCGAGACACAGATGCGGGCCACGCACGATGTGCCGAATACACGACTAGCAAGACAGTCTCTCACCTGAACGATGCTGTAGAGCGTTTTCAATTGGTTCTGGACCGCTGTCCGGTCGACCATCCTGACCACGCAGCGGCTCTCACCAACCTTGCGTGGGCCCGCTTTCAAGGCTACATTCGAAACGATCTCCAAGACATTGACATTGATACCACCACTTCCCTCTTCCGCGAAGCCTTTGCATTGCGTCCGCAGGGCCATCTCGATCACACATTATCTCTCCACCATCTCATTTCCGCACTGATCTGGCGCTACAGCAAGGAGCGCACCGCCGTCTTCATTCGCGAATCCCTGCAGCTGTGCTACAAGCTACTGCCGCTCTGTCCAGAGGGCACCTACCTTCGTAGCATCGGCGTAGACGGTGCAGTGAATTATGTGATCAGCGGATGCAACAATCTTCCGAACGATGTATCTGACGAAGGCATCCACCTTAGACGAGTCGTGCTCGAGCTCTGTCCTCCGGGTCATCAACACCATCCCCTTGCCCTCGCCGCTCTTGCACTTGCACTCAATGGACGCTTTAGAGAACGCGGCAGCATTGATGATCTAGAAGAGAGCATACAACTTGGTCGTGAAGCTCTTCCTCTGTGCCCCGAGGGACATTCTGGCCGTAGTGGCTACCTGAACAACTTGGCCTTCTCACTCCTGTGCCGCTTCAATAACCAAGGTAAATCTCATGACCTCACTGAGGCCATCTCCATGTACGAAGAAGCGCTGCGTCTGTGTCCTGTTGGGCATAAATCTCGTGATTTCTCATTGGACAACCTAGGGAGCGCCCTCCGCACCCATTTCAGCCAACGCGGTGATGTCGATGACATCAACCGAGCAGTCAGCCTCACTCGCGAAGCACTGACGTTGCGCCCACCTGGGCGTCCAGGTCGTGACGCCACACTTAACAACCTTGCCACCGCGCTCGCAGAAAGATATGTCAAATTGCATGTCATCGAGGATCTCAACGAGGCCATTGATCTATATCGCGAATGTCTTCAGTTAAGGCAGTTAGATGATCCAGAGCGCCATAACACTTCTTCCAATTTGAGCTCAGTGCTCTGCTCTCGTTTCACACAAACTCGGAAGAATGCGGATGTCGAGGAGGCCATTCGGCTCTGCCAAGAATCATTAGAGGCTTTGCCTTCTCTACACCCATATAGATGGTCCAGCTACAGATGGCTGAAGCAAGGTTATTGGTCTCGTTACCAAGTGCAATACGAGCCGGCTGATTTGTCACTTGCAATGGAGAACTCCAGACTTGCGTCAATGCACCCCACCCAAGGTTTCCCAAATCGCATTCTAGCAGCCTGGCACTGGGTTTTTGATGCCGAGGCTTCTTGTCATGAAAGTGCGCTCGAAGCCTATGCGGTGTTTTTCGAGCTTCTTGACGCACATTTTTCAACACGATCATCCACCACTTCGCGGCGTGAAGCCTCTGCCGCCTTCCGTGATGCCAGATCGCTGCCTGTAGATGCGGCATCATGTGCCATACGCAGGCACAACCTGAAAAAGGCCATCGAACTCGTGGAGCGGGGTCGTGGCCAGCAATGGTCATTGGCCTCTCGACTCAAAACTCCAGTTGAAGAGCTCGAAACGGGACATCCACATCTAGCTCACAAATTTTTGGAACTGAGCAAGCGCGTTTCCGACGCAGCTCAGGGTTCTGCAACCATCGCGGACAGAGCTGCAGCTGAAATAGCGGAAATGAAGTACAGGAGAATTATGACGCAATGGGAAGCTGCGGTAGCTGAAATACGCGATCTTCGAGGTTTCTCGCGGTTCCTACTTCCACCTTCGTACGAAGACTTGCAAGTGGCAGCTCGCAATGGCCCAGTCATCATCCTCATTGCCAGCCAAAACTCGTGCAGCGCTATCATTGTCCCAAATTCGGGAGAGCCCCATCATGTTCGCTTCCCGCGCATCACTGTCGCAGATTTGGCGAAGCTCAAGGACGATTTCGCTACGGCAATCCGGCACGCGGCTCGTATGCACCCAGCAGAGCCAAGGAAGAAGTTGCGAGTACGCTTGCGGATATTATGGGACGAGATCATGCTACCCATCGTTAACGTCCTACAGCATGACCTGAAATTGCGGCATCGGTCTCGAATATGGCTGTGTCCGACGGCAGCCTTCACGTCCATCCCTCTCCATGCAGCTAACCCATTCCGAATGAATGCAGATCGCTCTGGGAGCGAGTCGTGCCTGGAGGATCTCTACATCTGCTCTTATACACCCACACTTTCAGCTCTTATTAGAGTTCGGCAGGCGATGAAGACGCGTGCGACTCCGTCCTTCGCGGCGATCGGACAAAGTCAACCAGGCGCAGGGCAAGGCGACGTGCTCCCGGCTGTTGACAGTGAGCTTGAGCTTGTCCATACACTCGTTCCTCCCAACATCAAGTTCACCAATATGTCGAAAGACGAAGCCACACAAGCAGGTGCGCTCAACGCTTTGCAGTGCAACACCTGGGTGCACCTCGCTTGTCACGGCAAGCAAGACCTTGAGCAGCCTTATAACTCATGTTTCGCCATGAGAGACAAACCCGTTACGCTGCTCGACATCATGGAGAACAATTCTCCGCAAGCTGAATTTGCATTCTTGTCAGCATGTCATACCGCCGTCGGCGATGAGGAGACACCCGACGAAGCCATCCACCTCGCAGCTGGACTCCAGTTTTCGGGGTTCAAAAGCGTCGTTGGCACGCTTTGGGGGGTCAGTGACGCTCTCGCAAAACACGTCGTGGAAGCTTTTTACAAGAAGATGTTCGAAGACCTGGAGGACGGTGTCATAGACTGTACGAAGGCGGCCTGGGCACTCAACCGTGCTACACACGCCGTGATGACAAAAGTGCCGCTCGAGCAGAGGATGGTTTTCATACATATTGGTGTGTAGTTCTATGTGGTATTGCTGTCGTCTGGTACATGTTCACAAGTTGTTTATTTGTGATCCCTTTTTGTCCTGTTTTTTTTGTAGTCATGACCCTGATACTGCACGATGAACTCAACATGTGCACCCATCGGAGTCTGTAGCTTCGTCAATCCCGGATGGGTGCCTCGACTTGCGACCCGGATCTCTGCACTACTTACATTTACTTTGACGCAAGTGCTAACTTCAATATTATGGCGAGGCACTCATGATTCAATCCTTATAAATGATTACTTGTACTCATACAAAAGCAGAAGGACTCGACACTCTCCTGGTATATCCTCGACTTATCCTCAAGACTCCCTCCGGACAGTGGATATCGGACTAAACATCCATTTGAACCATCCTTCCACTCATCCTGGGACACAGCCGATACATTCTCGCATTATCAGACACTCATACCTTCAGTACTCCGAACATAATTTTCCCACCTCGACAACCAACAGCAGTAGAGAGACATAACGGCCGTGCATACATCTGATAAAGACTCAATTGCGAGGACACATGCAGTAAGTGACACAAGTCGACTAAATTAATGAGAGCTAGACTATGATTTGTCTTCTAATACTAAGTACCACAACGAAATCTAGAGCAAATTTCTCCTCCCTGCCGGCAGTATGTCCCGTGCTACACAGTGCTGCTAGTTGACACATTTACGCGCTCCTGGAAGACAATAGAAGTCATGCCTATTCCTGCGTCGGAGTTAGCCATGAACTCAGCGTAATATTGTCGAACGCTAAGGATGAGGCGTGGTCCCAGCACAAACAACTGTACACTCGACACAATTTGAAGAATGCCATAATATATCTGAGTTCCCACAGAATTTGGGTCCTGTAGAAATGCTCAGCAGTAGTCGCATGTAGAGGTCAGTGACAGATCGGCATACCGCGAATGTTGGAGAGCCACCACCGAGATTGAAGCAAGATACAGCAGCAAAGCTAGCATGTGTAGCAGTTCAGCAAATAAGATAACCACATTCAAAGCCCGAGCTCACCTTACAAAGTAAAGTGCGTGAGATTTGATCAACACTGTGAAACAATCCCCGATGGTCGATCCTGACGATGGTCCGAGTCGTCGCAGGTCACGGAAGTGTTTCACAGAAACCCAGACCGAAAGACACAATGCGAGGACCTCCCATACAGTGGTGAGAGTCCAAACCACTGTTATCAGAAGCTGGACATCTCCCTCGTAGTCATAACCGCACACATAGTTGTCAGAGAGTATCTGCTCCACTGGGAATCCGTCCAATGAGTCTTGTACTTTGTTACATAACTAATGCTTACCCCCTACAATATACTTGAATCCTATCGCAGTGGTCACTACGCAGGCGATGGTGACAGCCAGGAAGATGAGAATGAGAAAGATAAGCATCTTTCTCGACCTGTGATACATGGCATGTAACCGAACAATCACGACGACTTGCATCATATTTCATATCACTGAGGAATTGCAACCGGCTAAGTAACTCACCGCTCAGCATGGCAGTTACGATCACATTCGTCCAGTTTAGTGCGGAGTACATCATATTGCCTGAAACCTCCATTTAGTGATCAACCTCGTTGGATAAAACACTCCAGGCAAACTCACACCTATTGCAGTCATTATGTTGAACAAAGTCCAACGCTCAGAATATCACTCACCCCTACATGTAACATGAGTGCAATTAATTGGATGTGAATGGAAGGCATGGATGCGAAATACTCACCGCATCTGTCAGCGAGACTGTCAGAAGGCTTACTGTATGCCGCTGGTCAGAAAATAACAACACGGTATATATGAGACATACCCAGCATATACACCCTGATTGCGAGAGATGTCCCATTAACAGAGCCAATTTGCTAGCCTCAAACGTGACGTACATAGCATATGGTATTCCAGCATAGCGCACCTATAATATTTGAGTCAGTATAACTTACCAACCGCGGTATAGCACAACATGAGGTACGAACAAAAAAATAAAGAACAACCATTAGGGACCAACGTCGCCTCTGCCCCAAATTAATTGCGTCATCGTGTTGGCTTCGGAGACGGGACTCTGCTAAGTGCTCACCCAGATCAGTTCAATCTATAACACCATTTTTAGTGACACGACTTCTCCGGGAATGGCATCAACCTACCTCTTGTCCGAGTGTCAGTGCTGCTCAATATCGTCAGGTAATCAATGGTTTTACAAAACTATTTTGCTCACTCAAATCATATACCACAGCAGCGAATGAGGCAACTGCGAAATCACAGTCAAGGTTAGATCATGAGCAACATCGTCCGACTATATCTCCACCGACCTACAAAATAGCTGTAAAATCGAGTCGAATAGAGTACTGGCCACCAGCTAGGATCGTTTGAAATTAGGGTCATATTCGAGGGATGTGTGTGAGTGAGTGGGGAACTTGGGAGAAATATAACGATGGTGTTCGTGCTAGATATACCACCATCCAGCCCTTGCATCGCCGGAATCGGCGCAATGGGGATGGATATCCGTTCCTGCCTCAAGACCTTTGATTGGTTGAAGTAAGTATGGCGTGCAAAATCAAGTAGAATAGCCTCAGTGTCAGGCACGCGGAACGCTAAAACACAGGAAAAGCTCAAGATGTTGTTCGTGATGTCAGAAACTTGTTTACAAGACCATTGATGAGATATTCTGCAAGTACCTTGGTTTGGTTCAGGAGTTGCATGAATGTCTCGCTGATGCAGGTCTAGGTGATATGACAGTCGAGCAAGCTGCTGCCTCGATGATAATCCTCGGTGAGACCATCTAGACTCTAGATTCTCTTGATTCAAAACGTTGAAGAAAGCGTCCGGCCGTGGAAAATGAACCCACAGTCAAACGGAACGTAGGCGGCACACAGCTCTAGGGTACAATGTTGACAGTCGGACGTTGCGCAATGGGCTGCTTGGAAGTCACTGCATAACAAAAAGGGTTCCTGAGTCAAAAAAAAATACAGAACGTAGTTAAGACCGTCGTCCCTTAACCGTTACGGTAAAATGCAGTGATAATGAAAGCTCACGCATCATTATCGCAGACAGTATTTATGCTGAATACGGGAATTTTGGTAAGCCAACGGGCTTACACCAGCCTGGCCAACGTTCAAATTGCTGCCATTTCCCGGGTTGCGTTCTGACATTCATTCCAGTTGCAGGCAAGCAAATGGCAGACAGTCACGGTGGGCACGATGGTGTATTTTGGAAGCTCGCCGGCATAACGGCGAGTAATACCAAACGGATCGGACCTAAGGGTAACAGGACAAAACCGTGAATTCTAGAGCGTGCCAATACAGAGGTGCAGGTGATATGAGACCCGAGCGGATAGCGGCGATAAACGGCGGTGATATAAGCGATCCAAACAAACACGTGACTGATGTACTGGTAATTTCCGACTCTCCCTAGCCGCTGGCGAGGACGAGTCTGAAATGGCCGGTCTGGGTGCAGGTCTGCGCAGACCTGGAGTCTGCGTCTGCGACAAAGTCTGGGTGTACACTTGGCACGGTTTGCGGAGTTTGAAGTCGCCAGCGGTTGAATACCGCCGTATCACTGCCACAACCACCTGCTGCCCGCCGCTTCCCGCCCCTGCCCACACGCTGAGCACGGACCATGGACGTCGGGTCCATCTTTGTAGCCATGCAGCGGCCAAAGTCGACATTCTACAGCCTCAGCATCACACCATATTTGTCGTGGTTGCCCCTGAAGTCCTACCCCCCTCCAAAAACACATCCCACAATCAGCATTCCTTTCGATATCGATATCGTGGGCGGCGGGGAGCAGGCAGGCGGGCAACGATGAGGTGGTGGGGGTGATGAGCGCATAGGAGTTTCATAATAACTCCGCTTCGATTTGCCGACGGCACCAAGACTTGCCGAGCGTGCACCCAGACTTTGTCACAGACGCAGACTTAGAGTCTGCGCAGACCTGCACCCAGACCGGCCGTAACTTACACATTCACCCGCTGGCAGACTTTCTCGGGGCCCGAAACGACGACGTTATTATTCAAGCACCACTGCGCATTGGCTTCAGCAGGCCATGAACGCCTCGCGCTTACTATGTATCCGAAAGGCCATGTGGGATCTCCCGTGTCCCTCCTTGTCGTTCTAGTCGTGTCAAATTGGGGAGGACGAGAAGCTCAGCTAGAGGTGTCGATGAAGCTTGAGCTTCCCGAGCTTGAACTCGGGGCACATGTTACACCGGACTCGCAACGAGAGGCATTCTACGACGAAGAGCATCTACGAGAAGCTGGAGGAATTTCGCGCACAGACAGTGTATCAATGAGCAACGGGTGGCAGCCACCGACTTAGCACGTGTCACGCCACCCACCAGTGAATTCGCGAGGTCCATCGAGCAAAAATGGGAGGGCATCTCGCCAAGCTTTGATCAATTCGTGACACCTCAAGGGCCTCGCATTTGGCAATTCCACGAGGCCCCAGACATCAATGAGCATATTCGCGTGAATACCAACATCCATGATGTACCTTTATGTGCCCAAATGCCAGCCATGCCATGAAATACCCTCTGTCGGTCACTTTCGGACGTGCGCGACATCGGTATGAAGCTGTATGCAAACCATGCGTCATTGTGCGGCACACCCATACGGAGCGCATTGCGAGCATTGCTTTGGTCCCCGATCAGAATGTTGGTGTCGCACTTTCTTTCTTCGTTTAGGTTCCAGCGGCATGGACAGTACCATTTTCACTATACCTGCGCATAGCATAGATGGCATTTACGCGTCTCATAAATGTTAGTGAAGATAATGAGATCACTGAGTGATGAGTCTGGCTGAGGTCCTTGAGCTGCTGCAATGTACTTACGTGGCAATAATATCCCACGGTTTCTGGGGCGGTCTCTGCGCGTTGACGCGCCCGGACGCGTCCATTTGTTACTTGCAGGTGTGGACCAACCATGGTGATCGACGTATCTATTTCATTATCCAACGCCTTTAATCCGAAACTCCCGTCATGCGTCGCAAACCTTGGTCACGACGAACTTGTTCTCATAGAAATGCAAGGCACGCTTGACATAGAGTGCAATGAAGACACTTCGACTAGAGACGCGCAGTTCGTTGGCAAATTGAACCTCACGAACGCCGTGGGTAGAGTTCTTTACAGTCTCCGATCAAGCGGCACCTAACAGACCTTTAAGAACAAACCCACGTTGATCATTGGGCATCATTTACTTGATGGCAAGGTTGTAACCTTACCCAAACCATTGGGCGTGATGCATCGCAAGGAAACTTCCAAGAGATATGACTGTCCTGGAGATGAAGATAGCTCTAGATCGGCGGAAGACACTTCCAACCCTGGCGTTAGCTGGGGCATCGTCGCCGTGGTGAAGAAAAAGATCGTGTTTTCCAAACGACCCATGCCGATCGTGAACTTGGGCGGTAGTACTCAAAAAGGGAAAGTTTAAATCAGGATTAAAATGCACAATCCCTGATGCGAAGCGTTCCTCGTTTGACCGTGATGGAGCTTGGTTGGTATGTTTCAACTAATGTACAGAAGGACTTACCACTAAACGAAGCTACAGAGCAGCTCTTTCGATCATGGGTCGGTCGCCGACAGAGCGCACCAAACTGCGACTGGGGTCACGACCTGTTTTCCATAGACGATGTTTGACTTGAACCTCGGGGAGAAGATCATTGTCTCCGATAACAACCTAACATATATGACGGGATGAACCAAGGATCTATGTCTTGCTATCGAAACATTGTGCTGATACAGTTTCAGGAAACTATCCTAATACACTTTCTCTTCAATAACATCCATGATATGTTCTTAGATTGGTCCGGCACGGCCAATATGCAAGCAAGGCCTATCAACCGCTGTTTTAATGGATACCACAGTATCCCTCCAACGTCGTAACTGGTGGTGGACGAGCCATTTCCTTCCTCTAAAGGGATGAAGAAAAAAAAGGTGAAAGTCAGATTTTCACACCTGAGTTAACGTTTCAGGTGAAACAGTATTTAAGGGTTCTAATAAAGCACGCTGCTGGTCTACTCTCCAGAGTTCACGAGACATCCTTGTCACAAGAAAGGCATGAATAGTTACTTGCCAGATGCGTACAAATTTCACAATCATGAAACCGTAATATGCCTGTTAGGTTTTACTTGTCAACATACATGGCTCTATCTATCTTTCGTGCGACTGACCTTGACAAGCGCTGTCGTTAATATGACGGTGATAGAGAATACTTGATATCATAATTCAGAAAATCTGCGCATGCACTTGGAAAACTACAATGTGAAGACAACTCACGGAGTCCGCAGGTCATGTAAATCAGATTCTGTAGGATCAGTTGTCCCAACAGGCGATTATGTGTTCCCTCTCGCCAGTAGCTTGTGATAGCCTTGTATAATGTGAACATCCATATTTCTGGGGGGTCATTAATTACCGGAAACAAATGAGGTTGTGAGGTTGTACTCACGTATCTCCGCCACAGCAAGAATAGCGTAGACGACTATGATAGTGCTGCCATCGCCAGTGTCAAAACAGCTCGTGACAGGGATGGGGGACTTGGTGACTGCAAGAATGCTTCAGCGTAAGGAGTCATTTCTGAATTTTCAGAGAAACACACCAATAGGCGCGGACCGGTTGAGTGAGAGCACCACATGGCCAGTAACAATGTAGATCTGACGGTTGCAATTTAATTGGAATGGAGGGGACCCAGTAAAGCTTGCGACTGACCAGCCCGCTGATCAGGAGTATAGCTGTTATGCATCTCCTAAATTCCCACATTGCGCAAGCGCGGGTCATGAAGACACCTTGCAGGTCTCTTTCAATGAATCTGCAGAATATGGGTCACGAAACAGCAAACCTTCGGCGCACACCATAATTACACTTCCTAGATCTATATTGAATCTCTATTAGAGACGACAAGTTCGCTTCAAGGATCGATAAAACCGCACATGTGTTTACGTAGTACATCGTCTGACATGTCTGTCATGACACCTGAGTTGAGGTGTGCCTTGAGAATCTTTGAAACACTCACCCGGATCGACATCGTGGGTTGCAATGCCACTGTGAATGACATGAATAAAGATGATTATGACATCGATGATTGTGCTTGCCAAGCATCTCCAATGATAAGTAACCGCAGGTAAGATATCGGCAGACAATGTAAAGCAGCTTCGCCCATTTCCATTGTGACTGCGTCAAAAATACAACCTGCAGTCGTTTACATCTCTAAGCATCGACAAGTAGAACAAAAGTACCTCGTCGGCCAAGGTCAGGAAATAGTCATATGCCTGCGGTGATGAAGATCACTAATGTAAGTGCGAGTGATGCTAGTTTACCCAGAACGAAGTTACAGCAACTGAAACGATGTCATGAACGAGATCATCAGTCACAGCCAACACAACTTGAAATAAATCGCGGACCATTGGCGTACTTGAGAGATTATAAGTAGCTGGAACCGAACAAACAATTACTTACGTTTAGGCCCCAAAGCACCCGTCCGAGCTGGAGCACGTCGTCAGTGGAGTTCATCACGGCGCACTGCTGTTCACAGTGCAGAGGTGGGGATTCTTCTCATGACTCTTGCACCGCTTTATGTATGCTGGAAATCTTGGGTAGCGTGTTTAAGCTTAAATAAAAATATGGGACCCTGTCAGCTCATGCCGATTCTGATGTAAAAGCTCACCAAACACTATCAAATATCTGTCGTAGTTGCCTTAGAGAAAGCGCACAAGGGTCTTGGCGCTATCTCCCATCCTTTTACCTGCCACCAGAAAGCCGCATTAAACATGGTACAGGGGTACATCACAAATGGAAACACACCCTCAATACAACTGGCGCGACACTGCGTACCTGCATGCAATGCTAAAGCGATGTGGCCTCCTTCTGTTCAGTGACTTGGTACGTACTAGTTTCTCAGATATTCTGCTCATAGTGCCCAATTCGGATGGAGACGTAAGAGCCAATCAACGACGACCTATTGTGCAGCGCAGTAGGCCAATCGGAATCGTTCCTTATTCTCTACGGCTGCCCTATGTCGTATTCCGTGAAAACCCCAACAAGCTATCTGCCATGACACTCGTAGAATGACATTTTCAGGGCTAAACTGACGTCGTGGTGATGCAGGGAATCTGCTGCTAATATTTGCTCATGGCAATCGATCCGCAGCGAATATCAAGGGACGTTACGACGTCGGTTTGATTTCCATAGTTTGAGATGCATCTTTAGGAGCGCACGGAACACGACTTGAGCACTAGAGAATGCTTGAGTTTTCTTAACCAAAGCTGATGAACGAAATGTGCCTAGCCATCAAATTACCATACGATGCCTTGAGATGAGTCTCGTCAACACAAAATTTCCAGTAAAGAGGAAGTGATAACCTGCAATATTAATAGGGCCGTCGTTAATATACCGACAACGGAAGAACCTAGGGGATTTCAACGCGTTCCAAAGCACCGCGCAAATTATCACAGGTGCGCCACATTTTTCTTGAAACTCTGCTGCGGACACGCTCCTGCATTTGATTTATGAAATGGTTAGCAGCCAAGGCTTTCAAGTGTGTCATGTGGATATTGTGACTTTAAGTGACTAACACCAAAACATAATTGAGTTTCAAAGTTTGCCTCTCGTAGCCAGACCTTGATACTTTTAGAAGAAAGGCAGTCGTCCCTTCTTTTCCAAGGGTCAAGACAGCCGCCACCCGCCGATTTAATTGATACGACAAGCTTTACGATAGACCACGTTTCCTGCTATGGGTCTGCCAAAGACCCGAGCCGTCCCACTGGCGACTACTCCCCAGGCGTTACTCCTGTCGACCATTTGGTCAATGTACAACACCTGTGGCTGGAGGGAAGGTAGAGGAAAGGGCATAGCACACCTTTTGAAAGGTGAGCGAGAATTTGTTTTCTGAACTCTGCTGACTGGCTTTCGCATTTTTGAAAAAAAACAAATAAATCTGTGGAATGGTCCTGCATGGTTGAGATCTCCTGGAAGCTGTTCGTCCGTCCAGTCCACATTCTCTGCGCTTGATGATCATACCATGAGCGTCGTGAGAGTGGCTGAACTTGCAGACCTTTGACAATTCGATAAAGCGTTCATAGTTCGCATCGTTAAAGCATTCCAGCTTTTGCATCAAAAATATCGCTGAGATACGTGCTCACAATGATACAGCCGCGCACCTGAGACCTTCGGGAATGACATCCAACAGCTAAGTTCGGATGTCCCTCACAGCGCGCAATGAATATGTATGGTTGCAACAATAATCCTCTGCAGCAGAGCACCAAGCGCTTCAGTATGCGACTGGTGCGTTCTGAATGGCACGATCTTGGCTGATGGCATGACTAGCTGAGACTGCAGGTGATGTCATAAACGAAAAACATTCATGACGTAATACACAATAATTATATGTGATTAAGTAAGCCAGGCGAAGGGTTTATAGTGCATTTGCCAACGCTTCTTCCCTTCTTCACTTTGATTTATACCATCATCACCCCCCCAAATATCCTATCTTATTGCTTATAATCATGTCTATCTTTCCCACATACCACAACCTTACCAGTCCAGCTGGCTTTCCTGGATTGTCCTCCTCTTATTCTGCTGAGCAGATTTCATTACCCCCTATGGAACAACCCCTGTGCCACCAAAAATCTGCCGACCTTGCTGCGTTGGAGATATTATCCGAAGATGAACTGCTCTCTATTGTCGACCTCCTATGCTCGTCTGCGCCTGGTGCACATTCGGACTACTCTACTATTATGGAGGAGTCGCACTCAGAAGAAGTTCAAAATGATTTCACTGCCGCCATTCGAGCAAAGCCTCCTCATCCCCGGGTAGCTCATGCGTGCGATCATTGCAGGCGCCGCAAAACAAAAGTAAGCATTCAATGTTTCTCTATTCAACTCTGGTTGACGTTAGTGGACAGTGTTCTGGGGAGCAGCCAGCATGTTCGAGCTGTAAAAAAAGGGGCAAAGTGTGCCAGTGGACCCCTCTCAAAACTACTAAAGAGCGGCGAAGCCGGAAGCCCTACGACGTCGATATTGAATATCGTCCTCGACCTCGTGCACCTGTCCCGTACATTATGGCACCTAGGGCGACGTATCCCTCGAGCGTTATGCTCCCGAATCCGATGACCATTTGGTCTACCGAAAATTTTATGTCTGCGCCGGCACCCATTGTCAAGTCTACGACTCAAGCACCCACTGGTTGGAGTGCTCCTGCGCAGTATGATTGCCAAGAAGTGGATATCAATTTTAATTGGATTCCGTCCCCTCCTTCCTCCTGCCCTTCATTGGGGAGTGACGTCTCATCTTGCGAATCATCACTTCTGGGGACACCTTCGTCTTCCAACTCGAGAATTTCCTCGGCTAGTCCTGTGGAGGACTCGGCATCCGACATAGACACTTTCTTCAGCGAGCTGTATCAAGGTCTATCTCCCGAGTGGACTTCGCTCTTAAACAACTGGTCGGATGAAACTGAGATGTTTATTGCTCAGTAAGCACTGCCATGTAATTTTGTTCCTTTGGCGCTGGTCGTCATTGGAATTTCGTTCTGGAGGGTTTGCAGTATGGACGCTTTTGCGACCTCTGTATCCTAGCATGTGTTCTTAGTGTAGCAAAAATAATCATCTTTCATAATCGGAGTGATTCAGTTTAGTTTACTTGAAGTGCCAGTCGTTCTTCGTCCACTGTAGACTATGGTATGGCTTGGTTCTGGCTAGTAAATGGTGTTGGACGTACTGCAGAGATACACATTTACCTTCGACATGATCCGGGTGTGATCATTTGAAATTTGACCCCTGAACTATCGTTAATCGTCATGATCATGGCGCAAAAAAAGCATCTGAGGGAGATCACTCTTGCCTAAAATACCAATCGGCAGCTCAAACTCGACTCAAACAAAATAACTAAGCCCAGCATGGGCCTCAAGATTTTATTCGTTGTGAAACGTTGTGGTAGTACATGTACAATCGAAAACGAAGTGTCACTAAGCAAATATAGAAGCGATACAAAATCACAAGTTGTGCACTAAAGAACAGAGAGATACGAGAACAAGAGAAGACAGTCCAAAGTGTTGGTGTATATGGTGATCTACCCGAGTGAATCAGCTGATTGACCTCGCTGCTACCTCGAACTGCGCTCACCGAATGGGATGCCTCAATGCAAATGTGGCAAGTGACAGTGGTGATGATACAACTTGGAAGTGAGAGTATGAACCGAGTGATCTGAGCCAATCGATAGATATAAGAGCGCATTAGGGTTGCTGAAGCGGCAGCTGCTGTGTCACATAACCGAGAACTTCTGGTGCCTCCAATCAAAGACATTATTGATGGTACAGTTTGAGAAGACCGTTCGGGCGAGGGTCCGAGGGGTATACGGTGCGAAGTAAGACGTTGGTAGGTAGGCATATTGCCTGTTAGTTGAAGCCGTCGAAATGACCCTTGAGGATCCTCTCGCCCATGGGAGAAGGCGCGCGACGTTGGCGTCCAGAGTCAATGCTCACCGTAGCTGAGCGCCTTGTCTTGCGAACAGGGAATACGGGTAAAGAAGTCAGGGTAGGGGAGACTGCGGAGTTAGGTGGAGCAGTGGGGCTCGTGGGACTTCGAGAGGTAGTATGATCCACACCGGGAGGCTGTAGACCGAAGAAAATTAATGGGACATCATACGATGTTTAAAAGGAAATACCTTCGCGAGCGCGCTTCCGAGGGATAGGCGCCGTAGCAACGCAGCACCGCGGTCCTGCTGGGCTTCAGGGGCAGGTGGAGCGGGCGCAAACCGCCCAGACCGGCGAGCATGAACAGTTGCTGGAAGTTCCTCGGGGGTGTCATCTGGACGATAAGTATGTGTCAGTAAGAGCAAGAGGGTAAGCGATGAGTGAACCGACCATCAAACGAAGGTTGAGCACCAAAGCCGCGGTAAGGAACAGAAGTTGGGGATTTTGAGGTTGGTGACTGAGATAAGAACGAAAGGATGGGAGAACTAGATGGGGAAGCAACTGGAACACGGGGAGAGTTTAGGCTCAAGGGGGTTTGTATTTGAGGGGGAGAGCCAGGTAAAGTGGACGCGTCCGACGAGAGTGACATGGAACGATGTCTCCAGTGGTGGGTAGTCATCGGAATTGGCTGAGAATGCTTTACAGAGTCGTCCTTTTCGTTATTATCTTGATTCATAGTGACTTTTGTGGTATATGATATAGGAGATAGAGACAGAGTGAGTAGAAGAAAGGAGGGCAAGGTTTAGATTTTCATATCAGTCATACGACCTTTATAATTGGCGATGGCAATACCCGAGTATGTGTCATCCCACGTGCACGTCATCCCATTACAATTAGGTCTGCCCCCCACATCGATCGATCATTTCTCCTTTTCACTAAGCCCATACGACCCTCTCCCAGTCGACACTCTTCTCCGACATGCGGCCATAATGATCACGGCAATGGGGTGAATATTGCGGGGTACGTAGATAATGCGGGGCATAAAGCTCAAGTTGGATCATGAGACTCATCGGCAGACTCAGAATAAGACATCCACATGTCAGAACTCAATTCGTCTGACCGACAACGATCACCTCCAAGGCTCAGCTGCATGTACCTTGCGAATGTTCGGTTCAATTTTTCTCACAGAAATTCTGTTCTCCCAAACGAAACGCACATTTGTTGGACCTAATGATAGCTTCAACCATTGTTCCGGAGCCAAGCTGCAGAATTGGGGCTCCATCATGGCGCAAAGTCTTGCCATACTCGTCACATTCTTGGAAATAGATCCGGAAACTGTTCAACATCCAAGACTTGGCTCACATACGTGTTGTCATATCTGTCACTTGTGTGAGGAACTTGGTTCTGATCTCCTTTGTTCACGAAGCTTATTTTCAGGGCGGCTGCGCAAGGGAGTCGAACAGAAATGGTATGTCACCCATCTTGTCCACGCTCGTTGTTTTCTCTGACCAACAAACGTTTGTTTAGACTCGAGTGATGCCATGATGTGTCTTATCTTATCTACGCAACTAAAACTTTAAAACGGTGGAACTAACTCTGTAAGGGGTTCCACAACGCCCAAGACACTATCCGTATTTCAAATATTGATGTCCATCATGATTCATTTATAACACTTTGCAAAAACGTGTCATAGAATCTTCCTAATTCCAAGCTTGCGATTGATCACCTTTGCTAAAACCCCCACCACAACGGTTTAGCTCAACCTTAACCAGCTGCGCCCCTGTTCATGCTAGTCTGCTTGGATCCGCAGCGGCGACTCGGAAGGGTTAGTCCATGCGGCATGCGACTCTCTGTTTGTTCGCGAACATGAGTATTGGACGATCTCTTGTGGTCGTCTGTCGTTGCCGTTTTAACTTCCGAGGATGTCGACGTATACTGGCAAGACACTAGATCAGAAATACTTGTTACTACAAAAGGAGTTCTGGGCATCGTAGCCTAGGCTCCGTAGTCCCTGAATCCAGAACTAGGTTCGCGGTATATATATACCTGACCTAGGATGAACTGTCAAAGTCTACGCCGCGGAACAAGTGCAGAAGAACACGTGCAAGTAAGTACCCTCTACTATCACTGAAATATTGTGATCGGCAGCTGGCACCATAGTATTATCAGAACCTTGGAAACCAGCGCTTCACTCAAAGATGGTCAGCTGTCCACCTGATTGAGACTTCCGCTGCAACTTGGTGCGAGTCTTTCATGACTGCGTGTCGCTCTAGTACTGCCATACTGAGTAACTGAGTGTCAAGTGACCGCGTAGACGCACACGGACACGTCTTAACGAGTTGTCACGTGGGAAGCAACACCTGGAGCTCGGGGACGGCGAATCGCATCCCTCTCCGGAGTATGTCTTTGCCAGAAGCGTGACATGCATAGCAGCCGCTTCACTTGAAATGCGCTGACGGGAGTTTTCTGTTTGAACTTCCTTGGTCAAATGCCAGGGAAGATCAGGGGATAGCCCGAAATCGCACCCTCTTATCCAACAAGAAATTGTCCTTGGAAGACCAGTAGATTGCAGGAGGTTGCAAATCGCGAGTCAATTTGCGACTGTTGCTCTTATCTCCGCTTTGAAGGCTTTTCATCTGAAACAACATATGCCGTCGAGACCGACCTCGCAATAATCGCTACCGGACCGACGTTTTTGGGTCTACCAGTACGTGTCGTAAACGTAGCATAACGGCATCAGAATTTCATCCCTCGACAGCAGAATCGTCTCATTGTACTCGGGGCCGCGGTAGTCTGGAGTTGATGGTAACAACCAGGATGGCACCCGTATCTGGCCTTCGAACAACCAGAGCTGGCATCTCTTCAAGCGATGTTGTAGCGAGGATATACGAATGCAGCAAGGAAGACGTGGACCAACCAACCGATTAATGCCAAAAGCATCGTTGCTTCTCGGCGTTCTCAGTCCCTGGATGAATGGCGCATTGTCAGCGGCTCCGAAAAGATTGTCCTTCTCTTTCCCTTATCTCCAATCCGTTCGATGGACGGACCACAAACCGATAGCAATGGTACTGGTAACGGCCGGGTCATAGACCTTTCACACCACCTGTCGGGTGAGGCCAGGAATCGAGTTGCGAACCCGCTGAAAGACATCCTCCGGGTGATCAGCGAATGCCCGGTTACTGATCTCATCAGCATGGCAAACGGTAATCTCTCTCACTGTCATACATAGTGATGAAATGTAGCCAAACGAATGACTTGCAATTGCAGGTGATCCTCATCATTCGTTGTATCCTTTCAGACAAATTACGTACGAAGTACCATCTGTGCAAGACGCACCTGATCCAGTCATCTCATGGCGGAACAACTCCGGGCTCGCGCAGATCATACGTTCCTACAAAGATCAGGAATGCGCACTATCCATTCGCGACGCCTTCCCGTATTCCCGGGCTGCTGGACTTAAACAGTGCATAGATGTTATCACCGACTTCACGAACTTGATATTTGCTCCGCCGAATCATCACGTGACGTTGACATTGGGGAACTCTGATGGTATCACGAAGGTTTTTCGCCTCTTCGGGGAGAATGGAGATCACTTCTTGACTGATGAGTTTTCCTTTCCTAGTCAGTGGAAGTAGACTTATTCGATATTTGCTCTGAACTAATTTTTATCATGATGTAGGTATGACAAACTCTCCTCTCGCATATGGCGTCAAGTGGGTTGGTGTTAAGATGGATTCTGGTGGTATCATTCCTGAGGAGCTCGAGAAAGTCCTCGTTAAATGGGACGAGGTGAAGTGGGGACGACGACCTCATGTTCTCTATATCATCCCGTAAGATTCCAAACTCCAGTCTGAAACCGCATCACACAGTAGTATCATCAGTGTCGGCCAGAATCCCACTGGATCAACACTGAGCGTGGATCGCCGCAAGAAGATCTATGCCATCGCACAGACATGGGACTTAATTATCATAGAAGACGGTAAGTCGACTCGGCGGTGTCATCCCACGTCGTCTGACAACCCTTCTCGCAGATCCTTACTATTTCCTGCAATATGATATCCCTCCGAATCAAACGCACTGTCCACCAGCAAGCCCTGATGAATTTATTAAAGATTTCAGAAGCACCCTAATACCTACATTCTTGTCAATGGACGTCGACGGCCGTGTGCTTCGTATCGACACGTCAGTAAACCCCATAAAGCCTAGATCATTTTTTGATCTTCGTTATCCACTGTTTCACAGATTCAGCAAAGTTCTTGCCCCAGGCATGCGATTAGGTTGGATCACAAGCAACAAGCTTTTTCACCTAAAATTAGCAGATTACATCGATTCGTCGACGCAGCCACCGCACGCCTTCGGGCAGATGTTCGTCACCGAGATGCTTAGCGAACATGGCTGGAAAGTCGAGGGCTTCTGCCGGTGGCTGAGGAGCTTATGCTTGGACTATCAGAGCCGCCGTGATTTCCTCCTCGACGTTTTCAGGCGCGAAGTAGAATCTACCGGTTATGCCAGCGTCAACTGTCCTGAAGCGGGGATGTTTGTGTGGATAGAAGTTTTCTTTGAGAAACATCCGAGGTTTGTTCGAGAACAATGTTTTGGTGGCTCGCCTGTTGTTGCACGGACGAATACGGAATACCTCCTGAAGGAGCTTTTCGAAAGGTTGATGAATACTCAAGGCGTCGTATTCATACCATCCTCCACTTTTGCTATTCCAGAAAATCCCCTATGGGTGGAAAGCGATGGGCATGTGCCATTGAGCGATGTGAGTGTTACCAAAATCATGGACTGATCAATACTTTGTTAAACCCTGCGGCAGCGCACCAGGTTTCTACGTGCAACATTCGGTGGCACTGAGGAGATCATCGAAAAGGGCATGATACGCCTTGGCAAGGGCTTACTAGAATTCTTTCAGGATTAGTAGGCGTCGTGTTACATTCAAAATATGACTATGTGTAGACAAGTTCATTACAAGTACATGTATATATGAGATTCGTGCGCGCGATCACAAAGGCACAGGGTCTTCCAGTGCCAACGTCTTGTCAGCGACACGCTTCGTAAGTTCATCAGCCTTGTCCAGATTGGCTTGTATTTTCTGGTCTATGCCACCTAGGGCCAGTTCAGAGATTGCCCATATCTTCTTCATCTTGGGTACGGTCTCCCGTAAAGCGAAAGCAACCATGAGGAAGTTGTTGACAGGCATACCGGCATTTCGCAGGCAATCTAAGGTGCAATTAAGGTACCCTGGAAAATGGTTATGACAAGTGGGTGCAAGTCTGCATTGGAGCACTTACATGCACGTAACTCGTCATCCTCGGGGTATTTGCCGGACGCAGTCGTGTACTCCCCTGCCCCACTCACAAAGCTGTACATTCTTTCCACAGGATTACTGGAGTACCGAGCTGATTGCACGTGATAAAATCCGAGAATCCTGCAAAGCAAGGTGTTAATAAACAGAGGACCGCAAATGTGAGGAGGAAAGAGGACAAACGCATGACCAAGTCCTTCAGGGTAGACGAGAAATGACGATATAAAGCCTGGGTCAACTGGTTCACCATCGCGTATCTGTTTAGCTATTTCGGTCTCTTTGAGAAGGTCCTCGGCTTCTTCCTTGAGCTGTTCAAGGGGAAACTTGGAGTTCAAGCCAGGGTCGGTGGTGTAAGCCTGTCATGCTGTTTACTCAGCGTCCAAGAAATAGAGCGGCTCGCGACCCACGCTCATGAGCATCTTGAGGTACAAGCTGCGGATACCTATCAAGAACGAGCGTTCGAAAATCGCTCCCCTGCTGGCCTTGGGAACGTCCTTCCAGATAGTTCTTCCCCATTCGACCAAGTCGAGAGCTCGTCTGTAATACTCAACACCAGCTTGAGGTTCTTGTCTTAAACCGCCCTCGAATGCAGCTCTCATTATCCATGCACTGCAGTGAATGATCAGCAAGTCTCAAAAGACGGAACTCGTCCATACGTACCGAACAGTCACAGACATTGCGGGGCGTACATCATCCCAGCCGTTCTCCTTCAACCGTTTCTGCGCCAGTTCCTTGACGGTCTCGAGTCCTTCATGATCCCAGGCCTTACGAGCCGTAATTTCGAACATGACTGCCTCTTGGTCAGCGTAAATTCAATAAGTAACGCCAGTAAGATCACCTTGTTCATTGTACATGCTGATCCAGTTATTGCAATTGATATGAAAGACGCGATCGTCACGCATCAAACCATTGCTCAAACTCACCAACCCCTACACCGCGTAAAAATAATGTACATGCGCATAAAATAACTGTGAACTCACATCTAGGTTTCCGTGATACATAAAACCATCTGGCGTTGAAGGGTGAGGAACTTTTTTCATTCCCTTCATCATTTCTACTCCGTTGTTGAATTCCTAGAGTTTTTCAATGGTTAGCGTACCGCTGTTTATTTGGAAACCGCGAAGATCACCTCATATGCAAGTGCGACGACCCAAGCCTGCAATACTCAGTAAGAGAGTACAAGACTACGACTCAAGCTCACACTGCTAGATATCCTTTCATTTTTCGCTCTCCGGAGCGCAGGAAGCATGTCCGTCGCCACCTGCCAAGGAAACTTGCCAGCTTTTTCATTCACCGAGAGGGGCACGATAGGTGGCGCATTCAAACGTGCATTCACTGCTCTCAGACCAGCAGTGTATTGGTCTTGTTGTTGTCGCTCTGCGGGGCTCAGCTTAGTTTTTGTAGTGCGTCTAGGGCCTTCTGCCAAGCATGGGCGCTTTTTGGCCAATCCGCAAGCGCCTAGTATATGCGTCCAGGGTGAGATCGGGCTGATCGGGAGAATGAAGGGACTCACGTCTCGAGATGCTGCCAGCCGTGACCACCCTTTTGCATAGCCCGGATCCAATTCTGTAGCCTAACATACGCATTTACATTCCATAAACCCACGTATGTGGCATACTGTGACCGTAGTAGTACTTACCATGTGCGCATCATCCACGGCGTCTAAATATCTATTTAAAGATCGAAGGTCAGTCATTGATCACGCTCAAAATAAAATAAAACTCTTGGCAAAGTCACCTGTTCAGGGCATGATTGCAAGCAGCGCGGTTTGCATACAAAACTGCATTCTTATCATCCAAAGCGATGGCCTCGGTATATTTGACGATCGCCCCAACATAATCTTGCTTCTTGAATAGCTCGTTGCCCTCGTCTTTGAGCTGTGCTGCGGTCGGTTCGGACATGTTTTGAAAAAACCAGGGAAGAAGCGTCGAGCAGTTTAAATCGTGGCGTCGCTTTGATGTAGATCAGACGGTGAAAACGCTGGAAAAGATGAAAGGACTTTTGGGAAGGTGATGGTGGAAGCTAATGCTGGCTTGACAAGTTAAACTTTTAATTGCGCAGACTTTGAGGCGGGGGCAACCGATCAACACGAGGCCGGACCATCTGGACTGGATCATTTGTTACGTGTTGGTAGGTCCGATCGACGCCTAGAAGTTGAGTGGCGTACTGGTGTATAAGTTATGTGTCGAAACATCGCGTGCTTTCATTCAGACTGAGATCTGTCTAACGGACTCTAACTAACCATTGGATAATAGTTTTTTTTGATTTACATGTAATGCGGTGGGTTCATCTCATGGTCATGGTAGTCAGATTGGTTGGACTCATGGAGTCAATGTTGGTTCAAGGGTGGTATCGATTACTAGTATACTACGAATAGTATCAAAGGAGGGGATTTAAGTAGGTGGTATCACATGGGTAGGTACTTACTACAAACCCAAGGAATTAACGGGCCAGCGAAAAAAGGAACAGTGGAGGGGTATCGCAAGAGTGAATCGATCGATAAGCGTGTTAAAAGTACATGCAAAAAGGTTATGCAACGAGCGTTATGATTAGGCGCTAGGCCTTTAATAGCCTTGAATGAGAGTGGACGGCGATGGCGTGTGAGTGTCCGAAAGGAAGTGTGAAGAGTGAAAATCAATGTGTGACTCGTAAAAGGAATGGAGGGCGTTTTTTTTTTATTCATGCACCCACTTTGAAATTGCGAGATGCGCGGGAAGCAGCCAAATTGTTCAACAGTATCCACGAATTTGGGAGAAGAGATGCCATCGTAATCAACCCTTGAATCCGAAGATCCGCGCGATCAATCCAAGAATGCTAGCTCACTCAGTCGGCGACTCTCTGCGTCTTGGATACCCTTGGTCTCGAGCAGTATGCTTCCACGGTTATGCATCGTCGGCCTCACAGATACTCGTGGAGAGGAAAGGTGACTGGAAGTACTCGATAGATCCGCACTAGACCCTGAATATCTGACACTCCCAATCGAGCGACGCAAATTGGTGAGTGAGTTAGTGCCAAATTTGGACAGAGATGTTCCAACTGATGAGCGTCTGCGAACATTTGATTCTGTCGTACGCCGCCGGGATGGGGGTGCCGGGAATGGAGAATATGAGTTCTCCTTGTCCGGTAAGACCGGTGGGGATGTGTGCGGCTGTGAGGATGATCCTGGAGGTGCAAGATAGCTAGAAAAGGAACAAGAGACTGGACTCTCAGGAAGGGCAGTGTGACCCGGGGGGAAATAGTCCTCCACTGGGGTGGAGACGACTATTGGCGGATGAACATAGTGCGGTGGCGGTGGCGGTGGTGTTGGAGGCACATGCTCTGCAGGTTCTTCCTCGAGTACTTCCAGATGCGAAGATGGGGACAGGGGTGGGACGCTACTGGAAATTGAGGATCTTGCTATGAAAGACATCTCGGGATTAAGGTCCGCGCGAGTGGAATCGGAATCACATGTTGGGCTCTGGGGTAGTGATGGAGATGCCGAATGTGACAGCGGGGATACCCCTGATGCCAGCGCACCAAAGCTGGGCAGCTGTCTTGGGTAGAATGCAGTACCACTGCCAGAGTCCGAGGCACGCGCTTCACAGGAACGATTTATGGACAACCATTCTTCCTTAATTTTCGATGCCGCACTGGAGCCACTCTGATCTTTGTCGGGGACAGGGAGTGTAGCTAGATGCTTGTCGGCCTCACGCTCCTGTTCGCTGAGATCCTTCTTGGGGGGAAGCAAACCACGCTCACGCAGCGCAGCCTCACGATTCTCACGCGATGCAAAAGAGTTGGGAAGCGTGGGAGAACGGGGAAGTATGACGCGGGGTGATCGAGGAGGTCGTGAAAAGTGTTTCACATCTGTGGGGACATGTGCTATATGCGGGGGTGATGGCTTGGGTTGTGAAGATGCGGGGACGGTGATGTGTAACTTTGATGTTACGCGACGAATCAACGAGGGTTTCGTGTCAGGTGGTGGTTTGGTAGTAGGGGGCGATAATTTATGGATATTGGTAGTTGACCTGTAGAAATGAACGTTAGCAAAATGAAACCCTCGGAACATAATCCGAGATGAAAGCGAACAACGAAAAAGAGAAATTAGAGTTCCAAGAACATGCGACGGCATGCAAGACCCGCACAAGTGCCATGGAAAGGGATGCCCGAAACTCACCTTAGGAGACCGACGCGCTTCTCAGTTGCCTCCACTGGTTGCTCTAGAAAATGAGTGCTGGATTTTTCATTCATGAGTTCAACATGAGATTGTTTGCTGGTGCCCCCTGTTGGGAGTTCCGGCAGTGTCTTTTGAAGATTCCGGGGTCGTTCATCGGCATTGTTGGGAGTCGTGAAGTGGAAACTAATACGACGCTCGACGCGCTCGGGAGAAGAAGAACGGTCACTGTCATCCTCGTTAGGTGGCGAAAGTGGTTTGGCAAAAGACTTTGACCGCCAGCGGAGGCGAAAAGCATCAAAGTTGATGACAGAGGGCATGACTATGGTCTTGCCGCGGTGTTCGACGATGAGCTAAAAGGAGGTGTGGGGAAGGGGGGACAAGTTAGATGACAGGCCTTTTAAGTGAAACCGGAAGGGACACACGCGGTAGGAATAAAAGTGGAGTACTGGGGAGTAGTAGCAGCGTGACCACTATAGACCAACTGTAACCGGCGGTATATAACGGAACGTCACAAGGTTATGACCACAAGGGGTGGGACCACGTACGAGGGGTACTTGAACATATTCGGAATACCTTAGCTGGTCTGCTATATACTTGTTCGGTTTGGGTACTTCCAACTAATTGTGAAGCATGTTATCCTGCAGTTTTTTATCACGGTTCCGCAACCAAAAAAAAAGGACTTCCACGGGGGTATGAATGGCGTGATCCGGCGGATTTTGATGGGAACGACATGGTAGCGGTGTGACGTTTGGGGGTCGTCGAGAAAGCAGTTGCGTCAACGTCTACCTCGTTTTCCTCACGTTCAAGCGCCCATGAAACTTTTTTACTCCACTATAGTAGTTAGTGCGCGTATATCTGCGCATAAATCCGGAAAATATTTTAATCATTGACAAAAAGAATTAAATCAAATTACAACAAAAAATTTCAACGTCACCCCGGATTTATTTTTATTCAAAAACATACTTATTTTAACTAATCCATACGGCGAGAAGCATCCACACGCTATCATCGTCCGCTACAAGACCGCTGAGAACCTTGTCGATGTGCCGAAACTCGAGGCTTCCATCATTGATCATCATCATCTTCTGTAACCACGTTTGGGCATTCTTCAAAGTTCACCGCTGAACGAGGTTGTGCGCGAGGCTTTGTAGTTAATACCATGTGTCCAACGTTCACCAATACACTCGTGATTGGCGGCTTATTACTTCTATTCGCTAACTTCGCTTAGTGACGGCGTGGACTATCAACTGTGGAGCATTGTGGCTGCGTGGAACTCACACTTCCCGTCTCCTAATCATTAGGCAGACCTATTTTCCATAACAAATTCTCAGTAGCGCAACCTTTAGCTCCGTATACTTGTTCATCCGACTCCATCGTTCAAAGGAAAAAGTACTTGCCAATTGTCTGTACCAGGTGAGCCAGTTCACCTCGGCGTTTCGCGATCTTTATTGATTTGTTGCTCAGCCGTCGTGGACGATCATTAATGTCCATCAACTTTTGCTTCCGTGGCGCCGGAAGCACGAATTAGCTTTGGTATCCTAGGCAAGTGTCACCACCAACTTGGATGTGAATGGCATATGAGATACTGTCGCGGATCTCAACTAGTCCTGCGAAGTTCAGGTGAGTAAAATTACGGATGTCCTGTTGGCATGCCTGGTGCCTCCTAGTGCTCGTGGTGAATACAATGTGCATTGATCCGAGTCCTATATATGACTCCATGTCAGATAGGTTTCTTTACCTCGGCGGTCCAAGGGCTAGATCGCACATATCGAACTGCGCTATCGTGTATTTGGCCGTTGGAATCGCGGTTCACCGAGTCCGTCTGGCTATGGACCGGTGACAGTTGATACGGCAAAGCTGTGGCGACAGCGGTCAACGGTAACATATCTCGCAGAGCATCGTTGCAAAAGGAAGGTTGAGGGACTCAGAAGCTTCGCTATTTGAATATCTGACCTCCGTTCAAGGCCCACATTTACTTGCAGGCACTTCATATCCGCGCAGTCATGGGAAATTCGAGTGCGAAGGAACGAAAAGACGTCAGATTCTCAGTTAATGCTGTTATGATGATAATCACACCCGCTTGGCTGTTCGATATAGATATGAGCTCGAGCTGATCAGACCCAGTCTAGTGAAGGACTCGAGGCCATAAACCCATGACGGTCCGAGGTATCGCTCAATAAGGCAAACCTGAAGAACCGTTGTCTTCGCGATGGATATCTTTGAGCCATTCATGATCAAGCGCCTTTTCCTTATATCCACCTTGTAAATTGCTCTCTATGGAAAAAACCACTTTCGAAGCCGAGAATCGGAGAAGCCCCAGATCTAATACGGACTTACGGACTCATCTTATATTGGGAGTTTGCGCTCTTTACCCTCTCTTTCCCTCAGCATGCATCATACATCCGCATTGCATCTGAGTAGAGATGCAAGCCCTGAGGTCCTCATTAAAATGAAGGTGAGTTGGCGATCTAGTAAAATGAACTGGCAGTTCTGATGTTCATGAGATACTGCAGTACGCTTACGGTAAGTCTATCGTGCGGTTGCATGGCTGCATAGTGACCCCCAAACGTGTTCCAGTGGCTTTAGTGGCGCTGTGGGTAGGTAATGCGGAAAAACCTACTCCTTCTGAAACTAAACTTTTGGGTCAATTGAGGTTTATGACTACGTCACTACTTTGGATGAAGAGGTATGCGTGCTCCTACTTGTACTAATCTCATAGTAATATCACTGTCGTTCTTGCTTCATCAGCTGCCATTCATTGCAAGGTCGAGCTGGAGGATAGTCAAATATCTCTATCTCGTGTGTCGATACGTGCCTTTTATTTATCTGGCAGTAGTCTTAATCCGTGAGTCCGATTGACGCTGATCTCTCTTTTTGACATACCCCGTTTATTAATAAAATCTAGGAACACTGGAAAACTATCCATCGCTCGACGTGAGTTGCCGTGTAGACGCTCATCGGATATGACCTTTTGACGTTCCTGCATAGATGTGTCAAACATACTACTCCCTGAATTCATGTAAGTTGACCGATTTAAACGGGCAACGCCCGGGGCCCGTCAATCTCACTCCACGTTTTCCAGATCTTGGCACTGTGATAATTCTCTCAGCAGAAAGTATGCCCTTTTCTCCATCATCCACCGCAGACGATAACTGATCATGTATATCAAGGCATATTTTTTGTGCGCACATATGCCATTTGGGACCGTTCAAAACGGGTATTGTGGGTGTTCATCATCAGTGTCATTGTAAGACCTTGTGGCATTACTGTCTCCGGTTCTCGCATCAATTGACCGCGTTAGTTTCTCCTGACGCCCATAGTTGCCATTCTCGTGAAATACAACTCCTCGACAACCGGTAAGTGCCCCTCGGAGCTTCCGGTATTCCGCGAAGTCACATAGTGAATGTTCACGTCCCTTCAGTTACTAGCTCGATCGCCATTGGGATATCGGGTTGTTCCAAGACGGGTGAAACTACTGCTGTGCTTTTTGTATATGTCCTCATGGTGATCGCGGAGTTGGGTGAGAGGTCATGCGACATATTGTCCGATTGTCCATCTAAACCGTTATCGCAGAAATATTGTGCTTGACATTGTATCGCGCCATCGGTAATTGCCGGCGCGAACACGGACGTGCCAACGTGCTCAAGGTTCTTGTACAGCATAATGTATTCTACTTTTTGTGCGGGGTTGGTAAGTTTTATCGTTGAATGCTCTCATGCACATAGAATAATGCACCCGTAGTGTCTTCTCTGGTGCTCATCGTTGCGATTGCTATACTCCCCGTCAGTACCTGATTTTATGAGTTCACTTGGGTATTACTGATTTGATCGGCGTATAGGCATCATACTCTGATTTAGCGTCCAGGTTAGTGTTAAATTCCGTTAGCGATTTACCACGCTGATCGCCTGGGAAGCATACAAATCACAGCCCATGCTGCCCTGGTCACAAGAATGCACCGAGCGCTATGGAGATACAACGAAAACCATGCCCGTTCAGACGAATTTTCCCTGACCACATTCAGTGCCGCCAGTATTCCGCCATTTCGGACTTTGCACAGTTCGACTTGCATTGTAAGTAATTCTGTGACTTTATGGTTTAAATCTAGGTTTAAAAGCAACAATAAATAGGTAGACGAACCTTTTGGGTTGTAAAGATCCGGATTACACCCCTACGAGCATGACAAAAATGACACCTTGGCAACATCCCATGCAGCCGTTCCGATGTCGGTGCATGGTGCACTCTTTTGCGAATGGACATACGATGTCGTATTTTCCTTGTCGCGACTCCTTGCTTAGTCACAGGAGCGAGGAAGGCATCGATTCATCTCCTGTCCACCCTCGAGCAGCATAACATTTGCTGTTTTAGTTATAGTTCGATAGACTTCAAACTATCGGACATGGGCTCAATTAATGTCAGATGCAATTGATCTAGCCATCTCATCGTGTTCATCTTTAGCCGGTGTTTATTTCGGCAAGCTCGGATTTTGTGGAGAGGGTGAGATGTAATGAAGGGAAATCAAAGGTCCCAAGTGAGGACGTGGCTGCGGATATGGAAGTCTTGGGTGGAGGATTTCCCTGTCCTGATCGGGTTCTTGTCAGTGTGATTGCAGTGCTGGTGCATGCTCCGATGACGGACCATACGCTCCAGCTGATTAAGAGCTGGTGTGGTGGAAATGCCATTCCCAACGTCTGAGGTGAAGTCGCAAAAAAGGGTCCTGGGGCCATCGCGTCAGTGGTCTAGGGGAAACCCCAAGATCTGGGACTGCGCCTCTCAAGCACGGAAATGGACATTCGACGTAATTGGTAGTGCGGGTGACAGTGCAAAGGTATCGCGGACATAGGCTCGCACTGACTGACATACCATTAGTGTATTCTCGCGAGTAAACTCATGGTATTTGGTCAAGGCGATGATAGGATACTCCGATGGCTTGCCTAATACATACGTATGGCAGTCGATATATCGTGATATAATGAAATGGCTAACAAGAACTGAGTAGATTGTGATTGTCAATGAAAGGCATAGCAATAATGAAGGGAACTTACCTATCTATGATTCTAGCCCAACCATCAATTACTCTACTCGTCCTCATAGCCTTGTACAGGTTTTCTCGGTCGTTTCGGCACTGAAGGGAAGAGTCGCATTTAGAACAACACGATGCGAACCAAAAACTAGATAGGCAATGACGTACCAGGATATGTGGTAGGTATAGGCTGTGCGGGAGTATATCCGAACCAGTTCCTCCTGATTGGAGGCACGCTCAGAGCAAGAACTGGTCCCGCGAGCCCGAGGACGCAAGAGTAAAAGATGACTGGTTGTTCATGTGCGAGGTATTGCTATGGAGTATTGGCGAAGGATATTAACGTTTCATGTCGAATAGTACGTACCAGATGCCTGTAGCCCCGTCGGAAAGGAGATATAATGGACGCCATGGGATTAGAACAATGCAGGCACCAGATTTCGAGTGGGGTTCTGCTTGCACTTCGAGGTTCGGAAGAGGTCGTTGTTTGCGCTTATTGTGTAAAGGCTTTAGAAATAAATATGAATAAACAATTATTCATTGCAGTGGGCTCCAGATATGTTTTAACTGGCACATCGTTTCTGTTGGCGTGTATTCCGGCTATGATGTCCCCGATCCAAGTTTGACCTTCAATTCATACATGATTCACTGATACAGCCTGCCGATCGTGTGTGTGTATTAGGTCTATTAAAACAATCTACGTATCGCAATGCTGCCAGGGTAGACTCATGATTTGCTAACTTGCGAGTTAATACAATCCTGTAAGCACCCCGTTAGGCCTTAACGAGAAGTGCAGCACCGGAGAGGACATGCTGCGTGAAAATGCCAACTATGAATGCTTCATCCTTCTGAGGGACCAATTTCCGTGGCTTTGTAGATGATGGATATCCGCGGAATATGATTGTGAATGCTTGAAAGTCTTCCACAGCGATCCAGTCAAGCAATCTTTCTGATGTCGAGCGCTTTGGTCCCCTCCGATGATATAGCGGGAAGCGATATCATGTATCATTTTTCAGCTGCCTTGAGGTCTGTGATTTCCTCCTTCGCAGGTGTCGCCGATATAAATGATAAGCTGTATCTTCGCTGGGCTTCTGCTCAGCAGCGATTCAGACGATATTCATGCTACGCATCGGCAGTCTTGAACACACGGTCATTGCCTTTCAGAATGCTCTGCTCAGCTTTCCTTGGCTGATTGTCTTGGAAAGCCTGGATTGCGCGATTACACATGCTGGTGAGTTGATTTGCAGTGTCTGTGACGCCCTGATGAATTGTTTTTATCCCATGCCGCTTTGCTGGCGTCGAGAATCATCTTTCTGTGATCGATGCCCGTGAGGATTGATTTTTGTTAGTCCTCCTAACTCCACATTCGATGATCCTTTTTCCACGGAGTAAGCCATTCAGGTCCTGACAAGCGCGAGAACACCCACCAACAAGGAAATCTATTGGTCTAGACCCTTTGACACAGCTGGAACACGGTTGCAGCGGATCAGAGAGAAGATAACGATTACAAGAAAGGGCCTAGTACAGGGCGAATATAGGCCAATGGACAGGCTGACGGTTCTGTGGGTAGGGCATCTTGCATCTAGAATCCCCGTGCAGAACGCAATCGTTAATTCCTGTGCAAATGGTGTAGTGAGAGATACCATACTGCACGTATTTGATTATGCATCTGAACAGTTCCTGTGCAAAGCTGACATCCAAGGGGTCAACAAGGCGGCCGTTACAAAACTGGAAAACAGCAGGGACCTGCAAGTGGCTGGGCTTATCAGAAGCCCGTGATGATCAAGGAGCAAGGCGCTGCGTAATAATGTTGGTATTTCAACTCAGTGGCGGTATCTTGAGAGCAAGTAGTGCTGCCACACAAATAATTCAAAACGGCAGATACGATACGCTCATCGTCGTAGTTTGAATTGGGAAATTCAACACTGTTTTGCTCGCCAATCGTTCAGGGAATCAAAGCGCTGCAGACGCAGTAGCAACTCACATTGTTATTGATATTTCGCAACTCAGCGCGAGGCAGTCTATACATTCCTTCTGCTCCAGGCTATGGTCAAGCTTTACGCTGATTTTCAAGCATTCGGGTTAAACCAGGCGGCCTATATGATCCCCCACCCGGCGGCGGGGATGATGGCTGCAACTTATATCGTGCATGATGCTAAACGCATGCGTGAGCCGGCAGCCAGATTGAAAGATCATGAACACAGGATGCGATGATAATATTGAATGGAGCCTTCTGAGCCCGTTCGTCTAGGCGATGCTCATCCTCATCCAGGCTGCTCCAAATTACACTGGGTGCCCGAGCATTAGCATTCTCGCGGGAGAATGCATGTATAGTGTCTCTCCTTCTCCTGATGGACAGTCATGACTCAGTCTCAGTCACTGAGCCTGGCCGGCGACATCGAGGTTGACTTTCCAAGTTCTTTCAATAGCAGGAATCTCGGTGTGGCCAAGATTTTGTGCCATGCTGGGTGTCGAGTATGACAACTTGAAGGTACTTTTTCTATTGGGAACTATGTAGTTGAATTTGGGGGAAGACCAGCACATATGGCAAGTGTGGTTTCTGGGGTCCTACCAAATGCGCAAAAGGATCATTGCATTATGAAGGTTACTCATTGATAGTTCCTTCGATCGCGACTTTCAAAATGGGTCGAACACGCACGAAAGCCAAAAAATCTGCACTCAATGTGACAAACTCTTCACAATCATCGTCAAGTTCAGCAACTCCAGCCATTTCCGCTATCCTTGACAAGGCTCAAGTGCTCATCGTGCAATGTGACTTTCCTCTGGCACGAAAATTCATCGAACGTGTTCTGGCAAGGGAAGACGGGTCAGTGAACGAAAAAAATCAAGCGAGGGAGATGATGGGTGTCGTGCTCCTTGAAACTGGGGAAGTGGACGAAGCGAGAGAGGCAAGTAGAAACTGTCACTTGACTTGAGTCATGCACCTGATCGTCTACTTGCCCTTAGTTGTTCCTAACCTTGCTTCCACCACATCCAACGGCTCCTACGCCTCCACCACCTTCAGCCCATCTTTATCTTGCTCAACTCTCCGCCGATCCGAATACTGCATTGAAACACTACCAGGCAGCCATCGACATCCTTCAGACACAACTCAAGGGCAAGGCATCTTCACCCATCCAAGAAGATGAACAAGATGGAGAGGATGAAGTAAAAAGTAATATCGTGAGGGCTTACCTCGGAATGGTCGAGATATGGATGGACCCCGAGTATGATCTATGGTGTGTCCTCAATTGAATTATCGGAAAGCCGTCGTAAAAGATTTAACGTGTTTTGTATAACAGCTTTGATCCTGCTGCATCATCAACATGTGATTCCCTTCTGGCAAATGCTCTACATATTGATTCGTATAATCTCGAGGCTCTGCAATGTCTTGCCAGCGTCCGCCTCAGTCAAGAAAAAACGGATGAGGCACTAGCTGCACTTCTCACTTTCCCACTGTCCTCGCCAGATGCACCTCCTGCACGCAATCAAGCATTGGTTGCAGCACTTCCTCTTTCCGTGCGTCTTGCGCGCGCAAAGCTACTCTTGGAGTGCGGTGCTTACCATGATGCTCTCGATGTTTTGGAAAATGTGCTTGCGTCCGATGATTCCTCAGTAGAAGGCTGGTACCTCATGGGGTGGGGGTGGTGGCTGGTGGCTGAACGCCGTAAAGAGGGGGGTGAAGTAGAAGGAAGTGAAGGCCTGACCTGGGAGGATATAGCCAGAGACTCGAGGGACTGCTTAGAAACTTGTCAAACGGTAAGTCTACTCTATTGCTATGCATCTGCTCTTGCAAGCTCCGCTGAAATGTTTGCGCAACCTCCTTTCATTTATTGCTGGTTAATATTTGTGCTGACATTTTCGACACAGTTGCACGAGTCACAATCAGATCCAGACACGCCTATATTAGAACATGTCCAAGAACTTCTTGGAACCCTGGATGCACTGGGTATCAAGTCCTCCCCGGTTCAAGACGACGAAGAGGGCGACGGGGATGATTGGGAGGATGCCAGCGATGATGAGGACGTTGAAATGTCATAACACGAGATCACAACTTGTGGCTCGCGTCCTACCTCAAAACTGTATCATATCAGTCTGACCTGGCGCAAATACCTAGTGTTCTCGCCATGAAGAACACACCTTGTCGACCATCAGTCATTTACTTGGATTGAGCGGATTGTTTTTACGGCGGCCCGGGTAGCTACGACGATCTGCTCAATCCCACTTCAAGTTGCGCGTCTCGCGAGTTATTTTGCAGGGGAGCATTTTCTGTGAATAGCTCGCTGTGATTAATCGAGCTCAAGAAATTGAATGCACTACCTATGTAGACAGTGTCCACTGCTGCTACAGCATACAGCATAATCCTGCTAACGTCATTTTTTGGGGGGGCTTCGGGCCAGATGAGGAACTTCGGGTGGTAGTAACGGGTTGGTCGCCGGTAAGTTCCAACTATTGTAACCGATACCATCATATTTGTTTGCTCATCCTGTGAAAGCCTATCATGACCTGCAAATATTGTTGGGACATGTTCGAAGATAGCGATGACACAACATATGGTCATCGTTGGTGTCGGACCCCTGAGCAGCTCTGAGCCCAAGACCACACTCAAAAATGAATGGCGATCGCCGTTTGTGCTTCCATCTGTGGTCCTATAACGCCAGCGCCCAAAGAATCTCGATATTGCTCGTACGATGGTCCCAAGTACAGCGCCAACAGTGGCTTCCCGACAGGTCGCAGAGACTCGTTGGCCATCATGTATCATGATTCACAAGTTGTTCACAATAGCTTCATCATACCTGCCAGTATCATCGAAGATGCGGGGATCAAGACAACTCCTTTGGACTGACGACTCCGAGAACGCCAGTAAATCCCCAACCCCTCCCGAGGACAGACTTCGTCAGCACGGCGTATTAGGCAGAAGTAAGCATATATGCAATGTTCTGGCCTGTCTACATGCATGAACCTCCTGTTCTCGGCCTCCAACTTAAGTGAGCAACTTTTGAAGATGAATTGGATGGGTTACTGATACTCATAAATGGCACGTGGGGCTTGTTTCCAATTCAGACCTCCGTTCTATTCACACGCTCATAGTGGTCTAGCGTGTGTGGACCGGGCCAAGTAAAGATGAAGACCCGCGATCAAAAAATATAGCCCGCGCAATTCGAAGAACAAGAAGTCGGGCCTATGTAGTAGTGTGGTCGTGAGGGCTGTCTTTTCTCGATCTCATTATGACTCTGTTCATTCTATTAACCTCATTTTCACGGGTTAGCAACAGCACCGATAGCAGGTGTACTTAATGTTGACTTAATGTGCACTTTTGGGAGCACCGCATCAGTGGTTTTCAAAGTCCCTCAGCGAGTTTTTTGCCTTATCGCCTTCATGCGCTTATCATAGGAAGAAGAACAGCATTGGAATAGCAGTGCCCATTGATCATCAGCCCGCCCGTGCAGGCGCGCCCCGGTCTTATTTTTAGCCCACACCCTCTCAGACCCTCTCATTTCTGTATCTCCCCAGGTTGTCAATCAGGATTCATGATATATCTCAGATGGCTGTGAAAATTGGTGCATCCCTGTCACATGAAATGCATGATGCAACGATGATAGTGCGTTTTCCATCAGACTCGGTACATTTACCATGCTTGATGCATGCTCAACTGATGACCCAGGCACAGAGAGATGGGGTGGGCACCTTGTAACCGCAACCTTCCTTTACTAATCAGTTACCCAAAGGCCTGGAGGTAGCAACAAAATCCTACCTACTTTGGTTATATGAGCGTTGGAGATGTTATATCTAACACGAATGCATCTACCAGATTCCCCGCTCACTTACACACCGCGACATCCCTCAATATGACCATAGTTTTCAACGATCCTAGCTTATGGCCAGTAATCTCTGCGTTTCGTCTGTACAGCTATTTTTTAGGTTCGTGCAGATGCAGGCGGATGATGTCGGTGATGTCTTAATCTAATTTCGACTGTAATTTCGCAGTTTCCGCCTTTGCTGTAGTGATATACGATTATGGTGGGCGATATAGTAAGGATTCGAGAAACCGCTGATATCCTTATGATATTTTCAGTACTGACGATTGGACGAGAGGTGAGTCGATTCGATTACCGCAACCATCTCGCTAAAAGTCATGTTATAGACCGAATTGATCTGGGTGAGCAAAGTCCTACATCCAAAGAACAGCGGGTAATTCAGAACAGAGACAACGATGGTCCCTGATGACTATCCTGTACCTCAGCGTACGTAGCTCATGTTATATGATGCGCAGCCCGCAAGTTGTGCTGACTCCAAAATGCCCTAGATACGCTACATCGGCATACTATATGTTATGTACGTGTGCAAGGCTGATAACAACATGTCGCTGTGCTAATAAGTCACTCTCGCAATCAGTATGTTTGTTCTAGGTATGTCTTTCATACACCGTGTTGATGTTTTCTGACCAGTGATATACAGAATCGCTGTCAGTCTCGGTGTCAGATGCAGTGAGTATTCGTACCCATGCTTCCCATTCCCATCTGATCAATTTCACTCCTGTGTAGGGGTGAGTTAGATTCTCAACGAGCATGTTTAGTTGAGATTGGCTCAACGTGAAAACTGCGACAGGTGTGAGTTTGTGTGCAGTACCTGATCCTACAACCTAGGGTGATCACTAATAGGGTGGTTCAGGCAATATTATGGACACCGTACAAAACTGGATAAATGTGATCGTAGCTATCATGGTGGCCGGTAAGCTACGAAGCCGTAATGCCTCACTATATCGACCTGAAACACAATGCAAGTCATTGTGATTGCTCGGTTATATGCTATGTATCAGGGATCGAGAAAGATACTTATCTTTCTCATTGTAATCTTCCTGGCTGTCAACATTGCGTGCATAGTCATCACCGCAAAGCTAATCAGGGATATTTCAGGGGGTAAGCTTTACTTATTGGATTGAAAAACATGTCTTAATGGAATTCCAGAGGAGCTGATACTCTACGGCATCTCTATGTGCAGTTTTAACGCTGCAGGAAATGCCAATTTTCTTGTCATAATGATATGGATGCTCAACACTATATGGGAAGCTCTCGCACTGTGTCTTGCAGTCTGGATCGCTGTAAAACACTTCCGTGACTTGCGACGACTCAGATCATCAACGGGATCAACCATCGAGGACATGTTCACAGTGTTGATAAAATCTCACGTCCTTTATTTTGCAAGGTGAGCATGCAATGTGAACACGGTTGTTTTCCCCCTGACATTCCACACGCGCTAGCTTTGCTGCTGTTGCATGCCTCCAGCTTGGTAGCCTTTCTCCAGCCATCTTGGTGCGCAGATCTGTCACCAACCTCTGCATGTGGCCATTCCTCATCATTTCTATAGACCTCAAATTCCGTGGGAGCTGAGGTATATAATGGCGTTTTGGAAATTTTGTTGGTTGTGCAGATGTTTGTGCTGGGACCACGCCTCATTCTTAGCGTTCGAGAATTTAATGCTAAGCTCGTGGCCAACTCCGACGCAGGAACCCACATGACTTCGATCGCTTTCCAGGAGCGCGTACATATATCAACCAGCAGTACTGTGTAGCATGGCAAAAGCTGCTGGGTGCTCTGCAGGGAGGAGAAAATTTGTTCGAAGCCCCGTCGTAATTTATTGCAGAGTTGGAGAAAGAGTGGCCTATGCAAACCAATTTCTTGTTGTATCACTACACGCACGTAATACAACCTACTTACACACGTGTACCACAAATCATGCGAAACATCTCGACCCAGTCTCTTGGTGTTTGATACTGAATTCTCGTACGCGTCTCCCATCAGTTTAGATGTGTATCACCTAGCTTGTCACGCGTGTGCTTGCCTGCCAAAGAGCTCGCAACCTGGGGGTTTCTCAGATGCAATGGCCGTGATGGTTACGTCTGTAGAGCGTGCGTCTCGCGGAATTCATCTTTCCTTGCGCAGTCATATTCTTGGTGAGAGCACGATGTGGGGTGCTGGAAGGGCTCCTAAATGCTGATGGTTGTTCCATTTCTGGATAATATATTCTGTACATATCGTCTTACAGCCCTCCAAGGGCAGCGGTGGTGAGAACTGCGCGTGCATGAAGTATTCTGTGCGCTACAGAGGATTCGTGTACGGGTGGCCATGGCTATGAGTGTGAAGATGAGAGATTCCGGAAGTGATTGTGGCAAAGTCAGGCAAGTACTATGGGCAAACCTTGTTCCTTCTTCGTAGATGGAAGTATTCCCCTGCCGATGATATGCGCTCTCCCGGCTCGTCTTCGAAATGAAGGACCTACCGTCACAATTTCGGTCGGATAATGAGATACCATGGGTAGGCTGATCGATGGCGATGGAAGTATATGGGTTGAAAGGAAGATGAGAGCTGCTTCCGAAAAATTGGTCAAATAAAGTACGTTGAAATGCAGCACACAGAGAACATACGGCTTTCAATGTCCCCTACCACTCGATCAATGTGCTCGCCATTTTTGCTCGAATGAGGAGCCATGTTTGTCGCCAGTCAACAGACACTAGGCTTTGAGACATCTGATAGGTGAGCGGGAAGTGTTTCCTCCAGGAGTTGTTGCAGGACATACTAGGTCTCGGAGGTCGATTAGAAGGAAATGTGCTCAAAAAGACAACAGCTGGTGAAGGGATTCAATTTCCAGAGGTTCTACAGAGGGCGCAACATTAACATGTTCGTACCCACTGCGACAAAATCACCTCATCGAGTTTTGCACTCTACAGGGAAGAGAAGAGACTTGCTTGGGGATTTGTGGTGTATTTATTGGTGTTTCGGTGAATAATGAGAACACATTTATATCATAATTGTTGTCTCACAAAAGAACTAGGGAAAGGGGTGAAGGATTGGACGAGGGTTTGCGCTCGCTGTCCTCGACAGCGAGCTCGAGCATCAAGGATTAACATTGTCGTCACGTGGCTTATACCAAAACGGGAAGTCACGCCAATCCAAAATCTCTCTATGTTGAATGAAATCGCATTTGAATATTTGATGCAATCGGCACTGCGACTCGATCGTGTATAGGCGCGTCTGAGTCTTCTTTTCTCCCCTGTGCGATCTCATCTCTGTTTTGAACTATATAGGAATAGTGCGGTATCATATATGAACGGAGACTAACCATCATTCATCACTGGTAAAATTGATGAATCAGTGATCACCATCATTGTCATGCAGATTTCCCCATACTTATGATATCTTGTTCACCCTTGTGATATGTTAGCTTGGCGACCAAGGCATAGAGTGACGAGGGGCGCGTGAGTGCGCGTGAGGATGAGGCATTAATGGGGAGTCTGTTTCGAGGCGATGCAGAGCATCAGTAAACTCACACGGTCTGTACAGAGCTGTACAGGGCTGCACAGAATGCCAGGCCCACAGCCTGGTCCCCTTGTGACAGACAGTAGGGTTCTGAAAAATATTTGAACAGGTCTGTACAGTGTCCCACAGACATCACAGAAAGTACTGCTTGTCCATAACTCGGACCTTGGCATGTTTGTAGATTACTTTCCAGTGTCCCACAGACATCACAGAAAGTACTGCTTGTCCATAACTCGGACCTTGGCATGTCTGTAGATTACTTTCCCCAGTGCTTCCCAATAGTATAGCACACCAGTAGCACAGACAAATAACAAACAAACGAGATCATATTGCAACTGACAAAAACGGCTAACAAATGTGTATCAACATGCAGTAATATTAGTACCGGTCTGACGAGCGACAGGAGAAAACGTGAAGCGAGGAAATATGCCGCTCTGGAGAAAACTCATCCGTCCGGTACTCCAACAGAAAATTGTTCAGAAGGTCCAGCGCCTAATCGAGTACTACCTTCAAGTGCTCGTGCTTTGTTTCCAAGCCATAGCCGCCATCAACCTTCAAGCCTTCTGACCTAGACGAAACACTACAATCAGCATCAGAACAAATGAAAGACTCGGAGGAACACTTACCATCCATATGCGGCCCAGTCTTCAAGTTGCTCGATCAGTTTGGGGCCGTGATATGGATCCAACAAAATGGACTCGATCATCGTCATCATCTCTTTGTAGATTTGTCCGTATTCCTTCACAGTGAATTTGGGGAAAGTCTTGCCGGTACCGTTTGTTGAGAAGCCAAGGAGGACACAATCGAACTGCAAATGTAATGTAGTCAGTGATCAGTGACTTTATGAATCAACTTTTTTTTAAAATACCGCGGCGGAGACAAGCGCTAAGCATGTTATAGGTAGCCGTTTGCGAAATAGATCTGGCCTTCTCCGAGCTAATCTGTATGATCCAGTGTAGTAGAATATGACGACGGCTTCTCGGAGCGCTGGATTTGCGAAATTATTAGTCTTGCCCTGTTCTTGTATGTCAGCACTGCGAGGGATGAACGAAAAATAAAAATAAAAACGTTTATATCAAATCCATTCCGCAGGAACAGAGAGTCACGACGTAGTGTTTTCGCTCTAATTGCGACCCATGCTGGCCGTTCCTGGGCGGGTATCTCGATGGGGGGGATGAGATCCAACATGATCGGGGTCAAGGAAATAACGACTTTCTTCAACTCAGACCGCCAAGTCGCAAGATCGTCGTAGAGCTATGATAGGAGGTCAGCAGGCTTGTACAACAACAAGGACACACTTACCAGCCTGGCCATGTTAGACTGCTGCGCAGGCCACACACCTATGCTAACATTGAGACCTTGGAACTCAGGAACACGCGAAAACTTACCGCTTTCTACCTGCTTCCCGTTCTTCTCCCACTCGATCTTGAGGGCCGACAGGACTCCCGTTATCGATTTTGGTAAGTCCCCCGCCAGAGTTGGAAATGGGTTGGTTAATGTGTGAACCGTGCGACACTCTCCCTTCGCTTCCTCCAGGAAGACTTTCCAGCCGGTACTGTACCACCCGAGTTGCGTGGGCCTTGCTTCGGATCGTGATTGAGGAACTTCATGCTGATTTTCACGTTGAACATTGATCTCGGATTGCTGGCGAAGTGTTTCGAGGTACTCGGGGTCAGGGAGGCGGCGCAGACCATTTTTCTTCTGATGTTGCTCGAGGACATCATTCTGCTTCTGGGGTTGCTCGAGGACATCACTACGTGTCCGTTTCGGCTTGGGCCTGGGCTTTTGCTGCGCTGAGGTGAGATTTGCTGCTATGTTGACTTCGTTGCGTGAGTATCGAACATTGTTCCTCGGCTGCGCTGAGGCCAGACTAGCCGCCGCATGGCCTTCATCCTCGTCGCGTGAATACTGGAAATCGAATTCGGGCGTCAAAGCACATGGGTTCGGAGGGGGCTGAGGGGGCCGTTCCTCAGAAAATCCTGGACAGTAGTATATTATCAATCAGTGAGGGAAGTACATGAGTAGAGCATGGAGATCACCCGCTGTGTTGACTTCGTTGCGTGAGTACTGAACATTGTTCCTCGGCTGCGCTGAGGCCAGACTAGCCGCCGCATGGCCTTCATCCTCGTCGCGCGAATACTGGAAATCGAATTCGGGCGTCAAAGCACGTGGGTTCGGAGGGGGCTGAGGGGGCCGTTCCTCAGAAAATCCTGGACAGTGTAGTATCAATCAGGGAGGGAAGTACACGAGTAGAACATAGAGATTACCTGGATGGATCGTGTGTCGTCCGCGAACTGCTCCCCAGTTGCCAATGTCAGCATCTCCATCAGCATCTTCGTCCTCTGCTCCGGTGTCTTCTTCCGCTGAGCTCTCATCACTCCCATCCTCAACGTCCGATGTATCACTCAACGCAACAGACTGTGGAAGCCTCGGAAGCGCAGCAGACTGAATAAATGGTGGATTGACATACTGGGTGGTGTTCGAAAACGTTGGCACAGAGCATGTATTTGCGTCAAGCGGTGATGCCCGAGTGCGTAGTGCTGGGTCTATGAGATGCTCCGGAATTATCGCGGGTCCAGCAGGCTGATTGACAGTGGCGTTCAGAAACCTTGGCTCCAGATGCGCACTCGCGACAAGTGATGGTGCTGAGGGGAGTGTGGCTACATACGGATTGTAGGTGGCTGGAATTGCCTTGCTTCCATATGGTACCTGCTCAGACCTGGCAGCTGCGTATGGGTTATTCAATGCGAACAAGTTCGGTTGGGTGTCGGGAGGCACAGTTGGTCTCTGGGCTTGGGGAGGCTGCGATGTGTCGTGTCCACGTTGCGAGTCGGATGCCTGTAAAATAGTTAAGATAAATCAACCTAAAGAATAAAGCTCACCTCGGATACATCCATGGAATTTGCGTCAGCTGGGGCATATGGAGGGGGAGCGGTGGCCTAAAAACTAGATTAAGTCTTGAGTAACATCCAATGTGATGTCTTACCTTTCTAGGCTTGCGGCTCTTGCGAGCGTCGGGAGCTTGTGGGTTCCTTGGAATGTCAGCGCCAAGGGATGTAGAGCCTTTCAACAGCCGTTTGCGAGCTGAGGCATCGAAGACTGAATCGAGTTTTTCCAGCTGCACATTCCGTCCGCCTGTCCCTGCATTCGAACGACCAGAGCGTCTAGGGCCACTGAGTTCACCTGAAGGAGCGGGGTGATTGTCAGTTGAAGGAGCGGGGTGATTGTCAGTCAAAGGAGCGGGGTGACTCTTTGGAGTTCGTGTTTTCTTGACTCGTCCAGCTGGAGGTCCATTATCAAGATCTTGAACCTTTCTCTTGCCCTTAGACTTCTTGGGACTGGCCATTGGTGTGAGGGGATGAGAGAAGACTGGAACGCGTGAATTTGTCGTCCAGACTCACCGCTATTTCAATCCCTGCTGTCCAGACTTCCGTGACGGAGTTTGAAGCATCCGATCCCGTTTTTCGCCTTTGAAACTAAAAATCAGAGCAAGGCAGACAAATTGAGCAATGCACCTCGAGGCGCACATGTAATAATACGCACAGGCCGGCTAACACCCTCAAGTTGTCAGTAGAGTCAGTGCGATCGACAAATGTCAGCGGGGATATTAGTACGAAGTAGATAGTTACCTCAGACTACACACACCAATTACATAGCATATGTAGTCATAGCACATAGAACGTTGGCGGTGAAAATGAGTGGTGGGTGGAACGAAGCATTAAACCAGTTACCGCCGGCAGCAATCTTAATCTGAATGGACTCCGCTTGGAATAGGATCACATGAAGTTCGTATATAACATTGCGATACAGTTCTAGTGTAGTCCAAGGAAATCATGCTACATGCTATCAGTAAAAGGAACACGAAAATGAATCAGCATAGTAGTACAAGGAATTCGCGCTAGACACCTTTCACCCGCTTCTTGGAAAGATATGCCCCCTCAGACTCCGGAACAATAAGTCTCTTGCGCTTCATAGCATCGCCATCTTCCCCCAGAGGAAGCCTCAATGCCTGCGAGGAAATATGCCGCTCTGGAGAAAACTCATCCGTCCGGTACTCCAACAGAAAATTGTTCAGAAGGTCCAGCACCTCATCACAGCCCACCGGCTCATCATCATTGCGTCTCATAAGTTCCAACCAAGTATCCGCGAGAGTCGTAAGGTCTTTGAAGTAGGGGTCGATTTGATTGAGGAGAGTCGCCTTTCCTGAGCGGTAAAGGACATACTTGGCCCCAACACACTTTGTGGTGTCTGGGTCAATCCACCCCTCCGACATCAACCCTGCTTTGTTCCGCTCCATCCCGAGAGGGCCTGAGTAGTTGAGAAGGACCCACAGGAACACCCAAAGAACTGACTCGAGGTCGTCTGCGGAGCCTTGTACTATGGTGGGAAGTTCTTTGGGGGCGGTACCACTTGCTTTCTTGTAAGACTGGGTCGAAGTCATAACAGATGAATTGATCATGTCAACCTCGACCAATTGGCTGAGCAGGCTACGTGACATGAACGGGACTGTTCCCGTACCGCCCCTGGTAAGGAGTCGTTGATTGTCACAACGGGCGGTGATGGTGTGAATTGCGAATTCCCAGTCGATTAAACATCCTTGAATGGCCCCGTCAATGTCTTCAATCATCGCGTTGTGGAGGCTACAATCGCGATGAACAATATCACGCTCGGATGCTGCTCGTATGACTGAGATGCGGGCCGATCAGTGAGGGATGGACCTTGAGCAATAAAAAAATACCTACTGCTAACGATATCGTGCAGCGCGGTCACCAATTCCCTCTTAGATCGAAACTCGTGCAACGGGCGTGCACAGGGTGTTAAAACGAGGCGCACATGGGTGCGATACGAGTTGGATGTGCTTGGGAATAGCTTAAAGCGAAGTTCGCTGGTGATGTCAGGTGTTCCATCCCCTCGCTGAACGACCCAATAGTCCTCAAGACGAGGGACACCAGGAACGCCCTGCATCCGCTTCAGCATCTCCACCTCATTGAGGACATCCTGCGAATCCTCTCCCTGCACCCAATGGTCCTTGATGATGAACTCCTTATTCTTGAACCTGGCAAGGTAACAGACGGTTCCCCGGCCAGTAAGACCTCGACTGTAGAATAGAACTTGCACGATGTCGTACGTCTTCTCCTTGACGCGAATCTTACCGATGGGGTCTTTGTTGGAGTGGGAAGGGGGGAACAGTGAGGTGGGTATATCTGGCTCATCGTCCTCGACACGAGGTTCTGGCTGGAGGATCCCTGAAGTAGAAGTGAATACCGCTTCAGGGTGCGGCCCTTCAACTTCACGCGACACTATCATACTGTTGTGTGTCGCATATCCGGAGTCATCTGTGCATCCAGCGACAGAGCTAGATGGGGGGCACGTTTCGGAGGTACCAAATCCAGTCTCGCTCATTTCTTCACAGACAACACCCTCTTGCGAACTGATGGATTCTTCCCCATCTCTAACTTCTTCATCAGCGATAGTGTTCGTGACTGCCTTGCGAGGTACGGCAGTGCGACGGGAATTGCTGGTGCGTGCAGAGGGGGTCACGTAGAACACGATGGTCTGGTCATAGCCGAGACACTCGGGAATTCCAAAAGCAATCGCACCAAGCACCTGGAGATAAGCGTCCGGATTTGTGTTGATATTAAATGAAGGGGACACCAGGCCCCCAGAACGATCATACATATGTACACGAAGCTCGCGATACCGGTTCGAAAATGATAATAGAAGTACAAAGCGGCGCCAGGGTTGTTCGCACATGAGGAGGTACGCTTTCGTGTCGATGGAATTGGCAAGACGTCCAGCGGGCTGGTAAGTACTGAACGTGAGTTCAGCGCATAGCAGGATGTTATTCCAACCAAGCTGGACCACATGATCCGATAAGACTAGGTCGGGCTTCCGCTTGATATCGCAACTTTGGACTGCTTTGGTAGCGAAATCTGAATACCAAACCCGTGGTACTTGACTCGTCTTCACATCTGGATCTGCAAGCAATAGAGCCTCTGAGACAGTATTGAGATAGATACAAAATGAATGTTCGTTGGTCTCTCGGGCCCCCTACCGGTGTAAATCAATCGGATTCTTATCCAGGAAAATAAAATAAACCATCAGTTACATACCGCTGGAGTAAAGGATGACGCAGGGAAGTCCCAATTCCAGCACTTCAAATCGTCATCATACATTGGCACCATGGCATCATCCTTGAGACCTTGAAACTGCACTTTTGCTCTACTATTGCATCGCAGCCTCCCGAGTTTGATCCGTAGCTCGCTAGCACGCGGAATCTTGTTCAAATCGAAAGTTTTGAAGATCAGCACAAGATAGTGACCTAGGCCGCTTTGTTCGGCCTCGTAGCTGACCAAGCGTTTTAGCTCATTGCTCGTGAGGTTATCCATGGTGGAGATGTTGTGTTTTCGGGGAGAAGTGGGAAAAGATCCCAGTTTTATGGTGGGTGCGACGGTTCGAGCTACAATGATGACCATGATAGTTGTGAGAGGAACACAACCTAACAAAGACTAATTGAACGGAAACTTGTCCTAATATGACTATATATTATGTAGTTAAGGAGAAAAATAATTGTTTGTTCCAGTACTTGTTTAACCAAAACTCCAAGCAGTGCTCCATACTGTTGTGAGCGGTGAGACGGTTATCTGCTGCAATGCCAAACCGAGGGACAAGGCTCACAGGAGCCCTGATCTGGGACAAAGGTATTACGTCGCCAAGGCGAGTTCCATTAGATCTCTTAGCCCTCTTGAGGATGTGTAACTGTGTAGCCAAGTCGAGGACTGGGACAACGTCAAAGCGACTAGCATAAACAAGGAAGTGATCACGCCACTGGCATGCACCCCCTCCCATAGGCCGCATAATGGGTCTCATTTGAATAACGCTATGACCTGAATATGTTGAAAAATACGTCAAGCGAACAACACGTGAGAACGCACCTTGGAGGCCACTGGTAGGCCATGAGAAACCTGCTTCAGTGTTGGCAACAACTGAATCAAAACGCCCGCAAGGCCAAGTATCACCAGGAGGAACACAGTTGAGTGTTTGCGCAGGTTGTATGTCGCTGATTTCATGGAAGTCGGTGTTCTGCAAGCGCACTTTGAACCACACTTGCAAATTTTCAAATGGAAGTTGCGCGTGAGGTCCAGCCCTTCGCCCCCCACCTATCGAATGGACGTAATGTTGCCCGTGAGTAGCCTCGCGGGAGAGAAAATCAGTGAGGGCGGGACGTAAGTCTGGGAGACCAAATTTCAAAGCCGCATCGTCAATGGTGATAGTCCTGATTGATGGACAGTACGCAAGATGGAATGCGGTCCGTCCAGCAGTGAACGTGCGTAATGGTAGAGGGATGGAGCCAACATCCTTGTGGTGTAAACGCTTCGCAACCACAAAATAATTTGTGATTGGCCGAGAGCGACCAGGGAAAGGAACCACGGATAACAAGTCTGCTGGTATATCTTCTTCATCATCCTCGCCCTCATTATCACCCTCATCAAATCCCTCGAAGACCGGATTTAGTTTGTCGGGATCGAGTAGACTTGTGGCAAGATCGAAGCGACGACACTTCTCCTCATGATCAAGATGACGGCAGATTTGTGGATTATAATTGTTGTTGTTGCTGGACCGTGCTGGATCTTTGACGGCAGTGATGTGAGCATGTTCTGTTGCATCTGCAGTCCACTGCATGGGGACGCCAGTATTGCAGATACTTGGGACGATGCTCTGCATGAACTCGAGTTTGGGGATATGCCAATTGGTAATGACTTTTTTACCCTTCCCACGTCGAATACCAGCAGCGATGATGGCATCTTTGTTGGCATGGAATTCAGCTAGCGCAGCAGAAATACGCTCAAGACCATCGCTGTCGATGCGGCTAGCTTGGACAAGGTACCGGAAATCCATAAGAGCGCGTATGGCAGTAAGGACAGCTGAAGGTGCAGCGTCAGCGCTGACTGCAATGATACCGCGTTGGATGTCACATTGACACCGGCCAGTGACCTGCTTTAACTTCGATATGCCTTCATGGAAATGTCGGAATCCAGTGATGTGAGGTAGGATGGAGAAACGGAAATCAATCTCAGATTCCCCAACAGCATTGATGAGCCATCTCGCGTCGTGATCGTAAAACTGCCGGTGGATGTGGTGAAGCATTTCTGGAGTGAGAAAATGTGATGGTTCAGCTAGAATCCAATCACGCCAGAATGGCGTAGCCACACCATTCAACCGGAATTTCTGTGCTTCGCGGAAAAATGCTTCAAGATCAAGGGGGTCAGCCCGCGTATGAACGACTTTGAGCTGTGCGAGAGTTGTGGACTTCGTGCGGGGTTCGTGTTGAAAAGGGTCCCCAAACTGTTTAAACATTGCCATGGTCAATGGCGATGTCTTCCCCCCAACAGTGGATAACATCATGGCTTCTGGTGTGTCGGCGATATAACTTGCGAGCCCAGTGTAGCAACGCCGGCTATTACCCACAGGATCTGACATCATGACTCCAACACGAGCAGCTTGCTTGAGCGGTTCAAGAACGATGTCTAGACACTCATGCATGAGACGGTCCTCTAGTACGCCTCGCATGCGTTTCTTCTTGTGGATATACTTTGGGACCGGAAGGAGGGCGGTAAGGAGAAAGGAGTCAGATGACATTTTTGCACGAGTCTTCATGGATATATTTGCAAGACTAATCAGGAGAGGGTGGGCGACTCTATCACCGGTCAGAGCAGAAATGTTCGTCTTATCGGAAGACAATATAGTTCCAAGGAGTGTACCACCACTAGGCAACATCGACTGAGATCAACTTTAAGCAAGTAGAAATAAAACAAGGACCGATTTGACATACCTGCATGTTCCATGCATCGTCACCCGTCGTCCATTCTGAGTATATGCGACATGTCCGCTCCGCAGTAGAGTAAATCTTTTGAGGAGTGAAATTGAAATGATCTCGAAAGGAAGGGTCGTTCAGAATGCTGGCAATGCACTCTACAGGATCCCGCCAGTACAGAATCACAGGGGATTTTGTAGGATGAGACGTTTCTATAACTTTGGACATCCATCGCGGACCGCTCGGCAATTGTTCTGCTCGGCCTCGCAATTCCTTCGCGGAGCAGAATGACAAGGGAAGGGCCTTGATCTACAGAAAAATAGCGAGGTTACTATGGGGGGAGGAGGGGGAGACGAGACAAAGAAATACTAACCATATCTAGCGACAAGAAGGAGTCAATTTTCCCCATGCTCAAGCCTGAACGCAGCAGCCAAGACGCGACTTCCCAGTCTTTCCGTCCACTAAAGGGATAGTACGGGTTGTTCACGCGATACACGCTGTTTTTATCCTCGTCGAACAAGCCGAGAAATGTGTATCCGCCTTCGTATACTTCTGCTGAACCTGGGAATACATCAATGAATTCGCCACTGGAGGCATGTCCTTCTTCGTTGATATCAAATGAACCCCCAGCAGTATGATCTAAATATTCTCCAGCATCATCGTAGTGGGAGGTGGATTCGTGATAGTCATTGTGAGTGGAGGACTCGGCATCTTGATCGACATTGATGGGATCATCTTCTGGAAGACACGTTCTCATGCGGATGGTGTCTTCGATCCAGGTGCTGCATCCTGATCTGGGCTGGCTCATGTGGCGAGCAACGGCTTCGTGAGTATGGAATCCGCCTTTGCGGCACGAAGGACATTGAAGCATTGAAAGATTGTACCGGCAAATGCCAATTGAACTGAATTGTAGTGTCGCATGTCTTTGTCGATATTAATAAAAAAAACTCATCAACATGTTTCAAGAACATTTCAACACACGCAATAACTCCCTATCACTCCAGGGCCTCAAGTGCTCATTCATATCTGAGAATCACGCAGCTCAGAATTCGCGTGCTGAGCTGTACGATATTCTCGAAGCTCTGGATTCATTGGTATGTCAGTGAAGTTCTCACGTCTGAAAGGTTGATGTATGCAGGACTCGCAGACCGTCAATGATCCCAACGACTCCGAAGCGCATGTCATAATGGATTTAGCAAGGGCGAAGCGTGAAGTCTTCAGAGCAGAGCAGCTTCTTGCAGATTGTGTCGTGCGGGAGCATGAGGTTATGGCTAGTTTGTTCAAAATCAGAGCTGCCACATCGGAAAAGAGACTCGGGCTGGATGCTGCTGGCGATGAGCTTCGAGTTGATTGCGTGATTGTAGCATCACCGAGCCAAGTCAACGGTATGTTCAGCCTGACTTTTTCCTTATCACGCTGGGGCTCACATCTTTCTAGGGTCGAATGTCCGAGTCTATCGCACGCGCAACGTCACTATCCAACTCGACTAACTCGAACTCGACGTGTAGCTAGTATCACAATGTTATATACGAACTTCATGTGCACTATGTATTATTAGCCTGAGTAGTACCATTTGTCGTCATCATTGGTCCATTGGAGCCTTGTCTGGTCAGCAAAATAAATAAAATAAACATTCACGTTTCCCGTTCAAGCTGATTCAATGACTCTGCAGCATCAAAAAAAAGGCTAGAATTTGTGTCTAATAGCATTGGTATGTGTACAGCCTGAAAGTACTTAGTAAATAAATATGCTTCGTGCGCTGTGAGTGACTATATATATGTGCATCCTTGTCCAACTGTGTGTCCTGTGTGTGCTGGGTGAGCTGTTGCAGCTGTGGGACTCTGTCAATACTTGCCGGCTGAAGTCTATCTCATCCGTGAAGCGGCTGTGAGTGCTGGGTGAGCTGTCACACTGTGGGGCTCTGTCAACACTTGGCCGCTAAAGCCAAAGTCTGTGAGAAAATTGTGGTTTACTGATGAGGGATCTTGGCAGTCAAGGCGGTGAGACTTTCTCCCATGCCGACCCATTCTATTTCTCTTGTCTAACTTATTTAGTCTCAAGCCAACAGAATGCCTGTCAAGACACCTTAGAAGAGCTGCGACGCTCCCCTGGCTCAGCCAGCGAGGTTGAGGGAGTGCAGATGTTCAGCAAGAATTATCGTTGAGTCAGCTGAAAAAAATCGATGATCGCATCACACGTACGCCTGTGTTAGATTGGTGACCAGCAACTACATAATGCAACTCTCCTAAATCGATGCAAGTGCGGCCCCAAGAACGTCATTTTCCGATGCTACGAACAACTTTTCAAATTTCTCGGTCTTCGCACATTCCCCGTGTGTGACAGATTCACAAGCGAACTTTTTCATTCAATTGAGGACTTCCACATATGTTCTTCTACTGGGTGTCGCACCGCAACCTTTGCATCAGTAAACCAAGGGGCAGCAACGAACATCTATCATACCGACTGTCGCGATATAAGCGCTGGAGATGGTATATCTAGCACAAATGCCATTGATATATGTCCACCAAGTTCTCCACCCGCTCACATACATTGACATCCCTCGAATATGACACTGGTCTCAAATGATCCCAGTTGGTGGCCGACAATCGCGGAGTTTCGTTTTCTCAGCTATTTCTTTGGTTCGTGCAGATCCAGTTGAATTGTCTCGATCAAACCTGAAAGGTGGTTTCCTAGTTTCCACATTTGTTGTAGTGATATACGACTATGGTGAGTGATCATATAGATTCGAGGAACAGCTGGTATTCTTATGATGTTTCCACACCTGATGGTGGGGGATGGATGTATCCTTTTGGCCTATAGGCCTAAAATAGGGATACATCCCCCAATCTAATTGTCCACTCACCAGTGATACATCCATGTAGTCTGAGAATCCATGTATCTAATATAGCAAGCAGAAATCTTAAACATACATTATGACTGCAATTTTGGCTCCCCAAAGCGAAAATTCATGATATATATTCCATTTTGGTAACCTCCTCATGTCAGGCCTCCCCACATTATTCCCACACATCATATGTTCGCATTTTTCAGCCCCACAGTGTGGGAATTACCCCACAACACCAAAAACATCGCCCATTTTGGGAATCTCCACAATATCAATTATTCCCACACCCTTCCCACCTCACTGCAGCTTCACCACCACCCCACAATAGGTCCCCCTCCATATATAAGTGATAGTTTGGTATATATATGTATATTATAATATAATGGTCCGCTTTTTTTGTTTATTTGTGTACCTGCTCCTCCTCCAGGGCCCTTTCAACATAACCTAGGGTACAGAACACTTTCGCATTTTTGCCCCTATGACAGGGAAGTGTTCTAAGGCATTCAGAACATGTTCAGGAGTATATATGAATGTATTCCCATCTTTATTTTACCCCCTGAAGCGCCCTACATTAATAGTTATAGCATATATACATAGAAATACAAAATATGTTCCCATGTGTGCATTTCCAAGTGAACAGACTTGAAAATTGTATCCCCACAATCCATTAAGCAGTATGAACAATGTGTCAGGAGATCAGGACCACAGAACAACACCCTGTTGTATGGTATACCCCCCTTCTTCTGGTGGTTTACCCCCTGTGAAAATTTTTCCTGGAAGGCTGGACCTTAGATATGGCAGGGAGTCTATTCCTATACATATTTGGAGTATATCTATCACATAGCTACCACAGGGAGCCTTTAGGGTCCTTCAATAGGAACAAAAACATAAAACATCACATATTTCACTTGTTTGATGTTTTGCACTACCTTACCCTTTCACAAATAATACAACATGCTCATATATCATTAGTAGGGCATATATACATGCTTTATATACCAAAGATCAGTTCAAAATAGGCCATAGTTGTGGAATAGTGTATATACTTTCTAAATCTACTGATTAGGTTCCCATACCTTCAAAACATCGAAATCTTATAATCAGACACCTGGAGTACATTTTACATATATTCAGCATCATAGGCCTAAATGTACAGAAACATCCACCCAAATCTCAGAGCTGGGAAGTGAAATAGATCAAAAATTGAGTGTGGGAAAATTAAAATGCCCAAAACATCGAAAATGGGTAGTTTGAGGTTGAGTGGTTATTGGACTTTAATGCTGAATCAACTCACTTTCACATTACATCCCTTCCACCAACACTCTACCCTCAGGGCAGTGTTTAGTATAGGTTCCTTAGGTAGTCTATCATGTATCCTACACATTTTTAATAAAATCTTCGACCTGTCTCATATATAAATATGACTTTCTGTGAAAAAATGTCAATTGTCACTTTTCACACATATGTCATTTTCCTTGCCATTCATTCAAACCTTGATGGATCTTTCTATAGATTTAGGGCTATCATTAGGGATATATGAGATATATCCCAGGTGTCTGATCACTGATAAAACTCTTTATTTCCATGTGGCCTTCTAATCAGTGGAAATACCCCCTTTACCTCAGATCTAATGTTTCCACCCTATATCCAGCTGATCCTTAGCATAGGAAACATTTATACATGCCCTACTAATGATATATGAGCATGTTGTATTATTTGTGAAAGGGTAAGGTAGTGCAAAACATCAAAAAAGTGAAATATGTGATGTTTTATGTTTTTGTTCCTATTGAAGGACCCTAAAGGCTCCCTGTGGTAGCTATGTGATAGATATACTCCAAATATGTATAGGAATAGACTCCCTGCCATATCTAAGGTCCAGCCTTCCAGGAAAAATTTTCACAGGGGGTAAACCACCAGAAGAAGGGGGGTATACCATACAACAGGGTGTTGTTCTGTGGTCCTGATCTCCTGACACATTGTTCATACTGCTTAATGGATTGTGGGGATACAATTTTCAAGTCTGTTCACTTGGAAATGCACACATGGGAACATATTTTGTATTTCTATGTATATATGCTATAACTATTAATGTAGGGCGCTTCAGGGGGTAAAATAAAGATGGGAATACATTCATATATACTCCTGAACATGTTCTGAATGCCTTAGAACACTTCCCTGTCATAGGGGCAAAAATGCGAAAGTGTTCTGTACCCTAGGTTATGTTGAAAGGGCCCTGGAGGAGGAGCAGGTACACAAATAAACAAAAAAAGCGGACCATTATATTATAATATACATATATATACCAAACTATCACTTATATATGGAGGGGGACCTATTGTGGGGTGGTGGTGAAGCTGCAGTGAGGTGGGAAGGGTGTGGGAATAATTGATATTGTGGAGATTCCCAAAATGGGCGATGTTTTTGGTGTTGTGGGGTAATTCCCACACTGTGGGGCTGAAAAATGCGAACATATGATGTGTGGGAATAATGTGGGGAGGCCTGACATGAGGAGGTTACCAAAATGGAATATATATCATGAATTTTCGCTTTGGGGAGCCAAAATTGCAGCCTAAAACTGCTTGTTGTGATTCACCATTGAATATATCATTGTGGACAGTGGACAAGTAGACTGGATAATGTATCCCTATTTTAGGGCTATAGTAGTATATTGATGTATCTATATAGCACTATGGGCTGGTTTCCAGTACTAACACTCGGACAAGAGGTAAGTTGCCAATGTTATTACCAGAGCCACCATGTTGCTAAAAGTGATGTTATAGATTGAATTGATCTGGGTGAGCAGAGTCGCATATCCTAAGAACAGCGAGTTATTTGGGACAGAGGCAACGCTGGTCCTTGATGACTGTCCTATACCTCAGTGTGCGTAGCTTATGTTATAAGTGGAAAAATCGGCAAGTCGTGTTGACTTCAAATCTTCTAGATACGTTACATCGGAATACTGTTTGTTGTGTACGTATGCAAGGCTAACGAGGTGGCGCTGTGCTGATATCAATCTCTCGCAATCAGTAAATATATTCTGGGTATGTCTCAAATACAACTGTGTTTGTTCCTTCTGACCGTCAGCACAGACTCTTCGTCAGTCTCAGTGTCAGATGCAGTGAGTATTGTGTACCCATGCCCCCCATTTTCATCTAATTAATTGCATTCCTGTTGTAGGTGTGAGTGAGATCCTCAACGAGCGTGCTGGCTGAACTTGGCTCAAACATGACAATCGCAACAGGTGTGAGTTTGTTTGCAGTGTTTGCAAACCCTGCGAGAGTGATCACTAATTGAATGTTTCAGGCAATATTACAGAGATTGCAGAAAACTGGATAAATGTGGTCGTAGCTGCCATGCTGGGCGGTAAGCTAGCTACTAAGTTGTAACACCTCAGTGACGTTGACGAAACACCATGCAAGTCATCGTGATTGCTCGGTTATATGCCATGTTTCAGGGATCGAGAAAGATGCTCACCTTCCTCATTGTCGTCTTCCTGGCCGTCAACATCACCTGCGTAGCGCTCAACGCGATAGGATTCAAGGATATTGTAGGGGGTAAGCTTTACTTATTGAGTTGAAGAACAAGGCTCATTGGGTGAATGCCAGAGGAGCTGATACTCTCTGGTACCTATGCATGCGGTTATGACGCCGAGGGAAATGTCGATTTTCTTGCTATAATGGTCTGGATGCTCAACACTGTATGGGAAGTTCTCGTACTGTGCCTTTCACTCTGGATTGCTGTAAAACACTTCCGTGACTTGCGACGACTCGGACCATCGACAGGATCAAGCATCGGGGACATCTTCACAGTGTTGATAAAATCTCACGTGCTTTACTTTGCAAGGTGACTTTGTAATGTGAACATTACTTTTTGTTCACTCAATGTCGCCGCCACTAGCTTCGCTGCTGTTTCTTGCCTCCAGCTGGCATCTCCAGCCATCTTGGTGCGCTGATTTGTCACTGACATTTGCATGTAACCACCGCTCATCATTTTTACAGAACTCAAATTCTGTGGGATCTAACATATTGTACGGTGTTCTTCAAATTTTCTTGGTTGCACAAATGTTTGTACTGGGACCACGCCTCATTCTTAGCGTTCGAGAATTTAACGCTAAGCTCGTGGCCGACTCCGACGCTGCAACCCACATGACTTCGATTGCCTTCCAGGAACGCGTACATGTGTCGACTAGCAGTACTGTGTAGTATGGGAGGTGTTTGCGGGCACTCTGCAGGGAGGAGAATAATTGTTCGAAGCCTCGACATGATATTTATTTAAGTTATATGGTCTTCCCATGTATAAAAGAGAATCATCCACACAAGTTGTGAATTGGAACCATACAAAATGTCTTGCAACCAACCCCAGTCCCTGGGTGCTCGGAACTGAATGTACAATAGCTCCTATTCAAGTCCAAGTTTTAAGTCTACTACTTTGCGACTTCGTGCTTCCACCATAAATGGTTTGGCTGCTTTCAGACGTGCCTTTCGAACTTTATGGTGTAGCCGGAAGAACTGCTTGATCTTCTGGCACCTTAAGAGGTAATGCAAATCGCCAAAAGCAAACGAATGACCCGACATTTGCTATCAATTTAGCGTTTTAGACCATGTATCGGATGGATTTGTCGGTAGAGAATCCATAGATCTCGTTGAATCTGTCCTCGTTAATATCTGATTGCAGGTGTACACTGGCCAGCTGCCACACAATCTGTCTGTCCAAGAAATATATATATTCAGTAACCAGAAAGGCCGGTATATCACATCCGAGAATGGGGGTGTATATGTGCAATGTAAAACTAGATGTGGATGAGGGTATATGAGTAAAGGTATCGCAAGCTGCCAAAAACAAGAATAATAATGAAATACTTTTCAACGAGTGTGTCAATCAATCAAACCACCCCGCATCTCTCATCTCCACAGCCAGGTTGCTCCACTCGCACCCGCTAGACTTGCGTCCCGCACATTCCGTCGCAAATCGCATGCACTCGTCGAGCCTCCACCGCGCAGTGACGTCTACTTCTTTCTCCTCCGCTTGCACGGGGGTATATGGCGCCCCTGGAAGAATGCGCCTGCTGAGGGACCAGATCATCCCCGCGACGAAAGCGGAATGCGCGCCCTCTTCATCTTGCGGGTCATCCGATGGCGGTGGCAAAGGCTGCGCGAGCACAGTGCTCTGTACGTGCTGAGGGGGGCGTGTGTGTGCATGGCTGTGGCTATGACCATTAGTGCGAAGATGAGGGTTGGGAAGCGAGTGGGGCAAGGATGTCCCGCGGGTAGTATGCGTAGACCTCGCGTCGTCATCGTCATCGTCATCGTCAAGTGGGTGGAACGATTCTCCCGCCGATGACGTGCGCCCCCTTAGCTCGTCGTCATGATCTTCTGAGTACCCACTGTCACGATTTCCGGCAGATGATGAAGAGACACCCATGGTGAACCCGCTTGAGTCGGGGCTGCGGCGGCCAGCCCAAAATTCTGAGCCGCTGCGCACGCTCTCGACACCCTCTGCGGTGGAGATGATGGAGTGTAAGTTGGAGTTGGTGTGTGCGTGGGATATGTGCCCTATCGGAGGTGGAGACCAGGAGGACGACTGGAGGTACTCACGCGTGGGGAGGGAGAGGAGAGCCGAACCAAGGGCACCTCCGTATAATATAAGGAGCGCGTGTGGAGGTGCGTGTCGTGCGAGTGCAAGGAGAATAGCGCGGGGAGAAGGTGGGCCAGGGTTGGCGGCGTTAGGTTGGGAATTGGAGAGTGAGGGAAAAGTTTGCGCCGAAAGGAAGATGACGTCTGCATGGGGGATGAGCTGGTTGCATAGAATGGTCAAATAAAGTGCGTTTCAGAAAGCAAGAGGACATACAGCTTCGACGCCTTCTCGTGCCTTTCGGCCGAGATCTACGCTGATAACACAATGTGCTCGCCACTTTCGCTCACGTGCAAGACCATCTACTCCAAGAATGTTGGAGAGCGTGGTTTTGATACTCCGTCCTTCAAAATGCAGCCAGTCAAAAGGCGCTGGTGAAAGTGGGCTTTGAGTGGGCACGATCGCCATGTGTGGGGGCGCGCTTCCTGCAGGAGCTGTTGCAGGTCTGGACGACATACTGGGTCTCGGCGGCGGAGTAGAAACGAATGCATTTGGGAAGACGGCAGCGGGCGAAGGCGGTTGAGGTGGTGGTTGAGGTGGTTGGGGGTGGGCAATACCAACGTAGTTCTCTGGTGCCAGAACAGGGCCGAGCAACGCAATGAAATCTTCATGGGACACTTCTGGAAGCGGATTGTGATTTATAACAGTCTTTTCACCAGTATCACGGGCATGCATTACCCATGCAGATGGAACACCGAGACCGGGCCAGAGCTTGCAATATTTTGTGCGCACTCCACCTGCTTCTAGCTCATCTCGGAGTCGAATTCCATCAGGTGACGCGCCCAAACTCGCTATAAGCATAGGTTCCACAGCAGCAGGAAGCGCTGCCAAAAAACCGAGTACATGTCCAGCGCTACCACCACGTGCGGCGGTGACTGCTTGTGCACGAGATGCAGTGCCCGGAACTGGATGTGAGCAGAGGTCCAGTGAATAGGTGAAGAATATCGTCCCTGTCGAGAATATACGGAATGGTTTAGAAGTTGACGGACTTGGCATAGGCGGGCTGGCGTGAACGGACGTTGGGGAATGAGTAGTGCTGGACGCTGAAAGCGTGTCGCGTCGTAGGCGAGCCATATTCTGTTTGTTAAATAATTACGCGGCGTTTAGTCTAACTGAAAGTGGGACGTACGTCGCCCACGTCGGGGTCGACTGAAAAGAAGCCATTAAAGTTCATTATGGTTGTCGTAAACTCACATGGACCCGAGAGACCACCCCTAGTACTGAGGCCGGTACCAGTGCTAGCAAGTCACTGACTCTAGCAACGCAGTCAGTCAAACTCCTCATCAATCTCTAACAGGTTCTCCAACATTGAACAACACCCTCCCAGTGAGCCGTGATGCGACATGTTCTTCCTCAGAGATAAATACAAACATAGAAGTTGGAGAGAAGTACAGTGTTTTGCCTGACACCGTTCAATATCTATTAATGTTGCCAGCGCCCTGGTGCAAGAGCATATATCAATCACGGAGCGGGCCGCCGAGTTCTAGGTAGTGGGATATGTGAATGATACAACGCATGTTTGAATTTGCGAGGCTCCGCCATGAAGGTGAGTGAGTTGCAGCCAAAGCAGTTACAGACTTACATCAGTATCCAAGGTTATTGCAAAACCATTGATACTGTTCGGATATACAAACTAGTTGAATCGATGGATACCCGGGGCGCCATCCTCATCCCCTTATTTCGGGAAATAGACGAGCAGTCACATGCACATGTCAGGTGAGCAAGCACTTCAGACGGAGAATACGGAGACACTTATAATAATATCAAGATGGCACGCCCTTCCTATCATCCCGCCATTCTCCTTGAGTGTTTGAGCTCGTTCGCATCCCACTGTTCATCGACAAATCGAAGTGACGTCTGCTAGCATGTCTTTGCCAAGGAAAGTGCCTTACAGTGAGTCTGGTCACAATTCAAAGAAAGGCACTCACTCTGTCCATGTGCTCAGCGAGGCTGGGGAACTCTGGGTTGAAGGTTTCCAGAATCATACTTGGGACCATGCAGTACGGCAACAAGGGATGGCAAGATTGGGTCCTCGGGGAGGATGAAGCGGTCGAACACATCAAGGTCGCGTGAGTTCTCCGTCTTAATAACATATACACAATTCCCCTGATCACTAGAACCAGTTATGAAGCAGGAATCCAAACTTTTGATACCGCTGATGTGAGTCGCTCATTATTACTGTCAGAACTTGTTAGATCAGGGTATCGCCTTCTTCTTAGACATATTCAAATGGTTACTCGGAGGTGATTCTTGGACGGGTCATCAAGAAATTGAATTTGCCCCGCGACGAAATCGTCGTCATGACCAAGGTAGTACATGACATTAGTGTTCTGCAGCTATCTGATCACATTTGCCTCGAACAGGTGTTCAATGTAGTCGGACGTGAATACGACATCCACCAGCTTGCTGGGCGTAACAACCCAGATCAGAATGGTTATGTGAACCAGCATGGCCTCAGCCGGAAGGCATGTTTTCAATCGATTTTGAGGTGAATTGACTTTCTGAACTTGTGAAACAGCACATCTTCGCAAGCGTGAAAAAGAGTCTGGAACGGCTTCAAATGGATTACATCGACGTGCTACAATGTATGTCGAGCCATCAATATGCTCAGACTCTTTCTCATGTTGCTTACGCATTCGTAGGTCACAGATTCGACACTGAAACACCGATGGAAGAGACGGTAATTCATATTCTCTACTTGCTTTCACGCGCTAATTTTGGAGAAGATGCAAGCATTACACGACGTCGTCAAAGCCGGTTATGTCCGTTACATCGGAATGAGTTCTTGCTGGGCGTACCAGTGTACGTGCACCTCATTCTTCTGCAGAGTCAGGCTAATGCTCATTTGCTATCCAGTCCAAGCCATGCAAAGTGAGATCTCAATGGGAGGTACATACCGTCATCTGACCACGAATTAACGCAGACTACGCTATCACAAACAAGCTCACTCCATTCATCTCCATGCAGAACCATTACAGTCTACTCTATCGTGAGGAGGAGCGCGAGATGTTCCCTACTCTCAAGGTCCTTCCATGGTCTTCATAACATCAACCTCATGACTCACAACAATGTTCAGATGTTTGGTGTTGGCTCAATTCCATGGTCTCCACTGGCTCGCGGTGCCCTCACACGCCCCCTTGGACAACAAACAAGCAGAGGTCAAGTTGATTGGCGAGTATTCCAATATCTTCACGGGGTGACCGTCTGATGGCTTTTTACAGGTTCATTGGGAATTATGCCCAAGCGTCGTCATACGAAACTATCATTAACCGGTATGCTGGTTCCGTGCAAAGAAATACAGCGATGCTGACAGGTTAATCAGGGTCGAGGAACTTGCCAAGAAGAAAGGTGTGAGCATGGCCCAAATAGCCATCGCGTGGATCTTAACCAAGGATGGTGAGTTATTTTGACGAGTCCGTGTGGGTACTTGATTAATGAAATCACTCCCCAGGAGTATCGGCTCCTATTGTTGGAACCACGAGTGTTGCAAACCTGAAAGATATCATTGGTAAGTGGCGATGTCTACCTGAAGAACTTCCTGCACCACTGACGTGGAACCCAAAGCTGGAATAGACGTGAAACTTACGGCGGAGGAGATTAAATACCTCGAGGACGAGTACAAACCGACTGCTGTTATTGGTCATTTCTGAGCGGTTGGATGCGCAGCTCTTTTAGACTAAGAATATGTATTGGTCCTGATTCGCTGCTTGCTCCTAAGTGATCACAACATGAAAAGCAAACTTGAATAACACCCGCAGCTATTGCTTGAGTGACAACCTGAATCACAAGCCAATTTAGAGCTTGTAATGCTTCGGATCTTGGACGCTGGAAAGCTGGATACTTACTTGAAAACCTTGCGGAAGAACGTCGGGGGTTATACGTAAGTATACATCTTGGACGCTGGAAAGCTGGATACTTACTTGAAAACCTTGCGGAAGAACGTCGGGGGTTATACGTAAGTATACGTACAACTTCCAGTGAAGTCGGAACTCGGGAACTGAAATTTCTGGTCACGTGTGTACGTACACAAGAGGGTGCATACTCGGGGTGTGTGCACTGACCACGTATACTTCCTGTCCTGAAACAAGCGCTACGAAATCCAATCGCCTTGATAATGCGCATGAAAAGAGAATTCGGCAAGGATGATGTTGGGGCAGAGGTGAGTACCTGATTCGCCCAAGTACATATAGTCTCATTCACCAGCATTTCCGTAGGAACCACTTGAAGGAGGAGATTGGGAGGATATTCCAGAAAGAGACGTTAGCCCAGAGCGGTTCGACGACTTTGACTCCTCCAATGCAGCAGGCGCTTTTACAGATGCCTCGAAGCCGAGGCGTCGTGCAATCTCAAAACCCGTTTTCGTCGCTGAGAGCCCTCGGCGTACTCGCGCAGCCCCTCCGCGGCTAAAGCGCAGGAGAAGCCCTATGGTGGACAAGGAGCAAATAAAAGAAGCGCTGTCCACAGGCGCCCAAGAAACAAGCATTTATATTTTCGACGTTATCATTCGAGCAGTGCGACTCATGCGCATACCATTATCTTTGATGCTCTTCCTCTGGATGTTGTCATTCGCGATGATACGCCTTTCGGGTGCGATGCGCACAGCGTTTGCCCCGATGTGTTACCTTCCTTTGGTATCGAGGTCGGCGCTGTGTGCTCCGCTGGACCCTAATGCTTCGCAGATTCCCAAATGGGCGGATTTTCCGCACCTTATGGAAGCTCAGGGCTCTACTTTTGAGCAGCTTTTGGAGGGGTCGGTTGGAGGACCTGGACTTTCGATTGAAATTCGGAAGGCTGAGTTCGCAACTGCTGATCTTACAACCCTCGTACGACACAGCGACCTCAAGTCTAATGACATCCTAGCTGATCTCTTGGCGAATTTCGTCCAAGATGCCAAGAAGACCGCTAGGAGTCTCACAAAGCTTAGTTCGAAAATCGGTGGCGCTGTGGACAAGTAAGTAGTTGCACGTTTGGCGTAAAAATGCTTCATGCTCATGTTCGAAAGTGTTATGGCAGTGAACGGGTATGCCATGCGTACCATTCAAGAGGCGGAGAAGAACGCACCAACGCCGTATTCGCTCATGGCCTTGATTCCATTCCGCATGGGACCCACGACTCAGGAGGTGATAGTCGACGCATTCTCGAGTGCGATGGACACCTTTTCTGGTGCAATACAGAAACTTATTCTGGAAGCGGAGATATCCCTGCACAACTTGAATGTACTCGAGGAAGATCTCTCCGCTGTACGCGAAGCTGTGATGCGCGAGGACGTTTCCATCACCGCTGAGCATTCTGAGCTTTTGGGAGCGCTTTGGACAAGACTGGGTGGGAACAGGCACATATTACGGGATTTCGAGAGACGCCTCGATTTGCTTAAAGACCTTGGGGACTATCGGAAACAAGCGCAGGCACATGTTGTTGCTGCGCTCCATACACTGCACTCGATGAGCGAGGACATGGAGGATCTACGAGAGAGGGTAGCGGCTCCTGAACTGCTTGATGGGCGTATCCCACTCCACGTGCATATCGAGAGCATTCAGGGTGGACTCCAACGGCTACAGGAGGGCCGGGTGAGAGCAAAAGAGAGGGAAGAAGAGGTGATGAGAAAAGTTTTGGGCGGTACCGATTGAGTTGAGGGGGGATATCACATGCGGCCTTACTTGGATTGCGTGTGCTCAAGTTGTACATATTGCTAGTGAGCTATCTACAGTTATACGGACGGGTCATTTGTGCACCAACCTGGCACCAAAATTGTGAGAGCAGCTCATCTCGGTCAACGTCTCGACTTGGAGGTGCACGCGTGGAGTAGTCGAAGATTTCGCTTGTTATCAGGAGATAACATATAATTAGGGGGTCCGTAGCAGATGTATGTCGTGTGTACAACTGGATGGATGATAACCAATGGTGAAGGCATGTCAAAAACCTAATTTACGGTGATTCCCGACCCATGGGATTTGAACATAGCAGGATCCTGGAGTAGTATGTGGTTCTCAAGTGAACTCACGAACAGCATCTATGTAAACTCACGCAGAGCACGAGTCCCTCCCCCGAACACGTTGGGTTGCACGAGACCTGTACCGGTTGTATGGCCCTGTGGATAGTGAGAAGGTTGTGGATGGAATCAAGCGTTTGTGGAACTCAATGTGGCTGTTCTGATGTGGTAATTTGGGATCTTATTGTGGTTATGTAAAGGATTCTTGGATATAACGGGTAAGTGATCGGGTAAACACAATTGTGCTCCTGCCGCATCCACTGATCGTGGCATGGCCCGGTCAAAGTATTATTATTGTGACAACGAAATGCCTGACCTCCCACTTACCTTCCACCATCACCACACCCTAGCCTTGCCTAGCTTTCTGCAGTCTGAAAGACGCTCACAAGAAGTCACCGATAGCAGACATTCATATACTGTATAGCCACACGTCAAGGTGAATATCCTCATCGCGCAGCTAGGCACATTCCTGGGGCCTGCTCACATATATTTCCGACAGACCACTTTCTCATTTTTGCTTTGAAATCCTCCTCATCGACTGAGTGCGAGAGCCCACAATTTCAACTTGGCTTGAAAGCCACCACATCATCCACACCTAATGTACGTGATGAACAAACATCATAAAAGCAGCTGTGGCATGACTTTCTTATCGCTTTTGATCATTCTCTAGATACCTTGCCTCGAGGCTACCGTTTGTTTGTTTTTTGACCGCGAGGATTCATGGATTTTGCCACGGTGCGTTCTACATGCCACTCATCACTCACTCGCCGTCTCTGAATCAAAATAATATTACAGGGTGGTGCGTCAGCCTACCTTCAGGGGCCTATATCTCCCGATGTAAGTCGAAGCCTCCAGTCTGCGAACTCCCATCCTCACGTATTTACAGTCGTGGAAACGTGCCGTGTACCGAAGTGCTCCTCAGTATTTCTACGTTGGAGTACTTACCCCGGAAAAGCATGGTAAGTTTGTTCACTTTATGTTGGATCGTATTCATGTTGGTTTTAGGCGGCAGCTATAGCTACGGCCTCCGCATTTCTCCCATAAAGGACGATAATGCATCCATCTCTGCTCATTCCACTTCTTCGAAAGGCTCCCATTTGGAGTATGAAATCTGGAGAAAATGGGAGGACTGCCTCTGGTTTCAAGACACCCTTGAGGCTGAATATACTCTCATGGCAAGAGAGAAGCGTACGCGACTGGCCGCAGGCAAAGGAGTGAAAAAGGACGGGATGTACATCCAGAGTGACCAGGCAGCTTCTTTCGATTCACTTCCTCCGGGCCCCGATCCCCACTCCGTCGCCCGTGATATTCACGAATACATCCCGAAGCTCACCAAGAAGGGAACCTTATTCCGCGCGAGCCAAGCTACCATTGACCAACGGTTCACCGAGTTTCGTACCATGATAAATGCGTTTTTTCAGGAGGGCCTCCCGACGCTCTTGAAAGAGCTGATGGCCACGCGAACCTTCACTGATTTCTTCGGCTATTGGAGACGCGATCATGATCTCGCTATCAAAACACAGAGGGCTCAGACCTCTCCCGCAAAACCCCGCCGCTCTGTGTCTAGCAGCATGCTTTCTGCTTATTTTCACCCACCCTCTCCGGCACTGTCAGACGCCATGCCCTCTTCCACGTCTGTGAACGGCTCGCACAAGCAGCTTCCTAGACGAGGCTCAGGTACTTCGGATTCATTGTCATCAGATAATTCCCTGAAAGACCAGCGAACTGCCCGGCCACGAGTGAATGGTCACCCTGCTAGCTTAACGATATCCCTGCAGTCGCGTGACTCAAAATCCACCCTATCTTCATCATCTTCCTCTTCGAACTCTCCATCTCCCATCACGCCGCGTCGATCTTCTACCCGCACGCCGGTGGTTGTAACGCATGAATCTCCTATCAAATTTGGACATAACCCGCAGCATACACCTGCCGGAGGCGCGTCTGAGCGTCGAACGTTAATGCTCCAAGTCCTCCCAGAGGACCAGGAGGTTGAGATCAACAAGGTCGTATCTGCGGATTACTCGCCGACCCGAAGGCGCGAGACAAATAGGAGCGCTAGGGTTTTTGGCCCCCCTTCACAGAGTTCTTCCGACTTATCTGATGATGGCGAAGTTTCTTCGGATGGTGCGTTTTCAATTTTGTTCATATTTACACACAATACTGACCGCAAAGCAGCAGCGTCCCGTGCTAGGTGCTCCTGGTTGTCAACTGCCTCTGTTTCTCCCACTCGTGCTGCAGCCTACCTCGAGGAGCTCGGTGTTGAATTCACACTTCCACACCCACACCCAGAACATGCGCATCGCCCGCGTGCTTCGATGTGTAGTATGGTATCATACAGGAGTGATGCCTCTGCTGATGCAATCATTCCTCGATCTGCCCGTGCTCAGTCTCCACCCTCTGCAGGAACTCGTCAATACCGTCACTCCGTGCCTTTCCCGGACGAAGAGGAGTGGGCGGAACGGGAACCTTGGGCTGATGAATCGGCTTACGGAGAGGACGATCTCCTTGATGCATATTTCTATGGTACGTGTGATATACATACATGTTTGACCAATGTGCTAACCACGCCTGCTACAGATGCGATACCACCGTCGTCAGTGGGCAGTTCCCCAACACCCACCGAAGATAGCCACTTCTCCTCTCATCAGCGTGGCTCATACCCAACATCTGCATACGCCCCGCGACGCTCATCTATGACTACATCCGTATCCAGCGGATCGACAGGGTGCAGTGATGGTTCAGCCATCGCCATCAAAGCATTACACGACAACAACATCATCATGCTCCGTGTTCCGCGGTCCCTATCCTTCACTGAGGTTCGTCAACGACTGTACGACAAATTTGTACGGCAGGAAGGCGTGCCACTTTCAGAGAGCTTTGCCGTGGCCATCCTCGTTCCCGCTCCAGCCAAAGGGACACCTGGAGGCCGTCCTTACGCAGCCTCGTTCTCGTCTATGAGCGCGGCTGGTAAAGATGATGTTGTTCTGCACTTCGTGAAGTCCAACGATGACTGGGACCAAGCGATATACAAGTACGGAAACAAGGTCCTCCTGCGTGTTATTGGCAGCCGCACCTAGGCTGTTTCGCAAGTGTAATGTATTGCTATCTTGACTTTTGCATTGTTGTATTGGCATTTTTCAATCTTTGGTTTTTATAGAAATAATGGGGTTTAACTTCGTTCTGGCGTACATGAATGTTTGTTTGTTTTTCGTTCGGGCATATGATTTTTTCTTTCTTTCCAACCAGCGATACCTCCATTCCTCCCTCAATATTCGTTCTCCATTCTTCATTGCATTTACTGGATTTCCTTATTTACTCTTCGTTTCTGACTTTAGCCGCGTTTGTACTTTCATAGGACTGTACTCGCGAGCTCATGTATGGATCAAAGTTGTAGAATGTATCCTTTCATCGCATACCACACATTATCCACTTCATACTTTAAAATGCTGCATATTATGACAAGCTTTACACAATCTTTTACAAGAGCAATTATACAATGTTTACAATTAAGCACCCACAGCTTGCGGGGAAGGCGGAGGCTTCAGTGCTACAGCAGGAGGTGCGCCCATGGGCAACGGTCCTCTAGTCCAATCTGGTATGACATTTCGGGGAACATGTTCAGATGCAGGAACAATCATCACAACATCGTCATCCTGGTCGGTTTGCGCTGGATCTGACTCATCCCATTTCTCCCGTGCGACTTCGACACCACCAGTTTTCAGTGCCCTAGAAAAGAAAGTCGACATTAGCATGTAATAAGACGACATGGGGGAATACTGGAGCTTACCCCGCTAGGGAGCCACCCACCCACGCCATCGTAGCAGGTGTGAAAGCTGGCGCTTTTCCTGCGTTCACATTGGCACGTGTGCTCGATGAGGGTATCGGCGCAGGGTTGTTGAGGATGGCAAAGTGTGGTACCAACGGACGCAATGAAGCATAGCGATCATACGCAGGCCTAGACTGTGTGGATGAGGTATTTAGCGGCGCAGTGGCGCGCAGCAGTTCCGCGTGTAACCGAGGGATGAACCCGGGAAGCATGGCTGTTCCCCCTGTGATGAGAATAGAGGACGCCAGAGTTTTACGGAGATCAAGTGGGACCTTGAAAACACGGTCAATGGTATGATCATGAGATAAGACGATTAGATAGCAGACCTTGAGTAAAGCATCCAGGATTACTTCTGCGACACTACTTTCGTCGACGTCTCCTCCTTCAAATAGCACCTCGGCAGCGCGTTCGCGTATCCAGCCCGGGATGATGAGGGTTCCACGCCCGGTGCCCGTTTGTTGAGAGACAGGGGGGACGACACGCATGTGAAGATCTGTGGCGGTGGAGTGACGCATGTACATATTCGCAAGGACCTGGAGATGGTTTTCATTTCTTGCTTCTCCACCGGAGGTAGGGTGCGTTGAATGGGAGATAACTGAGAACTCGGATTCTGCTGCACTCTCTTGGCCGAGGGACCCTCGTGAAAATTCTGACTCAGACATGGCAGGGTCGCTTGAGGGAGGGGGCTCATGATCTGAAGGATCGTCGCTCGGTGGAGAGGATGCACGGACGTCACCGAGAGAAGATTCTAAAGCATCTGACACGAAGCAACAGCGTGTCTTGAAGTCCTCAATAACAGCATCTGTTAGTGCCTCTTGTGGCACACGGGTAGTGCGATTGGCTGCGGGCACGTTGACAGCTGCACTAAGTGAAGTTGGTGGAGGGAGGTAAGAGCCAAATAAGAGGAGGAGTGCACGGATGTGTGAGGAAAAGCGAGAGCCTGCGAGTGGTGTTGTTCGGAGCTGGGGAAAGAGAGGACGTGCTGCGAATATCTAAGAGAATGTGTCAACAGAGAGATACAGCTGGACGAACCATCTTACAGGTAATGCAGTGGATTCTAGGTGACCACAATCTAGGACAAGACCTGTTATTCGTCCAACAGATAACAGAGACAACAAATGACTTGATGCGAATGATATTGATGGGACCTGTCGGCACATGTCTACAGAATTGCAGCCCGTATAAGTTGAGCACATACCTGGAGGTTACTAAAGAGGACGCGAGCTAACATATCCTTGATGTACAGCGGCATTAACGGATGCTCAACCAAGATCACCTTTCTGGCCTTGGGTTCTGCAAGAAGTGACCTTCGCGATCTATTGGATGCAGGTGCCAGCGATAGTTTTGCCCACTTACTCGTGAAAAACGGAACGCATACATCTCTCCAAGTTAATTGCCAACATGTTGTCATCCTCTGCCCTTTCTGCTGGGTCTGTAGCTCGACTCCAACTCCATAACGAGCCGTAATTTTTGGCGTCGGCATAAAACACGTCTCTTGGCTTGCCTTCGCCACTGAATCCGACTTTCCAGATACGCGAACCTGGATCGATTACAACACGATCCTCTGTGCCATAGAGAGAGTGACGCCTGGTTGTCGTGTAATGAGGAGATGCTTGAAGAACATGGGGTCCTGCCACTCGAGTTGTCGTTGGCGTCGCAGGGGCGATGCCTGTCCTCGCTCTTGGTGTACCTGGGACTGTCGACATTAATATTCAGCCTAAAGTACGGTAGCCAGGGCCCAGCATACAGAGCAAAGGTATACGCATTAAACATTGAATAGTATTTGCTTTTCGCGCACGTGATCAATCGCGTCGCGTGCATTTGCTCAGCTAAGTTCAATTTTGACGACCGTATGAAGTGGCCCGTTCGAAATTACGCCTTGCGAGACAGCATCTACTGAGTTGAACAAACATTGTTGGGCAAGCAAGTACTGTCCTAGAAGGCTTTCAAAAAATGCCGAGCATTGAGGAACTCTGGGAACAAATATTCTTACGGGGGACATTGTTCGTTTCAATTCCGTCATGAGTCGTCACATGTTGTCACTAAGTCGTCATGTCACGCTGTTATGTTTCTTGATTCAATACACAAACGAGAGGGCCGCCTGCAGGGCGGCGGCAAGCGTCACTGCCTACTAAAGTTCTAGTCAACGTCTTTTCTTGAACTTTCCTCCAGGAACATGCTGTCCAGTCTCGCATCCTTCAGACACCGTGTCCTCATCACAACAATCCCAGATAAATCCCTCAGGAAATGACGCTCTGTTTTCCTCCGTGTCCATGGGACCATGACATCGTTCGTCATGGTCTGCGAAAAAATCCTCATCGACTTCTAGATTACCTTTTGATATAAATTTTTATCAGAAACTGTCTGCTATCACGATGAAAACACCAATACCAACCTGAATGATAGCGGCACTCCTCGTCATCACGTTCATCACTCACGTCGTATTCTTCCTCGCAATTAGCGCATACATTCCATCTCGGAACAGCCTTTCTCTTTTTGCCGCTGACCACCACAGCTTCCTTCATCAGCGCACTTCTAAGCGCCGGTATCTTATCGGCCAGTCTCATTACTATCTCCCGAAGACGCGCTTCGGTCATGCTGTCGACCGCGTTTTTGAGCTCTTCGTGCGATACTGCGCCCCCTTCATCATCTGAGCTGGGTAGGTTGGATAAGTCTATGAATTCCATGAACGTCGAGGTGAAATAGCTTTGTGGTTCCAAGCAAGTACTTACGGTAATGGTTACCCTAGCATCAGGTCACGCTTTTGTTACGTCTATTCATTACTTGAATGTATCCAATCGGGGAGTGTAGGTGGCTCGCAGCTTCAAACGTTCCAGATGCTGCCCACCCGTGTATCGGCAACTGGTTCATGCGTGAATGCGGTTGTTAACGCTGGTATGATTATTTTTTTGGCAGTGGCATGCACAGACTCGCTCATCAACTGGCTCCCAAGGAAACTTGTGATCTTGGGTTCCGTGTTTTTGATGGCAAGCGCCCAGATCATTAAACACTAGGGATTTCGCAAACACAGCGTCTACGTTTCGACGTATACCGCAGTCAAATGAATCGTTGCAGCATAGGCTACGTTCCAGTGGCCGCCCATTTCCCAAGTTGCACCGTATGATTGCAGTGGTAGGCAAGCATGTGGACGGTACCATGGATATCTCAGGTACGAGTTCAAACTTCAATATATGTATAAAATACACGAGTTACTTGTGTTTGAGGAGCATACCTACTTCCACAAAAAAGTGAAGACGCGTGCCCTGCGATGAGCTCTACTGAGAACGTACTTGAGCTCGGTCATGTCACTCATGTGCTGTGGAGTCTTAACGTGAGTAACAGTAATACCTTTCAAGTTTCTTGTGTCCGGCTACTCATTATATCCCAAGTACGCCAACGGTCTGCATCTTCTTTCAAGTCGAGGTGACTATAAAATGTACTGACAATCGTGTCGCAGTGGCTGTTACTGCGTTTTGGGTAACCTTGCATGAATCTCACAATTTAATTGTTAATCTTTGTCACCACAGTCATATGATTACGTTCTCACCTTGGCCGATGAGGTGTTTTCAGCTCTACATTTTCAATCGTTATACAAGCTTTAACCATTTCAGGTGGCATTTTTGAAGCAGTCGCAGTGGAAATGGGCGAAGCTGCTTTACGTTGTCTGTCGATATATTACCTGCTGTTATCTGACATTGGAGATGCTCGGTAAGCGTTCTTAATGTCAATGATGTTAATTATTCATATCCAGGACATTCACAGTGGCATTTCAACCCATGATGTCAATTCACGTGAGTCTTGCGACGACAGCAAAACCGCATCTCAACTCAAGTGCTATGATAGATATGTCAAGTGATATACTCCGTAAACACCTGTGCGTTTTTCTCGTTCGTTTAAGCAAAATAATTCCTGATAGATATTTGACATAGATCTGGGAGGTTTTATTGTAGTGTGTGCCGAAGGTTTGCTGGTGTGACATCCCACATCGGTGGATTCATTGATTTAATCCTGCAAGGTGTTTTCTTGTTCCGTGTTTGTGCAATTTGGGGATTTAGGAGGAGCATCGTGGTTTTGTTCTCGATCAGCGGGCTGGTCAGTGGCAAACTTCAAGTTCACTAGAATCCGTCCATTCAGGTGATTTTAGATGTATGTCATTGCTGCCACCGTGGTTCTCTCAATCATCCGATCCCCCCCTACAAGTATGTTTTCCTGGACATTTAGGATACTTCTTGCACTGAAATGCTGTTATAGTCACCAAGTCACCAATCCCTGTCACGAGTTGTTTGGAAACTGGCAATGACAAAACCATCATAATCCTCTACGTGATTCTGATCGCGTTGGAGATCCGTGAGTAGTGTTTCATCTGATTCCTACGGCAATTAATGGTCCGCCAGAAATATGGGTGTTCGCGCTGTACAAGGTCGCTGCAAGCTACAGGCGTGGGGGTGATCGTAACCGCTTGTTGGAACAACTGATCCGCCACAATATGCTTTATTTGACCTGCGGGATCGGTGAGTTGCCTGTATGCATATCGACAGGTTGTGGGGGTGCCCAGGTGGATTTTCTAATTTGTGACCCACAGTCTTCTCCCTCGGAGTCATATTGACGACGGCCCTTCTCAAGGTCAGTGTGTGTTATTTGGATAAAAGCACGTGTATTGACGACAAGTAAACCTTGACAGGTGTCTTACGGCTTCATGGTTGTGAGGTTTTTACGCAACTGGCAAGTCACTGTTCATGCCTTTCTTGTGACAAAGATGTATCGTGGACTCTGGAGAGCAGACCGGCGACGTGCTTTGCTAGAATCTGTTTCCTTCTCGCTTGAACCTTTTCATGCTGCACCTGGAGTGTCATCTCAGGCGTGAAGTTCTGGCTTTCGCCCTTTTTCTTCATCCTTATGGAGCAAAGTGTTTATCTTTTATTCGGCATGATGCGACTACGTATTGAAGGTTGTGGTTTTAATCGATAGCAGTAATGACAATTCTGAAAATAGATATCTAGGAGCTTAGCGACCTTCCATAATTCAAGCTGCCCTATTGACGTATACTCATGCATCTAGGGATAAAACATCTGGAGTAATAGATTGTCAGAAAAGAAAAAATTAGGGACTGCCCCATTTGATAACGCCATACTCTCCATAGGACATTAATCGGATCCATAGACAAATGGCACGGTCCCATTTGTAGACGACGTGCATACCACCAACTTGTACCCTTACTGATCAATACAGAGGGGGACCTGCATGCCAACACCAATATATGGATGGAGAAGAACTGGGAGACGCATAGCAGCAGAAAAAAGGCGTAAATCAACATATACCCCACCATCGCAAGGGGATTCCCCCATCAGACTTATCTTCCTTCCCATCACGGTGACCTCTTTTGCATAACGCCACGGCATGCCTCAGCCAAGTTGGGGTAGACCTGAAATCACGAGAGTTACGATAGATAAGAGCCAGCGCCCCGCCTTACGGATAGGGGTAATAGAATCGTTGGACATACATAGGGTCAGCCCCAAGGGACAACAAGATATTCGAAAAAATGTCTACGCAGATGTGTCCCTGATGCTATAAAGGTAGTGAGCGTCTAATATTAATATTCACATCAGCTTTGTACACGTACTAAGCTAGGATTCACTGCGTCTCGCTTGGCGTCTTGTTCGCCACCGACACCCATACAGATAGTTGTACATCATGAGGCAGTATGATCCTTCGAGGCGAAGAGCCGCTTCAAGAGAATCGCGGCAATCCAATGTCCCCGGCAGGTATATGGTACCCAGTCTCACATCCCTCTGGGTTGCTTTCATTGCAGCACCTCCACATGAAGTCCTCTGGATGCGACTGGGGATCACACCGTTTGTGCCGTTCAACATCTTTCTGGAGGAACCCTATCGACAAGGGAAATCATGATCAAGACGAAACATTTCCTGATAATGAGCCTCAGACTTACCTGGATGATAGCAGCATTCGAACGGCCCGCGCACCGCGTTGGTATCGAATTTTTTCGCGCAATTCACGCAAATATCCCAGCGTGGGCGCGATCTGACATCCGCATTCACCTCTGATTGAATCTCAGGGACGTCCTCGATATTAATGTCCCAATTAATTGAATGGGCGGTCTTCCAGCTGTGGCTACTTCCAGCGTCCGAAGCCGAAGGACTTGAATATTGCGTGGTGTCAGAGTCCGTCGACACACTCTCTAGGCTGAGCCAAGCTTCGTTTGAGTCTGCATCAGACCTCGTGTCGATCTGTAAGACCTCCGAAGCCTCCTTTGACAACGCCTTCAAGGAGGCAAGTGATTGCACAAGAGACCTTTGTAATTCAGGTATCTCGTCAGCGAGCTGAAGGACGAGAGTGCGTAATTGGTCGGGAGATGCCGTTTCAATTGAAGAGAGCAGGCGCCCACGGAAATCTGAGTTTTCGACCGTCGTCAACTGACTGTGTTCCACCTCTGTCACGGCAGAATCTATCGTTAAGCTGTCATGAACAGATTCTGGGAAGTCTAAGGAGCGTGGGCGAGATCCGGAGGTAGTGAAGAAGCGTGACAGGCTCACAAAAGCCGACATCAAGATGGGCCTACTACCTTCCAGCTGGAAAGACGGAGAGAAAATCGTCCTTGGGCAACCTTAAGCCCTTCAAGCTTCCGAGTGCGCACAGGCACTCAGTGAAAGCTGTGCGGCAAATTTCGCTTACGCCGTTTATTACGTCTCGGACTTCAACTTGATGCGATCAATCCTTCGACCACCAGGAAAGCATTACTTCGCTTGAAGTTCGCGGTGAGTCGTGGTTTTAACCAACAAAGTTTTTGACACTCATGATATCCAAGGAGGCAACATGTGATTAATTCGGAAGGTCTTTCATGTGACATGCATGCCTCAAGTTCTCGGAGTCTGCAGTGGTTGATCCGAGTCTACAGGTCACAATGCGTCTAGCTCCAGCTATATACTCTCGGTTCCGGGCGAGTGAGGCTACAGTTCGTCTGCGATTATCGTTATGAGCGCTCATTTCTCCAATCTAACCTTGCGCCAGATGGCCAGTCTTTCGATACAAACTTACCTTGTTCATTTTTTTGCAGTCTCCACTTGGCAAGTGTTTTGTCGTGCCTGACTTTGCTACGTGAATACAATTCCTTCTAGCCTGCGGAAGCGTAGCTCACTGGGGTTGATGTCAGGCCACTTAGGCTACTCACCGGTTCTACTCCGCCTCACGATTTCACGTCATTAAAGTTGTGCGGGTGGAGTCACAGAGAAGTATCTCTTCCTCGGCTCCTTATCGCTAGTCACCTACTTGACGCATTTCTGGAAATCATTGTTCAGCGTTTACGCATGCCATGTGACCCCTGTCTGGTATTTGTAGGATTTTCTGTCAGTCTGACCAGTCTATTAATCAGTTGTGACAGCCTTTTCCAATTCCAGCGGTAGTTCGGGACCGATTACCAGCAATACGTATGGCCATTCAAATCAGGTGTTGTGATATTCGAATAACCAGTATCTCGTTCATGAGTTACCAGCGAGAATAGTGCGTGGCAGGCATCTTTGAACTGACGTTAATCATTAAAAAGCACCGGAGTTTGGTCATGGTCTTGCCCCGGATGTGGATAATGTTTGCCTAGTTTCCCGAGCTTTTCCGTTTCGGTCCGTGTCATCTAGAATGCTTGGTAGGGCCCAAAGGATTCGTATGACGGTGTACCATACGTACCAGCACAAGTTCATAAATGGCGCAACTGATAAGCCCACACACACCCACCTCCCCATGACTCAATCTTCCCAAATGACTGAAGAAAAACTATCAGGTCAGGGGGAGCTCATCGAAACAGCACCTCAGCCGACACCTCTGCCAAAAATGCAGCTGGCAATTCTTCTCCTTGCCCAGATGCCCGAGCAACTGACAGCCTCTGTGATATATCCGTTTGTGAACCAGCTAGTCAGGTCAACAGGCATCACAGGTGGAGATGAGCGTAAGACGGGCTACTATGCAGGCTTGATTGTCTGTTGTCTCTTAGCAGACTCTAACCCCTTTGCTAACGAAATCACATCAGGAATCTTTGTATTACGCAATCGAGGCTATCACGATTCTTCAATGGGGTCGCGTGTCTGACCACATCGGAAGGAAGCCAGTGATACTCGTTGGGCTTTTCGGGGTTACCTTGTCCATCGTCTCCTTTGGATTTTCGAAAGAATTCTGGATGCTCATCCTCAGCCGTTGTGCACAAGGCGCTCTCAACGGTAATCTTGGCGTGGTCAAATGCAACATGACCGAGATCACTGACACCTCCAATATGGCGCAAGCGTTCGCATGGCTGCCGTTCGCATGGGCCGCTGGGTATACGCTGGGGTTTGTTTGGTTATTAGCCACCACGTACCTTGTAAATTGACCAAGTTCTCAAGATTCCTCATTGGAGGAGTCCTCTCGGATCCAGCAGCTAAATGGCCAGACACCGTCGGACGCTACCTCTTATTCCATCGGTATCCTTATTTTTTGCCCTGCATCGTTGCCGCCAGCGTAGCTATAGCCTCCTGGCTCATCACCTTACTATTCCTTAAAGAGGTATAGTGATTCAGCTATTTGTCATGTACAGTGCTCACAGAATTTCTCAGTCGATGCGCGGTGCTGCCTCCAGAACTCAATCTTTGAGCCATATCGATGATACCAAAAAGTCGATCATGCAGGCTGCAAAGATCCACGACAAGCCTGCAGATACTCAGGTCGATATCCTACCTCGCATGCTAGATGAAGCAGAGACTGCCAACCCCGCTTCCAGTTCCCTTGGGTCTTCAAGGACCGATTTTCGCTCTATTCTCATTCCACGCGTCATGATACCAGTCCTGCACTATGGCTTGCTGTGTTTCGTCGACCAGTGCATGTTGGTACTAATGCCGCTCATGTACTCGACATCACGCCCACTCGGAGGGCTTGGGTTTAGTAGTAACACCATTGGGTTGGTGATGTCGGCCTGGAGTATGTTGAATGGCACGATACAAGTCTATTCGTTCCCGCGATTGTTGCGACGATTTGGACCAATGAGGTTGTATATCACAAGTTTCTCCTTCTTCCTCATAACATTTTCCGCGTACCCGTTAATGGGTTATATGGCTAAGCACCACATGGAAGCAGCAATGTGGTTGATTCTTTGCGTCCAACTTGTTGCATACACCATTGCATACAGCACGTATAGTGAGTTGCCTTTCCTCTCATGCATGTATATTTAAAAATGAATGCTTTTAGGCTGTATCATCTTATATATTAATAATGGGGCACCGAGCAAGGATTTATTGGGTGCAACAAATGGCCTAGCACAAACGATGGCCTCCATGATGCGTGCCGTCGGACCGACAGCAGTATCCTCACTGTTTGCCCTGTCGTTGGAGAAGAACCTCGCGGGCGGGACAGCTGTATACTGGATAATGTGCACGATCGTCATATTAGTACTCGGTTTCTCGACATATCTGCCAAAAAGCCTTACTTAAATCGTCGTGTCGTGGCATTCTGGAGTTGAGTGAACACAAAAATCGATAGCGCATAGAGTCAGTAGAATCTTTCCGGCTTTCTCAATAGTTTGTAAATACCCTGTATAGCAAAGAGACGACTGCACAAGATCTACGTATAGAGTCGTAGACTACCAGTTGAATGTAAATGTAAACACCCATTGCATACCGTATTCAGCGAGTTCTAATGTTATGGCCGTAAGACATCAACGCCATTGCCAGTGTGTTTTGGAAGAATGGAGAGCTGAACAATTCGAGTTTTCCACCACCAAACTGCACCGCGAACATTAATCGGGTGTACTTCAGTATAAAGATGCACCTCGCACGAATTCTTTTGAAATATATGGCTCATCAAACGACCAAACTTAGCGCTCACCATCCAGCTTTGGTGATAATCGCTACTATCCAATATCACGGAGTTGCCAACGAGAGCTATATCAAGCTACCCCAACTTCCCTGAAATGACAGAAAGCCTGCCGTGACTAGCATTAATTCGAGGACTCCACGAAATGGAGATATGGATGAGACTGGGAAAGTCAAGCAGAGGGAAACAAAATGTTGGAACTCGGAACGATCGCCCTCTGTCGGCTCACAAAGACCTCCGCTTCACAAATAAGCATCGGCATGAAAATAATGATATTTTAAAGCATGTTATCGAAGGATACATAATTCATGGGAGGAATGAAGTAGGGAGCTACCCCTGTTGGTATTGGGGCGTTGTTTGTTCCTATTGAATCTAGAGGCTGCTGACTAAGAAAACTGTCCCTCGCGTTACCCACAAAGAAAGATTTTGAGACTGTCTTTGCAGTACGCCGTTGCAAGAATCTTGTTTGAACTCTTAGCAAGTCTTTTGTTCCATATCATCTGTAACAAATGGTGCCGTACATATACTCATTGCTCTCTCTAGATAGCTTGAATAAAAAGCTGGTAGGGCTCCGAATGCTCTTTACGACTCCGAGCCTTACCGCTGCGACGTTCGGACTTACGAGCGCGTCTCTCCTGGCGTCTCTCAGCCTTAGCCTCCCTTCTCTCGGCACGGCGCTCTCTTTTATCAAACTTATGAGACACAGACGATCCATGTCCATGTCCACGATGGTGACTCCTGTCACGGTAGTCCTCGGAATCTGATGATGATGAAGAAGAAGAAGAAGAAGACGAGCAACTCGAGGCTCGGCGGCGGAGGTCATTTGCCATGTGGCGTTGGTTAGGATCACCAAGCGGTGCCGCACCCTCACGGCCACTCAGGCGCTCGGATCCTTGGCAAAGGATCACTTCCATTCTGCGAGGCCCGAAGAAGTACTGAAAACCGATGGTAAATAGTCTGGTAGTGTCTCGTAGGACTTGTACTGACATGATTCCAGTGATCAATGACGTCCCCCGCCGCACTGCGATTCTTTGTTTTCATTCGGTTCTCAATGGCTTTAGTCAGGAAAAACCCGCCTACGATTGCAGACTTAGGATAATGTGTTGCAATTACTTGTTGCACTACGTACCGACAAGACTGATACCTGCTATAAAGGGTATGGCGTTCGATTTGATGCGTTGCCCTCCAGATAATGAAGCTGCTTTCTTAACGTCTGCCAGGAATCTGAAAACCATATAGCTTAGCTCAACCTAAATGGGACGGGCCTAATGGAAAATTCACGCACCGTTTCCAATCCTCCTCCATAATATCATGCGTTGCAAACGGGTGAGTACATAATTGGCATGGGGGAGGCACCTCAGGGAACCCTTTGCTCAGGTCCTTATTGTTTGAGATGAGACACATGGGAGGGAACTGAGTGTGAACGAAATCCTGAGGTGGCTGGCGGTTCCACATTGGCGGAGAGCCCGTGTTGCCAAAGAATGAAGCTAGGGACAGCCCTCCACCCCCTTCATTGGGAGAAGGTGCGCGATCTTGTGGCACTGCGCCGGGAGTCTGGCTGTACGGGCTCAAGCTGCTGTTTTGCTGGTATAAAGGGTAACCTGATGGTCCTGGCCTGTTCTGGTCATTGGGGTACCTGGCTCCTGGGGAAGCCTGTTGGTATGCGTATGCTGGGTATTCCCCGCCTTTTTGGTCGCATTGACCAGCTGGTGGGGTTTGATATTCCTGAGGATATCTTGGAGGATGCTGTGATGCTGATCCCAGAGGCGCCTGGTATGTTTGGGACTGATATACTTGCGACTGAGGGTTGTACCCTTGACGCGAGCTATCGCGCGGATTATGAGGTGGCTCCTGGGTGTATTCAGGTGGCGGGCCCAAAGGTGCCTGGTATTGATTCTGTTCAAGCTGCCGAGGAGCTGGGACAGGTGGTTGCATCGAGGTTGCGTACGGGTTGTTAGATTTTTCGTCGGGGTATTGAGTCATGGTTGGTGTGCAGAAATGATGTGGGCTTCAAAGATACAATCGCTCCGCAGGACACCCGCGATCCTTTTATATGAGGGATATTTATTATGGTCTAACGCGTGATGGCTGCTGCGCTACACAGCCCATCATGGCAATGGGGTTAATTACCTTTCTGGCAATGCATTGGAAACACCCATCCTTATACAAATTCACATCCGGCTCCTAAGGGCTCCATAAAGATAGCATCAACTGCGGAGCGCACTAACACAGGATCTGATGTTGTAAGTGATAGGCGAGGACAATATGAATATCAAGCAGGCAGCTGCAGTGCCGCCACATATGAAAATAACAACTGAAATCCGGTTAGACTAATAATCCTCATCGTGGGGACAACATATTGCGATAAAACATGAAGTAGAAGTAGAGTGCGGCGTGACAGGTATGGTTGGAAGTAAGACGGCAAGTTTTGCTCCTGTGGACGTAATCGATGTGGTATTGATGAAACGGCGTTAACATCAGGGGAATATTGGTATGCATGAGAGTAAGTAGGAAAAGTAATATTGTGTGTGCACGAGTCTTCTGACACGATGAGTGAATTCGTGAAATGTGGATGGTTTGGTGGTTGTGGTATGGAGCGATAGATGTTGGTGATGGTGATAGATCGTCGTGTCTAGGATCGGGTAAGCCTTGAGGATCCGACGGAAATCATAAAATACGTACCGAGTGTTGATAGCTATGTCCTCCGTCAGGACCTCAAGAACCCAAGAAAAAGCGTAAAACCCAATTCAAAACTGATGTCAAGTTATGTCACAAAGTCCACTCAATAAATAATCATCACCTACGTCGACCAGCGACTATCCTCAAAATCTCGCCGACAGACGAGCTTTGTACATTGCCTCGATTTGGCGGATTCCTTGGCCGCAGCTGATAGGACGATATTCAGTAAGCAAACGTGTCCCTGACGGCGTATGCGAGTGAAGACCGACGTCAAGTTGATTATGGCCACCGTTGGACCCAGGACCAGAGGCTGGTGGGCCCGCACTCTGCGCTTCTGGCGCATGATCGCCACATGTTATCAATCCGTTTTGATTGACTGCTCCCTCCCTTGAGTCCATCCTGGAGCCAGAAGCACATGCAGCATGTGCTGAAGGCTGACGGCGTCGCACAGTGATTTCCGAGTCGGACGCGGGGTAGGCGTCTACCTCGGTAAACCCCATACTGCCGGGAGGAAGCTTCCGGCCGCGTGTTTGGGTGTCGCTAAGGTCACTTTGTTGACTTTCTGCAGAGGCCTGGCGCTGGAGGCTAAGGCTCCAAAAGCTCCGTTTGTTCGCCAGGCCAGGCGGAACGGGTGGTTCTCGCGCAGCCACAGACCGCAACTTCGGATGTGTTCTGACTTTTCTGGGGGGAGGGGCAGTGAGAGGAAAAGATTTTGTGACTTGTGCAGGCCACGAAGGCCAGATGGAATTTGATGCAGATGTGATTGTAATCGATGAGGAAAGTGGTAAAAACGGATCGCTTGATGTACCTTGGGTGGGAGGGAAGGGGTATTCATAGCGCTGCGTCCCAAAATCAAAGGGAGTCCCCGTAACCTGAAGCATCCCAGACGAATGTCAGGATCGTGCAGTTCTTCGAGAACATATATATTAATCGAGAACAACGAGAACAGGGTTTAGGTGATTATGACCGCCACTCCACTACACGTGTCTTGGATCAATAGAAACTTACCTCCCCGGAGGAGCTAGATGATAAACTGAATCCAGAGTCGGAGTGGGATGCGTCGGATGGAGAAAGCTGGGGAGGAGGAGCCGGTGAATGTTCCTCGTGGACGATCTGGTCTGGGGAAGGCAGGGAGGACACCTCCTCCCCATTGTGGTTAACCTGGGACTGTGCTGTCGCTGTCCGTGCGTCACTTAAGTGTGACATTCAGTAGTCCCTTGAGTTTGAATGTCGACAGAGGAAGAAGAAGACGGAGAACCCGTCTCAAGCAAGTCAACGGACCATTTACATTTCCTGCAAACGCTGGCGGAACGTGTGCGGGGAATGTGACGCTGTGCGTGGGCCACGATCTTGTCCATCCGTCACGTCACTCTCTAGAAATTTCCGGGTCCATTGTCTTCTACTTAGTAACTTACTCACTTGAACTCACTTGTCCTCGTCGTCCAGACCTCGATCGTTGACTGCAGCAAAGTTTCATCATAAATGACACAAAACGGCGTTGTTCAGAGGGTGCAAGGGAGTCTGACTCGTGAAAAAGTGCATCCAACGATCACAGAACGACCTGTTAAATAACCAAGTACATGACGGTTCGGTGCACGACGGCCGTGGGCAACGTCGGGTGATTAGCTCCAGTTACGCGGTGATGTCTTATATTTCGTTACGTTTACAGAACGTGAATTCAATTGATAATACGTGGCTGACCAGGAGCACTGATGATGTAAAAGTCAGCCTCTCCATTCAAAGCATGCTTGGATCGAGGCTGGCAATTATATATCCCATTCCTCAACGAACTACCACTGTCCTTACTTTGAAGGCGAACGAACATGTTGGTACGCCGGGTCGACCCACCTCAGCAGCCTCCAGGTTTCTTCCTACGTTTCTGGCTTTTCTTCGTCAAACTCGCCCACTCATTCACAGGCTTGTTCAAGTCAAAGGCTCATTCTGCTACCTTGCCAATTCCCGTGACAGCGGGAAGCCAGATCGCCCGTCAAAAACCACCACCTGTTCCCAGACGACTCGAGCTAGTCGATACCATGCTATCTAACAGACGCAGTCCTCAGCGAAGCTCTCAGAAAAAAGGATTTTCAAGTCAGTCTCCGGCAGTGTATATGGCAGCAGAAATCCACCAAGACACCCTCTGCCGTAATGGTACCGATACCCAGAATGAAGACTTGCGAACCAAGAAACATGAAATCTCCTACTTTCCCGGTTTCATCGGACGAACGGTTTCTCCTGGTCGTGTACCCGAAGGCGGCGCTCTTCGCACAGCAACTTCGCTCCGCACTTCCGCCCAGCCTTTAGATCGGGACCTGAGACGTTGTAACAGCGTCATGCCTGTTGTAGCTGATATCTGGAACCCAGCTTTGGTACCGAGCAGCCCTCTTCCATCCCGACGGCTCTCACTGCGTGTCACTTCTATTACAAACGGCTCGATCCTGAGCTTAGGTCCAGTGAACCCTCGTTTAGCTGCTATGCACCGTTCAACTGGCCCTCGTCTTCGCATCTCTTCATCAGCGAAACCCACTCAAGTCAGCGCATCTGAGTCGGTTCACAGCATCGCCGCGTCCCCGTTCGCAATCCGACGTGGTTTCGCCGGAGCATCTGTGAGGACACCTCCTTCCTCGATCCGTCTCCAATCCCCCTGGAGCCCCTTAGACAAGACACTACCTCATGATGTGTGGATGAATTCAGAAGGCGTCCTGGCCAACGTTCGAGGCCCTGTATACGCCTCACTCGATGACACGAAATCTTCGCAAGATGATGTTATAGTACTCCAACATGGGCCTTACACGCAGCTTCCATGTGCCCCGTCTTCTCGGTTTTCAGACGACGGAGATGACTTTATATCCATCTATTCGAACATCTTCGACCTCCCAGAAGAAGAGAAATATGAGGAAGAAGAATCCAGCAAAGGCACATCTCAAGGCGACTCGTTCACTGCCAACGGTACAGACAAGGGATCTCCTCCCGGCGGAGCGGCAGCTGGTTCGGTTATGACAATTCCTGTCGATGACTCCGCTGCCATCAAACGCGATGCTATCCAGAATTTTGCAGAGGATGTTGAGTTTGAGGACTCGAACAAGAGTAACACGTCATCCGGGTTTGAAGAAGGCTTCTTTTGCGTCGTCTCTCAGTCCAAGTTTGATCTGGCCTCGGATGACCACACTTCTGGCCTCGCCTACATACCTTCCTTGAAGAACCGAGAAGTACGCCCACTCAGCGTTGTAATCGAGCCTGTTGATCACCCCGATCGCACCACCAAACGATTCTCAGTCCCTTGTCTTCATTCCGTTCGGGAATTTGATCAGAGCCCGCTTCGCACCTCGACCTCAGACTCTTCCCCTTCCAAACACTTCCCTGCTGCAGAAAGCAGGAGCTTGAGAGCACTCGCTGACCTTATCTCTCTGCTTGATTTTGCTGCGATGGAGGCTGTGGAGGCCGATGGCGTTCCTGAGATCGGTGTGGGTGAACCTCGCTTGGTACGGGCCGATTGATGGACGTTTTTCCGTTATATGTTTCCTGTCTTTACTCTATTCCACCAGATTATCCTGCCTTTGAATTTTGAGATGTTATGACGGAGACTTGGTCAGATGTTTTCGGTTCAATCATCAAATTACGGTCAGGAATTCCAAATGGTCGCAATGCATCTCATTTGTTGGTGCGTATATGCTGCGTGTCCATGGCAGTACTGTGTTTCGAAACGTGACACGTTTGTTTAATAGCCCAGGGCCTCTTTAAACGCGGTGCTCATGCGCTATGGGGGAGACTAGACTTCGTGTTCCAGACTGCTCTAGAAGGCTTTCATCAAATCTTATAGAGAGAATGTCCCGCGGAGTACGATGATCGATCTTTACCATCGCAATTTCCACTGACAACGTTAACACCTGAACCAGAAGCTCAGTCAACTAGTGTTAGCTGCGCCGGCGTCCGCATTTCGATCGAATACGCATCGAGTGTTCTGTGAGGATGTAGGCTGGTGATGCGGAACTTACTTCAAGGTGATGCTGCGCCTTGTGTTTTGAACTTAGACTCATAAGTAACCAGTCTGACTATGCGTGAATATCAGATGCAGGGGCCGGAGCCTATCTCGGCCCTTTTCCTCTCTAACCTTGCTCGCTGTCTCCGGGCTGTGAGCTCCTCGGCCCAGTCCATCTTGATTAATGGAAATTGAAGGAATGCTGTACTTCTCGGACTCCTGTGTCGATAGGACTCGGAGCACGGACCGAGTGCGACGTCGGAAACGTCAACCTGAGATTGCGAGCGCAACGTTCAACCGCGGTATGCAACGGACACGACAGAATGACGTCGGCCGAGGTTATATGCAAAGTGTCATTCCATATGATATGTTTCTATCACTATGCTAACCTACTATAAAGCTACGAGCCATACCTTGGCGCTCAAGTCTCGATGTGAGTCCATGCGAACTTTTCCCCCATTATACCCTTAGAATATATTTGTTCTATGTACTGCGTAGTCCTACACCGAGTCCGATACTCGAGGCTGAGATCATATATTTATTCTAGTTCATCCTCGTATCCTCTAAGCCTCTCATCGCGAGATTCCTGAACTTCAACGTTTCGAGAGTGATAACATTGTATCTCCAGCGTACATGATCTTGGTGCAGCAATTTAAACGGTGTGACGGCATTAATGGCTGGGAGATCTAGAGAATCTAGGCTAGTTTGAGCTCACTGTTGACATCGATGTCTGCCAGAGTAAGGTACTTAACTTGCGGCCGCAATCTGATAACATCCAAAAAGGAGTTCCGAACTCCGACGTACTAGTGGGGTTTCATTACGTCTGATCTAGATTCTGGAAGACTCAAATACTGCACAGTCGTTCTTTCATCCCACCTACCTCAAAACATGTTCTCCTCTTTCTTTACGTGAGTGAAAGTCATAGTCTGTGATTTCGCTCTGAAGGTTTTGTAGCACTGCACCCCCCACCGACCCAAAGGCTCCGAATCTATTCCCTGTCTCGGAGAACCCAGATCTCCTCGGGGAGCTGGAGGCGAAGGATCTTGAGTGGACATGTGCAGGAGGCTTCGTTACAGAAACTCAGATCTTTTATCAATTCCTACCTGATGGGACGATGTTGATGTGTCAAGTGATCCACTCGTCAATTGGGTCAGCATTCTATTCGTTTGCACGCTTGTTCGATGTGACTCATTATTCGGCAGAGTGTGGTACCCTACCATTCAGTTCACATGCAAGGTCTACAACCCTGCAACGAAAGAAACGATTTGGCGTTCTGTCAATGTTACAAACTTTGTAACCGCACCCCCTGGTCTCGACAGCAGATCCAGCAAGGCAGATCAATTCTCTATCACCCACAAGTCTTCATCGGATGGTTCTCATCCTGAAATGTACACCATTCGCGCAAACCTCTCAAATGACTTGCAGATATCTCTCGATGTTTCACGGCCCTCTGCTGTACCCGGATTCAAGATCGGAAAGGGGCCAAAAGGGGGATACTCGTACTTTGGGTCAGATCAACAGAAACCAGATGGCTACGTCATCCATCGCTTCTGGCCTCGTACTAAAGTCAGCGGTCACATCATCCATAATGGTCGTGCAATCGCTGCCGAGGGCCACGGCATGCTCGTCCATGCTATCCAAGGCATGCGTCCAAACTTGATTGCATCGCGATGGAACTTCGCAAACTTCCAAAGCGACGCTCATGGTGGCGTGTCTGCAATTCAAATGGAATTCACAACTTTGGATACCCACGGACGCTACGGACCCGGCTCTGGCGGAGCAAAAGTCAACGTTGGTTCATTGGTGCTTGGTGGGAAGCTAGCTGCGGTCACAGCAGAGACTAGATGGCCAGGCGACGAGCAGCCTGAGAAGACAGTAGTGTCGCGTGCCCATCACATCAGCCCTGTCCATGATCCGGACACTGGCTACATGCAGCCTACTGCGGTTGAGTTCAACTGGGCAGGTCCATCTCTGCTGCAGGGTGTCGAGGGTTCTGTTGAAGCATCTATGCGTATCGATGTTGGCAGTCCATCTTCACCTAAGGGGTTAATCGAGAAGGTGGACGTCCTCGCAGAGATCCCGTATGTGCTCAAGACGATGGTCAACTACGTTGCTGGCACAAAGCCATATATTTACCAGGTAATTAGATGTTATAATCAATTTATCCGAGATCTAACCGTAATCTGATAGTGGCAAGACAACGTCAAGCTTTTTG